GGTTTATTGTCTTCCTTGAGACTGACTTCTAGTACATATGCTGAGACTGACGTGCTATGAGACGTAAAATACCTAAAATATGACGTCAGGTCCTATGTATGCGTGGAACTTATACTCAGCTACACGGGTGCATTCATCACTAATGCATTCATCACTAATTGCTATATAAGGACGGGTCACTTCTGACAAGGGTGAATCTTAGCCAATTTGAATCCAACAGCAAATTTCTCCCTGTTTTACAAAACCACTCAAGGAATAATCCCACATTTCCAACGCTCCAATAGCATTATATATCTTTACACACTATGGCAGAGACGCATAGCAAGAGCAGAACTATGCGGTCAGTCGTTTTTGATGGCCATCCGCTCAGGGTTCATGTCCGCGATATTCCGAAGGCAAATATCGCCAGGCAAACGGATGCCGTTGTTCGGGTAACTTCAGCAGCTATCTGCGGCTCCGACCTGCACAACTACCACGGTGTCTTTGGCAGCGACCGGGTTCCTTATCCTATTGGACATGAGGCCATGGGTATCGTCGAGAAAGTAGGAGAACAAGTTGATTCCGTGAATGTTGGGGATCGGGTCATTATCCCTGACATTCCTGATGGCGTCGGGCTGGATTTAGAACCAGCAATTAACCCTGCTGTTGCATTGTATGGAGAAGGATCGGAATTTGGCAATTTGGGAGGCTGTCAAGGTACGATTGAGCGCTGCAGAATCATGTTTTCATTAGTGCAAGAAGACCTGTGTCTAACTAACCACACTATTTTCAACAGCCGAATTTGTCCGTGTTCCACTTGCGGACAAATCCTTGATCATTCTCGGTAACGAGTTTGATGAGATTGAGGATAAGGATCTGGTTGTTCTTTCAGATATCTTCCCTACTGCCTGGACGGGGGTCACTTGGTCGGGCTTCGAGGCAGGAGATAAAATCGCGATTTTTGGGGCAGGCCCAGTCGGACTTCTTGCTGCGTATTCGGCAATTCTCCGTGGGGCATCTCGTGTGTATTCCATTGACTCCGTTGAAGACCGACTCGAACTCGCAGCTTCCATTGGAGCCATTCCGATCAACTTCACGAAGGGCGAACCGTCGGCGCAAATCCTGGCCCGAGAACCGCGTGGCGTTCAGCGCACCGTAGATTGTGTTGGGGAGGAATGCGTCAACGAGAAATTGGAGCCCGATCAGTCCTTCGTTATCACACAGGCGACCAAGTGCATCAGCGTGGGTGGTGGTTTAGCGGTTATTGGGGTACACTTTGCTCAACCGAATTCCAAGGGAGTTCAACAAGGAAGCACCATCTCACCATTTATGAAATTTCCCATGACGCTCTTCTGGGAAAAGAACATGACTATTCGTGGCGGTGTAGTGGACAGCAAATTATTTGTTGAGCCACTGCTGGAACTTGTGAAAAGTGGCATAGCTAACCCGAGCTTCGTTTTCTCCAGCGTCATCGATATCGAAGAGGCACCAAAGGCATATCAACGATTTTCCGATCACCTGGAGACGAAAGTCATGATAAAATTCTCCTAGGATAGCAGTGTATGAGCCGGGTAAAAAAAAACAAGAAACATGTGATGGTTTATTTGATGGGTGGAGAGTTTAGTGCTATATGGCCAATGATGTTTATTAAACACCTACATCTTGTGATGGACCAGTTCAAATTTGAGGTATTGAATTTTCACCAGCTGCCATTCAGTTATAAATTGTGCTTATCTTTGAAGCAGCCGTATCAACTGTCTCGTAGGGCTGACCCAAACACTTCGAGGAGTATGTAGCCATTGCACAGATATATGTAGTAACTTTAAAATCCGTATGCCTTTTTTCAGTCCATACTACCTAGTAACTTTCCGTCATTAGTGAAGGTCCAGGTAGGTGCTGGCTCGGCCGATGTCTGGTTTTATGGCAAGTGAGGACGCAAGCTACTGTTGCAACTCGATACTTGTCAATCCAAACACCACCGAGAGGATCTCCAGCGACGTTGACGGCGCGAGCCAAAAGCAGCGTATGGAATAGACTAATGAAGGGGGCCGGGCTAGTGGGAACCATCATTGAACACGACGATGGATGGACATAATGGGAGAAAAAAAGCTTTTTGTCCTTCCAATCTTAACTAAGTCGAATGTCTCTGGTTATCCATCGTTGTTCAATGGTTCGAGGGTACCTAAGTAGGGTAGGTACGTACCACCTGGGCAGCACGTGGAGAGAAAGGGCGTTAGCAGTAGCAGTGGTCTTCTTAGTATGCTTTGTAGGTGGTCCAGCTGCGGAGTTCCCCCCCGGTCTCAGCCCTCGTGAATTTGAAGTACCTGGAAATCCGCTCAAATTTTGAATATATCGAGTTTATAATGCGAGAATTGTCTTAAATGGAGTTTCACCTCAGTACAGACTCTAAAAACTCCAGCGTTTCGAGATCTGTCATGAACTTGCCAAATTGTATCAAATAGGACACGTGAGCTACGGTGGGGCACATGGCGTTGAGCGCAGAAACCCATCGGGGAAAGACCAGTTCCGCACATTGGTTTGATATCAGTTGATCTGGGGAAATCGGCAACGGTGTTCTTTATATAAATCCTGCGATTTTATCTTTTATCGGATATTGAAGTTACCGTCTTCTTCACCCCCTAATACCCTCTCGAATTCTCAACCCCCACCATGGTTGCGCAATCGCTGGCCTCGCTATTGCAGCGGGCGTCGATTGACGACCACGAGGAAGTCCTCCAGTCGTGCAATGCAGTACTCGCCAAATCCAAATCCGATTTGCAAGCGCAACACATGAAAGTTGTTGCTTTATTGAAACTCGACCTTTACGAAGAAGCTCTCAAGACATTCCAGACCGGAGGCGATGCGCTGAAGCAGAGTGCAAGCCTGGAATACGCCTATGCATCCTACAAATGTGGGAAGCTTGAAGAAGCCACAGAAGCCTTGACTCGCACAGCTTCTGGGCGTGGTGCTAGTCACCTTGAGGCACAAGTGGTATGGTGCCCCATTTGTCCTTCTGTTGCTTGAGGACCAATGTTGATTAGCTTGTTATAACAGCGCTATCGTGCCGAGCACTTCCGACGGGCAGCCGAGCTTTATGAACAACTCTCGAAAGATACGACATCTTTCGGCCACGAAGTTAACGACCTGAACATTAATTCGTGGGCTACCGATGCCCAGCTTCAATGGAAAGGGGAACCAGAATTCGTGCGCCACGATCGATTGTCGAGGGAGGATTTGGAATCATTCGAAACAACCTACAACGCAGCTTGCTTGAACATTGCAAAGGGATCATTTAAGCAGAGCGAGGTCCTGCTTAACCGAGCTCAAAGTCAGCATGCCGCCATCTTGCCCGAGACTAGGACCCAGACTGACGTTTTGCATAGATATCTGCCGGACATCAGAGGACCTTTCACCTGACGACAAGGCCGCAGAGCTGCTGCCAATCGCAGTGCAACAACTCTATGTCCTGATTCAACTTGGAAAGTTGGAAGAGGCCGAGGCGGTCCTCAAAGATATTTCCGTGGAGAAGTACGTTGAATCATACCAGCTCGAAACTTATTACTTACATCCTTTACTAGCATCACCGAGTTATCAACCAAAAAGATCGCCCGTAACAACATCGTCCTCGCTCGTCCGACTGCCGTCAATCCCTACATCCTATACAAGGCCCTCCACGACACCCCAGATGCCACCAATAACGACCGGCTATTCGAATTCCAGGACCGTGATCTGGTCGGCAACTCGCACGCCGCAGACCTCCTTGTCCAAAAATACGATGGCATAATCCGGTCCACAGCTAAGGCACAGTCAAAACGCCCAAGCCCATCCACCGACGCTATCACCAACCTTCTCTCTGTATTCAATGCCGCAGCACACGCTCAAGGCGAAACCGGCTCTAAAGCCCTTAAACTGATTATCCCATTGCTGGAGCGACGGCCCACAGACATCGGCCTTCTTCTGACAGTGGTACAGCTCTATGTCAGCAGCGGCAACACCACCTCTGCTATCACAGCCATGGAGCGAACCCTCCGCAGTCTTGAGGGGTCAAACGACTCCGTCCGCTTCAACCCAGGCCTTCTCAGTGTCCTCGTCTCACTGTACCAGCGTGAAGGCCGCGGGGTCCAGATTCGCACCACTCTCGCACAAGCCGCCTCCTACTGGCGCACGAAGCCTGAGCCCCCGGCGTCCCTCCTCCGTGCAGCAGCCGCCTCCCTCCTGCACTCTGAAGACCACACCGACCTAGCCACAGCGAGTGATCTATTCCGTACTCTGCACCAGCAAGACCCCAACGACCGCGTCGCCATCGCCGGCTATGTCGCCTCACAAGCAACCCTGGACTATGCGCAGATCGAGTCCGAACTCGACCGCTTGCCGGCAGTCAGTGACCTGATCGCCGACGTCGACATCTCAGCTCTGGAATCCGCTGGCATTTCTCCCTCTGCCTCCTCAGTTGCAGCGGCCGCTGCTGCCTTCGCTGGTGCCCGCAAGCGCACTGCAGCTAGCGCCGACGACCGTGCCAACAAGCGTGTTCGCAAGTCCCGTCTGCCCAAGGACTTCGATCCCGCCAAGAAGCCGGACCCTGAGCGCTGGCTGCCTGTGCGTGACCGTTCTTCTTACAGGCCCAAGGGCAAGAAGGGTAAGCAGCGTGCTGCGGCCCTCACGCAGGGTGGTCCTGTCAATGAGAAGGCGGAAGAGTCCCCCGCTCAGCAACAGCAAAAGCCCGGCGGTGGCGGCGGTGGCTCTAATGCTAAGAAGAATAAGAAGAAGGGCAAGCGATAGTGTAATTTCAGACAGATAGAGATCATAGCTTGAATGCTACCTACGATACATGGAACACAGGTATGTATCTTGTATTTCATATTAAAGGGCGCCTCAAACCCGAGACGGCAGTCAAATAATTTCCCTCTGGCTGTTTTCAACCCCGAAGACTCCGATTATCCATGAGACCTTATGTAAACAATTCCCGTAGAAACAGCCCAAAGCAACCTCCTTAAAAAAACCCCTGACAAATATCTCAACCCTCAACCCAACGGAGTCCGAATGGTACCACACCGGCGGTTGTAGTGGTCAATGATCATAAGCAGCAGCCGCAGATCCATGACAGCGTCATCATCAGCAGTTGTCTTCGCCGCCGACCCCTCACCAACCAGATAAGAATGCAGAGCCACGAATTCACGCTCATAAGCCTCGTCACAGGTACTAACAGTCTCCGTCCGTTTTACACGAGGCCGAGGAACAGCATTCTCATTCTCATTAATCTGATTTCCATTGACATGATCCATCTCCACCGTCTCATCCGCTTCCTCAACAACAACCCGCACATAGGTCCCAGTACTGATCATCTCACCAGGACGCGGGAAGTCATATTCCACACTGAGCGTCTTATGCGCGCCGTAGACAGTCAAATGAGCATCACAGCGAGGCACAGCATCAACACCAGCCTCATAGAGAAGCGTGAACGGGAGACCATCATTCTCAGCGGAATTCGTATAGTGAAAAATGGCAGAGTAGAACGGGTTCGTGATAACAACGTTAGAAACAGCATTCGGGAAGCCCAACGACTCGCGCATCACCGACAGATCATGACAACCCAGCATACTGAGGTAGCGACAGAAAGCGGCTCTGTCCGGTGTGAGGTCGTCTTTCGACCCGTACACGTCTTCCAGCAGCGCGCGGAACTGCTCGGGGTTATTGTAGCTTTTTATTGGCGGCGCGATGTCCATCGAGGCCGGCGCGACGATGTTGTTCATTGGGCCGGCGATGTATCGACAGCGCGCGTAGTACACGCGGCCTAGGGCGGCGAGCTCTTTCTTGAAGACATCTGTGAAGCAGGGGGCGTAGCGACGCGCGCATCCGACGAATACTTTTGGGCCGTCTGTTTCGTTGGTGTCGTCGAGGGATCGGGTGGATTTGCCTTTTTTGATTGCTTCGCGGATCCGGCGCATGCTTGAGATGCTCATTGTAAGGGGGACTTCGACCATTACGTCTTTGCCGGATTCGAGGGCTGTCACGGTGTATTGCTCATGGTACTCTATTGGGAGGAGGTTGAGGATGACGTCCACTTCTTTATGGTGCAGCACATCTTCGACGACTGTTGTGCTGTGGGTTATGTCGAAGCGGGATTGGCACTGGTTTGCGATCTCGGCGCTGGGGTCGTAGATGGCTGTGAGGGTGTAGTAGGTTTTGAGCGAGCGGAGCACCGGGAGATAGGTGGCTTGGACGGCGTTAGTGGCGCCTAGGATACCTAGGCGGAGGACAGGGGTGGGCATGGCGGAGTAGGGAGCTGCGGATTCGATGGGTATGAGATGGAAGGATGAGAGATGATCGGGGTTTTTTTGTAGATCGTTTAAGGTGAATGACTGATAAGATGAACAAGTGAGCAAAGCGCGAAAATTAGAGTAAGAGCGATGCTTCGTTGACACGATCTTAGAACGATCAAAAGACACGAGGTTATTGCCCCTGTGAGCTGTGTACCATCCTTTTCCACTTCCTTGGAGACATGCCAACTTTGTGACATCATTGTCCAGCTGGACAGTGATCCAGGGCCACATTTCATAGTTCTGAGTTTTACCCGGTATAATTTGATCCATGGCCAGCAGGATCTGATTCTAGGTTAATATAGACAGTCGCAGATTATCTGTCGATCCTATATAGATAGGGTTTGGGCTATGTGTAAAACAGATACTGGTTGGAAATGAAAGGCATCATAGCGTATCGCGACAAAGGGTTATACTCCCGACGTGGAATTATCTGCTTAGAATAACAGATCATTAATTATCCTAGCTGTAGGACATTTTGGGTGATCTCTATAAGAATATCCATGAATGTAAGAACAAAAATAAGAAATATCCACCCGGATTCTAGAAAAGTGGAGATGTGGGTCGCTGTAAACCCCCAGATCTGCCTAGGTACATACCTCGGTACATACTTCGACCGATGTAGGTGAACCTTTCTGTAGGGTAATATAAGTATATAAATACAATGACTCGGTATTATTAATCTCATGCTAGTTCTGATTCCCGGAGCCATATTAGATCATGAAGTTTCTAGTAAAAGACCAAGACAACTGGATTCTCATAGTTGTGGGACAAACTCTATCTACTAGTTAGTTATTTAGTTACTGGGCCAAAATGATGAAGTCCTGATTTGAAAGGCAGAAATAAAATCAAAACAAACAGTAAACCTCCAGCAAAGATACTAGGGCTCACCTACCGATTCATTGCAATAGTACGCCTCATCTGGGTTGTGACAACAAGGAATCCAAAATAGTATGGCATATTCTTTTTACAGACAGACGACACGTTTGGCAAGGTCTGCTAGATTCCTTCGCTACTTGAGTGAACCCTTTTCTACCCATAGTCACAGCCTGGGAAGCAAGATCTTACTGATTGGTCTCATTTGGGTCTTTTACAATCGCTCTGAATTTGGTGTAATTTCTGAACTCTCTATACTTTGTTTGTCTGCCGGGATGGTTAAGTCGAAGCGCGAGCGTTGACGACCAATGCCTCGCCATACAAACTCACATCATAGCCATGCTCTTCTAAGTATGCTTTAAACTTGGCGTCCTCTGTCTCAAGCTCTCGAGACATATCTGGGATGAGGAACCAGGCAACCAGACCACCTACCACTGTGAAGGCCGCACCAATTAGGAAAACTGCTTGCTGGCCTTTGGCGGTGGTATCGAAGGAGTTCTGGATCGGGGTGAAGACTTCTGTCCCGATCGATGCCCCGGCTTTGCCAACTGCAGCCGCAAATCCGAGGAAATGACCACGTAGAGGTGTTGGAAATGACTCCGAAGCACAGAGGAATGTCGAGACTCCAGGGCCCATCTCTCCGAGCGCTTGGAAAATGCCATACATGACTATAAAAAGTGGGAAAACACTCTGAATAGGTTGGAGTGCAGCCCCCAGAATAAATCCCCATATAGCCCAGATCATGAACCCTAAGGTCATGGTCTGTTTGCGGCCGATTCGATCCATCAGGATACCACCAAGTAAACATCCTGGAAGATAAAAACAGTTGATGACGGTCTGGGAATTCTCTGGTCAGTTTAACCAGCTAAAAGATGGTGGTATGACGACTCACCCCGTATCCAATATTCTGAACTGTGGTGTTGTTGGGGTTAAGCTGCTCAATAATGGTGGACGAGAATAGACCAAATGGATATGTGACAAAGTCGTAGCAGAACCAAGCCAAGGCTATAAAAATCAACGTTAGCCAAAGCCACTGTACGATTCAACCAAACTGAATGACCCACATGTTCCAAGCATGGGTTTCCAGTAGCGACGTAGAACTAAACCGTAGGGATACTGCGACTTGATAGCATGCTTTTGGTATTGAGTAGAGTTGACCATCCGAAAGCGGAAGAAACAGATTGATAGTGGCAACTGATCCCAGTGTCAGAATCGTTAATTTTATTTAGGTTTTCGAGGCAAAAGACTTACCACAATGCCCAGACCGAATGCAACACGCCAGACCCCTTCAGAGTTTTGTTGGCTGTAACACGCGAGAACAATAAGAGCAACCAAGCCAGCTGCAACAAATCCCTATCGTAAAATTAGCAAGGTCCCCATCGACATCGTGCTATTACTGACCAGATCTATAGCAAAATCCGTGGTTAGTGCGACCAAGAAACCACGTCGCTTCCGGAGGTGGACTGTCTCATCAGCGGCCTCAGTAGCACTGGTGGCGCAAACAGGATATTCTCCTCCAGCGCCAAACCCTGCAATGCCTCGGGCAATAATCATCATCCAAAACATTCTGATTGCGGCGTAAGTGATGGGCTTCGATCGAAAAAGTTCAAGTTCTTGAATAGGCATACCCTAGTTGCGATTTTCCATGCGAGGCGGTTGCTAACACGACTCCGATAATAAGGAACGCCGTCGCGGCGACGATACCAGTCCGACGACCAATACGGTCAATCAGAACCCCAAAGAAAAGCATGCCAAATATTTCACCGATGAGATATGAGTTCGACAGGCGCGACTTTATAGTTGAAGACATTCCATCCTTATAGCTGAACTCATCAGCAAATTTGGCCAGAACTATTCTGGAAACAGGGCTACTCACAGAACTGAGAATAAAGGCTCCATATAGCCAACTACCGCACGGTTAGTACAGAGGAGAAAAAGACGAGCTTTTGAGATACAGATCAACACGTACTGATTTGAGCGTTGTATCCATCACTGAACAAGGCCAACCCGGAAATCACTACATTGAGGACACCCGAGCGTTTCTTCTCGGGTTCTCGTTGCTCGATATCCCAGTCGGTTTGCGAGACTTGCTCCTTGGGATCTTCCTTCTTCATGGTAGAGTCACTGGGAGATGTAGCCATATTGACAAGGATATTGAACAAACATCAATGAGGATAGGTTCCTATGGGAATATATTGATATCTATAGAAGCTATCTTCGATGGTTCTAACGATGAATTACTCCTAAAAGAGACCAATGACAGCGTGGAATAGAGACACGGTAGGCTCGGTGCGAAGTGCGAGATGAGCCTGTGGGTACGTGGTACTAAGTAGGGGTCCAAGCTCCCCGCCTGCCTAGATGCCTGCCTTATGTCCACCTGGACTCTGGGGGTGTAACAGAACTCCACAGTTTCGGTAGTTCCGGGTTACATTTGATTCTTTCAGGGCTCATAAAGATGTCTTGGCAACCCCCACATAGTCGCCTTAGTCTCCTAAAGTTGAATAGGGCATTACCTGATCGCAAACCTATCGGAGCTTATCTTTCAGCCATGTGCTTGAACCTCGTCTCCTGAGATCCGTAGTCTTCCCGAACATGGAATTACCTGATTGTCAGACCTATCGGAGTTTATCTTTCACTCATGTGCTTGGACATTTTACGTAGCGGATCTATATTTTGTATCGTTCGAAAAGTACTCATCTCGGTGCGAAGGGCGATACCTCCGGACTTTCATCGCAAATACCTACTTCTCGATCGATCTACAAAATGCGAGCCCCTGAGCTCCCAACGTTTCACGAAGGCATTATCTTTTGTGTTTCTACCCGAATCCACTGGTAAAATAATGAACAATTTCCATTACTCGCTCTCTGCTGAGCAGCTTCAGAGTTTCCACGAGTGTGGATACCTGCTGATTCGTGATTTCTTCACTTCTAAAGAATCGGAGCTGTTGCGAGAATGGGCACAAGAAGTCCATGATCTTCCATGCACCCCTGGCGTGCCTTGGATGCCCTATGAAGAGGTTAATTCAGAAGGCAAACGCGTGCTATGTCGCACCGAGAACTTTGCCAACTCGCATGTCGGATTTGATAGTTTCCTCCGAGGGCAACGTGCAACAAGTGTTCTACAACAGCTCGCAGGAGAGGAGATGCTTCTCTTCAAAGAAAAGATCAATTACAAATTGGCAGGAAGCGGTAAGTAATGTCCACTTTTATAGCCCTGACTCAATCGCTCACCTGTCTGGTAGGTGGTTTTGACCCTCATATCGATGCCAATGCCTACACTCACGTTAAAAACATCAAGCATTTGACTATTCTTGCAGCGGTCGATGAAATGAATGCAGCCAATGGAGGCCTGGAAGTTGTGGATGGCAGCCATCGCATGGATATTCCTCTCGGTACCGATCGCTGCATTGCATCGGATTGGGTCGAAAGCAATGTATGGACACCGGCTGAGCTTGATTCAGGTATGCAAATTGAAAAGCTCCCAATACTTTCATCGAAGTTTTATTAATAAGAGTAGGTGATATCTTGGTATTTGGCTCATACCTGGCCCATCGCAGTGGCGCCAATATTAGCTCGAAGGACCGGCGTGCGATCTATGCAACGTATAACTGTGCCGCTGAAGGTGATCTGCACGACCAGTACTATTCCGATCGTCAGAAGCTCTGGCCTGCAACACATATGCGGGAGAGGGGACAGTCATATGAAGAAGGTCGTGTACGATATGCCTTTGGGTCCCCTATGTTGACCGTAGATTCGAAGGCCATCCCGGCCTGATCGGCGCAGGCAAGCCGTATGGCATACTTAGTAGCAAGTAAAAGGTCAACCCATGTTATCTAAAGATGTTGTCACAATGATATACGTATAAGCAAAAGCTCTAAAATGCATGCGCTATTGAAATAAATTGATCTGGTCCAGATTCCAAATTCGTGTGGGCCACCGGCATGATCACCGAACATTTTAGTATACCCTCCAACTGGACCCGAGATGTAACAGAAGAGCTCTGGCGTATATAAATACTTCGTTCCACCTCGCCTCTTTTCTCCTTTGTCCACGCGGATCTTGTTTCTCTCCAACGCTTCTCCTATTCGATTAAATTGGACTATGAATAATCAGCAGTCACCTAAAGAAAAGGCAGAGGCCTTGATCGGCGCTCTAGAAAAGTATGGTCAAGGTGACTACATCGGGGAGTCGATTAGCCAGTTAGAACACTGTCTGCAGGCGGCTCATCAGGCCCATAAAGCGGGTACGTATCGTTCTTAAGATCTCTCACAGTTACTAATATTTTTCTAGATGCCCGTGATGAGTTGGTAATTGCGGCTTTATTGCATGACATTGGTCAGATCATTCCATTGGAATCCACCAAGGAGGCACGCATGAATCTTCGCGAAAGTACGGAAAATGTCGGCCGGGTCGGCCATGAAGCCATCGGGGCATCATATCTTCATTCTCTGGGGTTCAGCGAGGCAGTGTGTCGCTTGGTGAATAGTCATGTCGCTGCGAAGCGGTAGGTAATCTTGTCTGTCTTTTGCGAGCCCAGACTCACCTTTTAGGTACCTTACTGCTATTGACCAAAGATACTACAAATCTCTATCATCTGCCTCGCAGAAATCGCTGGCATTTCAAGGCGGCCCCTTTCGAGATGCGGAGCTCAAAAACTTCGAGGAAGATCCACTTCGAGACGACATGGTTTCACTTCGACTGTGGGATGATGCTGCCAAGTTGGAGGGTGTTGAGGCAATCACACCTCGTGCTGGGGTGTATCTGGACATGATCATCGCGCATTTGCAACTTAAAACCTGAGGGAGCCACATTGTATTGGTGAAATCTCACCTTGTATGCCTGTTTACATGTCCGATTTTAGCTAGGAAGCAAAAACACATGGTGGTTTTTTCCAAGTCCAGTGTTCACTGAGTAATCACCCTGCCCAGCCTTAAGAGGTGCGAAATACTCAGTGAGGAGCCTAAGCGCCCTCATAAAGCTGTGCTGGGAAAATGGCTGGGGCCTAAAACCCGGTGTAATATGCATAGGGCTGCGTATATATCAACCTGGTGACTTCATTTAAGATACTTCAAGGTACTTTATTTGGCTAGTAAAGATAAGTGGGGGCCCAGGTATCCCGAGGTACCCAACGTATACAGCTCAGCCTCACTTGGCCAACATAAGAGGGGCTATCCACATCAGCCAACGTCATCGAACCTTGGAATTCTCCTCTCGTGATACTCCAACTTCTGCCTGTGTCTTACCCTTTCTCCTTTTCCACTCCAGTTTATCATGGGTGTAAGTCTTCCAGATTCCTCTTCCCACTACCACTCCCTAGAACCCTTCAATCTGACCCATCACCTTTAGTTTGCTCAGAAAATCGCTGCAGCTCAGAATAGCCAAATGGCCAATAGTGGTACCTACGGAGGTGCCCCTCCATCAGGGTACACTGGGGGTCCTCCTGCAGCCTTGCAGGCTGGTGGATCGGTAAGTCATATGTCCATCTCTGCGCCTGCTTCTGCTATGACTCGCAGTTCGACGTCATAGGGGAAAAAAAAAAGAAAAAGAGCTAACATTCTCAGCAGAGTCAACAGCCCCAATATCAGGCTTATTCAGGATCCCCAGCCCCTCAGGGATCGGTAAGCCATATTTTTCCTTAACTCTTACTTTTCGTGTTTTCCCCCACTTCCACGATTTACCCCTCCACGGTCATCACTATTCTGGAACAACCATGTCGGGACCTTACCAAGGCTATCCTCCATACGGCGGCTCATCTCAACATCAGAACAATCCATCATCTCCCCACTCCAGGCCTCCGCCGTCAACATCTTACCCCGCATCTCAGCAACCTCAGCAATCGCAGGGCTATGGCCGCCCGCCTCCACCCCCACCACAAGGCCAGCCTTATGCCTCCGCTAGTTCGCCTTACCCGGGTCAGCAACCGGGACAGCCCTATGCTTCTCCCAGCTCGCCCTACCCAGGACGACAGTCTGCACAGTCGCCCTATCCTGGTCAACAGCAACCTCCTCCACAAGGATACCCTGGACAACAGCAATACCCCGGACAACAACAATATCCCGGACAACAACCATACCCTGGACAGCAGCCGTCATATGTACAAAATACCCCTTGCCCTGCATCACTGCCTATTTCTGTGTTTTGTGTCCGATTCCACCTCGGATTCTCGTCGAATGCTTAATGGCCGAAGAAGAATGCTAACAGAAAATAGAACCAGGCACCGCCCTACCCTACCCAGGGAGCTCCATACCCCGGTGGCCAGGGCCGTCCTGGACCCTCACCTGGACCACCAAGTGGACCACCACCAGGCCAGTATGGCGCACCCGGTGGCGCCCCTCAGCCTGCAGCTCCCCCGGCCACCCAGCAACAGGTCGCAGCTTACCGATCGCTTTTGATTTCCACGATTCAGGAGAAGAATCTCCAAAGCTTCTACCCTCCGGAGCGACTGGACCGACTTGTTCAGTCGCTTGCCGCTGAAGCACCGGGAAAGCTCAATAGGCTGATTCATGAATGGGCTGTGCCCATGGAGGTTGCAACTGATGTCATGAAGCTCTCGCTGTTCGACGTGATTCTCTACGTTGATGACAGTGGATCCATCGAATTCGAAGAGAAGGGACTCCGAAAGGATCAACTCAGACAGATTCTCGGTATTGTAGCTACTGCTGCATCTACCTTCGACCAGGACGGTATTTCTGTGCGATTCATGAACTCCAGTGAAGTGGGCGATGGCATTCGCAACGCAGAGGATGTCAACCGTCTAGTGTCCCGAGTCCGTTTCTCGGGCCTGACCCCGCTGGGTACCAACCTGAAGACCAAGGTCATCGACCCGATGGTTGTTCAACCCGCCAGGGCCAACCGTCTCGAGAAACCCGTGCTGGTGATCACCATCACCGATGGACAGCCTGCTGGCGAGCCTCACGGTGCCGTGGGTGATGTCATTCGCTACGCAGTGGAGGAGACCTCGCGGACTCGTTATGGCCCCGGCTCCGTATCCTTCCAGTTCTCGCAGGTGGGAACTGATCAGCGGGCTCGCGACTTCTTGGGCTCTCTGGACGAGGACCCTCATATTGGCCACCTGATCGACTGTACCTCCAGTAAGTTCCACGTGGGGTTCATGGTGGATCTAGCTAACGGGGTGTTCTAGACTTCGAGGTTGAGCAGGATGAGATGTCGCGCGCTAACCCACCGGTGCATCTCACTCGCGAGCTCTGGGTAAGTGATTCATTTCATTGATCATCACATATTATTCAACTGACTGTCTATATAGTGTGCCAAACTGATGCTCGGTGCTATCGATTCCTCCTACGACACCAAGGATGAGCGAGACAACGAACGTCGTGGTGGACCTCCACCTGCACCGGTAAGCCAGTACGGAGGAGGAGGATACGGTCAACCCCCGCCACCCCAGGGCCAAGCTCAGCCTCCGTATGGTCCGCCCCCTGGTGCCCCGCCGGCTTCGTATGGTTCCCAGTCCGGCTACCCACCGCAGGGTGGTCAATACCAACAGCAGCCTCCCCAGCAGCCTCCCTACCAGGGATCGCGGGGTGGCTATGGCCAACAACCTGGATCTGGCTACCAGTATGGTGGACAGCCGCCACGCTACTGATGGAATGTGACGTCATAGTATGGTTTCCGTTGTTTTTTGCCATGCGGGCTTTGAGGGATGGTTGTGGTTGGGGTGTTCCTTTAACCCCACGTAGTTTCCATGAATTACGAACGCTTTGAACCTAACTTTAACTTGAATATTATTAGTATGTCGTTTTTAAACTTTGCATGTCTGGGCCTTCCACGGTTGACAAGTCTATGTACCTTTCTCGTGATCAGGGCTGCCAAGGCAACACTAAAACGAATCAGCCCACAAGTTAGGGCATTCAAGAGTTGTGAAACCCGTTGTAGAAACACTTAGATACACAGAATGGTCGTACATGACCTACATAAGTAACATGTCTTAACAAAAAACAGTAAAAATAAAGTCACTGTATACTCTCAGTTTTTCCGTTTTTCATCTGCAATAGGGCTGCAGGGTCCACTGGAATGTGAGGTTAGCCAATAGAAAGGCCAGCAGATCTGGATCCAGCGGGCCCTTCGTATGTCGCCCCAATGCAGCGAGGAACGTTCCCTTTTGATTCGACGATTCTTAATTTAAACCTGGATGGGGCTGTGCCTGGGCGTAAGCGTGGCCATTATATGGTTGCGTCTTACGCGTTGCCCAGAACTTTGCCATGAACGGTTTTTGCTCTTGGGATGGTCTTGGACGTTTTAGACGTCTGGGATTTTCCAATGTCCACTTAACTCCAATTTTATTATTATATTGCTGCCTATCATATCCTTGTACGGAGTATGTTCTTCTAGATATCGCCAGTTGGCACACTAGGCCGTTTTGGGTTTACACCATTTCCCTCTAAACTTGGTCTGGGCTACTCCTGGTCTCTCTCTCTGGGTTTTTTACTCTTAGTCCCTCTTAGTCCTCTTGGCCTTTCTTTTTCTCTTCTACAGGACACAATCTTTGCGCCCTTCATTTCTATCCTTGCGTCCGCCGGGAGTACTTTCGTTTGCTCAACCCTCGCAACACCTTCTTTTTACGACAGGGGAAAACGTCTCCCCCGCTAAAAGAACAGCATAAGAATGACTGTCTGATCAGTGCATTCAATCGAATACTTCAGTTTACATTTAAGGGGGAAAACTAGCAGAGGAAGGATCCAACAGTCTCGGAGGGAAAAAAAAAATACCGAGATCGTCGGGTCTGTCCCGCTCACTTGCGCCAGGAATTCAGCTATCGTCATGTCCAACGATAAACCTACAGAACCTACAGAGGACACCCAACCTGATCAGAACGATGTCCTCCGACGCCCATCTCTTGTGTCGTCACGAACCCTCTCCGACTCCGGGCGGCGGATCTCCTCCCAGCATGTACGCTTCTCAACCGATCTCGATCGCGAGTCGGCCGAGGAACAACAGCAGACAAATTGGGACCGCGGCCTGACCATCGACACGGCGCTGGCGCCTCCATCTGTTCGACCCGCTCCCTCACCCACCTCTCCGCTCTCACCTCCCAATGCGACACAAAATGCGACCCTCTCCCCAGTTCCCCCGCCGAGTCCTGAGTCCGCCGGTCGGTCTCGGTCGCGAAATCGTGGATACTCGCTCCGTCGCAGCATATTTAATAAGACCATCAACTCGACGGAGAAGGATGATCTCGCCCTGGCTGAGCTGGGTGAGGTCAAGGAGGCCTCGTCTGATGTGACTCTCGCCCAGGCCCCGGCTGCTGAGACGCTCACTGCTGCCGATGAGAAGCATGCTCTGAGTGTTGCGCCGACTGCGACACTCGACTCAACCCATAAGGACGATGCTTCCCCTTATGTCTCCTCTGATCCTTCGGAAAAGGGTCTCAAAGAACAGTTCTCCGTGTCTGTGGCCCAGGAGAAGTGGCTCCAGAAAAAGGCGACTACTGCAGTGGCTGTCGCACGTTTCCAGGCTGTTATGACGTCTATCCAGAAGTTTATTCTGCGCATCCAAGATATTCCTCCTACTAAGGATGGGCGCCATATTGACTTGAATCCGTCTATGGTAGGTTCTATGATTGATGAGCGCACCCAGAAACCTTATATCGGTAACTTCATTCGTTCGAGTCGTTACAGTCTCTGGAGTTTCTTCCCCCGCCAATTCTTCGCCCAATTCACCAAAGTCGCCAACTTCTACTTCTTGATTGTCGCCATCCTGCAGATGATCCCTGGCTTGAGTACAACTGGAACATATACAACCATTGTTCCGCTTCTGATCTTCGTTGGTATCTCAATGGGCAAGGAAGGATTTGATGATTGGCGCCGGTATCGCTTGGACAAGGAAGAGAACAATCGGGATACTTGGGTGCTCCGCCCAGGTCACGGCACCATCCAGGACGGCGCCTCCATGATAAGCAACGCTCAAGATTGGGAGCGGATCAAGTGTGAGGAAATTCGTGTTGGGGATGTTATTAAACTTGTGCGCGACCAACCGATTCCCGCTGATATCGCTCTCCTCCACGCCAGCGGACCCAACGGCGTCGCTTACATTGAGACCATGGCTCTCGACGGTGAGACAAATTTGAAAAATAAGCAGCCTTGCCAGCCTGTATCCAAGGTGTGCTCGACTGTGGAGGACATCAACAGCAATTCCTTGCACTTTGTCCTTGAGGACCCCAACTTGGATCTATACAAGTTCGACGGTCACGTCACCGTCAATGGCCAAGAGAAACTGCCCTTGACCAACAATGAGATCGTTTACCGTGGCAGCATCCTTCGCAACACTGACCGCGCTCTGGGTATGGTGATCTATACTGGCGAGGAGTGCAAGATCCGCATGAACGCCAACAAGAACCCGCGAATCAAGAGGCCCGCTCTCCAGGACAAGGTCAACCGCGTGGTCATGTTGATCGTGGTATTGGTCGTTATCCTGGCTGTTATCTGCACTGTGGCCTACAAGTTCTGGTCCCAGGACGTGGAGCAACATTCTTGGTATCTTGACAATGCTAGTGTCTCCTACGGCCCAATCTTCACTTCGTTCCTGATCATGTTCAACACCATGATTCCCATCTCCCTCTACGTGAGTATGGAAATCGTCAAAGTTGCCCAGATGCTGCTCTTGAATGATATCGACATGTACGATCCGGAAACCGACACCCCGCTCGAGGCGCGCACATCCACCATCAACGAGGAGCTCGGTCAAGTCAGCTACATCTTCTCCGACAAGACTGGTACCCTGACAAATAACTCCATGCGCTTCCGCAAGATGAGTGTGGCTGGAACCGCGTGGTTGCACGACGCCGACCTCCAGGAGGAGGCTGCTCGTGCAGGCGATCACACCAAGTTGATTCACAAGAAGCGGAGCACAAAGGGGAAAAAGGCAATGGGCCGCAAGTCCAATGTTTCCGAGGCTCAGATGCCCCGTCCGTCGAATGTTTCTGGCCCTCTTGATCCTCTCCGTCAGTTTGGCCGCTCGGCTACTACATACCGCACTGAAGAGATGCTCGAATATATCCAGCGCAAGCCATATACCATCTTTGCCCGAAAGGCGAAATTGTTCATTCTGTCCATGGCCTTGTGTCACACTTGCATTCCCGAAAAAGACGCGAACGGAAACACCACCTTCCAGGCTTCCTCCCCGGATGAGCTAGCTCTTGTTCTTGCAGCCCAGGAACTCGGATATCTCGTCGTGGATCGCCAATCAAACACGTTGACCATCCGCACACAACCAAACGGACCAGACGAAGCCACCAGCGACGAAGTCTACGAGGTCATGGACGTTATCGAGTTCTCAAGCGCGCGAAAGCGCATGTCAGTCGTTGTTCGCATGCCTGACCAGCGAATTTGCCTATTCTGCAAGGGTGCCGATACCACGCTGATGCGTCTCCTGAAGCAAGCCGATTTGGCACACGAGAAGGCGACTGAGATCGAGCGCCGTGCAAGCCGACGCAAGAATGCCGAGGTGAACCAGGCCATCCGACGTAATAGTGAGCACCACAGCCGGAAGAACAGTGGCGTTCGGAGCAGTATGACCCGACCTAGTTTCAACCGTCGGCGTTCGTCGATCACTGGCCAACAGGGTTCGGCTCTTCGAGCCAGTATCGATGTTTGGCTGCGCGACCGGGAGACCGATGGTGGTATGCGGAACAAAGAGGCTGATAGTGAGTACTACAGCCCTCGGCCTTCGGCGCAGATGGGCAGACCCTCGGCTGCGATCTCGGACTCTGGCAGCTCTACGAATGGCGAAGACGATGAGGATCTTGTGGAGGAGGCACTGGTTGTCAACGAGGCGGCTATTTTCGAGCGCTGCTTCCAGCATCTGAATGACTTTGCCACTGATGGCCTGCGGACTTTGTTGTATGGCCACAGGTTCTTGGATGAAGCGACCTACACGAACTGGAAAACTGCCTACAACGAGGCTTGCACTAGCCTCGTTGATCGACAGCAGAAGATTGAAGATGCTGGCGAGCAGATTGAGCAGCAGCTTGAGCTTACTGGCGCCACTGCTATTGAGGATAAGCTGCAAAAGGGCGTGCCGGAGGCTATTGACAAACTGCGACGAGCCAATATCAAGATGTGGATGTTGACTGGTGATAAGCGGGAGACTGCTATCAATGTCGGCCACTCGTGCCGCCTTGTCAAGGAGTACTCGACACTGACTATTTTGGATCACGAGAATGGCGACGTTGAGCAAACGATCACGCATCTTATCGGGGAGATTACCGGTGGCCGTGTGGCACATTCTGTGGTTGTGGTTGATGGCCAGACGCTGTCGTTGATCGAAGCGAATGATGTCGTACGTGAACAGTTCTTCCAACTGGCCGTCAAGGCAGACTCCGTCATCTGTTGCCGAGCGAGCCCGAAGCAAAAGGCCTTCTTGGTGAGATCAATTCGCAAACAGCTCACCGACGCAATCACGCTTGCCATCGGAGATGGCGCCAACGATATCGCCATGATCCAGGAGGCCCATGTGGGTATCGGAATCACTGGAAAGGAGGGATTGCAGGCAGCTCGTATCTCGGACTACTCGATTGCGCAGTTCCGCTTCCTTCTCAAGCTGCTTCTGGTGCATGGCCGGTGGAACTACATGCGTGCTTGCAAGTATACACTCGGCACGTTCTGGAAGGAAATGTTGTTCTATCTGACTCAAGCGCTGTACCAGCGCTTCAACGGCTACACTGGCACCAGTTTATACGAGCCGTGGAGTCTGAGTATGTTCAACACGCTTTTCACCTCGCTCGCTGTCATCTTCCTGGGTATCTTCACCAAAGACCTCTCAGCATCAACACTGCTAGCCGTGCCGGAGCTCTACACCAAGGGTCAAAACCACGGCGGCTTCAATATCCGGCTCTACCTAGGCTGGTCATTCATGGCGACCTGCGAAGCAGTGATAATCTTCTTTACGATGTGGAGTCTCTTCGGCCTTGCGAAAGTCAATCCCAGCGATAACGACATCTTCTCTATGGGTCTACTCACCTTCTCCGCGTGCATCATCGTCATCAACGTGAAACTCCAAGCCCTGGAAGTCCATAACAAAACCTACATGTCGCTAATCGTAATCATAATCTCTGTCGGCGGCTGGTTCATGTGGGATCTAATCCTCGACCGCCAATACACAATGGCCTCCGGCAAAGGCATCTACTTCGTTCCCTCCAACTTCATCCACCAGTCCGGCCACAACCTCCTCTTCTGGACCGTCCTCCTCCTCTCCGTCTCAGGAGTCCTGCTCTTCGAATTCACAGTCTCAACTCTCCGCGCCCTCTTCTTCCCAACAGACGTCGACCTCTTCCAAGAATACGAACAAGACCTCGACATCCGCAAGCGCTTCGAAGAAGCAGCAGCCTCAGAACTCCAGCAGGGCTGGGACCACGGTACCAAGAGATCAAGCTTCGAGATCGCCCGCGATAACGCCGAGAAGGCTGAGATGGACGCTCGCGAACGCCACGTCCGCGAGCTGCTCGCCCGCCCCCGCGTCATGGATACTAAGGAACTCGAGCTCGAAAGCGCCAGCGCGACGGTTAGTCATAACAGCAGCGTGCCGAGTCGCAATGCTGAGACGGACCGTGGTCGCCAGTCTGGCCTCCTCTGTCCGGAAGACGCTAATGTGCGTCGGCGCTCCGTTGAGATCCAGGAGCTCTTTACTAAGGGCTATGGTGCTGTGCGCAAGGGCCAGCTCAAATGATTGAAGATTGAAGATTCGATTTGTATATGTATGACGGGACTGTTTTTCCTTCCTTTTTTTCCTTTTCTTCTGATGTTAAAATTTCTTTTTTCATCCACGGTCTTTCTCTCATAGCGATTGGATCTGCGATTCCTGTCCATTCACTTATCATGCGATCCCCTCGGGCATCGAATGGCGTTGGTTTGAATTTTGAATTTGGCTGTCCACTTTCGTGGTCTCCTTCCTTTTTGTTCGCTGTTCGGTCTGTTGCACAGTCGGCCGTCAGTTCCAAGATACCCCGACTCATATCGTTGGCTGGTTTTTCGCGTTACATATCGGGTTCTCGTTGCATACGTGTGATTCCCCCTTTTTTTTTTCTTGCAGTTGAGGCACAGTACATATTTCCTGCCTCGCTGAGTTATTTTTAATTTAAAGATTTGACAGTGTTTGCTTTGTTGGTCTTGTAGGTTTCATTATAGTATGGATATCTTATAGTAGTCAATAAAATGTCCGATGAGGCGAAGTTCATTCAACACCTGGGCAATACGGCATCGACCCCGACGGATGTATAACTTCGACGAGAAAGTTTTCGCGATGGGTTTAACCACGACCGCAAAAGTAGTTATAAAAGCTGAAACTACCGGTCGAAGATCCCTTTTACAACCCGGAAATCGCGAGTGGGTTACCGCGATTGAGTCAATTTAAATTAGGGTTTAGGGTGTCAGATTATCCTGCTCACGCTAGATTGCTACAACACGGATCAAAGAGGTCCGAATATGACGCGAAATGAATGATAAGTCACAATCTAAACTATACCTGTACGACACTTAATAGCTTTGTTCTATTTAGGCGCCTGAGGCAGGCGCTTCGCGCACTACCCTTTCCATCGCGCCCTTTGTTTTCGTCTTCCTCTCTTCCCTTTTCCTCCCCGTTCTTGATACTTTAGTTGAATGCATTTTTTTTGTTGATCGACTCGGCCCGTAACACCTTGCCCATATAGCCTTGTGAGACTCTGTGTTGGGCTGAAGATGAGCGATGAACTATATACTTGAAGGGGACTGCTTTCAAAGTCCAACTCACTTTATCTTTGCAGGTTAGGAAGACCATAAAGACGCTTTTATATGTCTAATGCACTCGCAATTTACTGCACACTATTATCGTCAACTATTGTACTCCATTTTGGCCTCATATCCAAGCAACCGAATTCCTATCCGATCCTGTATCCTCAATATCCTCTTTCGAGTCATCTAGCATGGGTTGAAAAACAATTTCCCCATGATCCCACGATTCCTGGCCCTTTCTCCAAAGCACCGGAACCCTACCAAGATCCTTACATTTCACCTGCTCAACATACTCTGCAACACCCTTCCCACCCTTAGACGCACCCACAATCAATGCTCGATTATCCTGATAATCAAAAAACGGAAGATCCTTCCACCATCGCATTCGAAGGCCCTCCCCGATAACCAGAAGCGCAATCAAACCCGTGATCACCGCACTGGCAATAACATAAGCCCGCGATCCGACGCGTAGAGCAGAGACCTGGACCACGACAGGCGTCGACTTCCTGAATTCACTAACCACCAATTGAGCCGACGCATATGCAACCAGCATATCGTCGACCAAGGATGTAACTGCGTTCTCCATTCCCTTCATCACGATCTGCGTCTCCGATAGATTCCCACCAGCGACGGATGTGCGGTAATCACTAATGCTAGCATTAAAGGCATCACCAAGCGTCGAGCGATAGTAACTGGTCAGATCGTTGGAGATGAGTTCGAGTTGTCGCATGACGATGTGGGTTATGTTGTGATGGGGATCGATATCAAGGACCGGGCCAACTGATAATAATTCAGATTGAGTTAATTTGCTAACGGTGATGTTCCGTCCTTGGATGTCGACAGAGACATTAAATAATGCCGGGTTGAATGTGACGGCACACTGGACCTGATTCAAATTCTTGTAGTAATTCCCTGCGGTGATGGCCACGTAACGCTTCGCAGTGTATTCGGTGGGAACCGCCGATACCCCTAATGCAACTATTGCCTCGTCGCCTCGACCAATGTAGACCGAGTATTCGGGACTGCTAAGGTTGCTGTCGGGAAGGAGCCCGCGAGCTGCGTAGAGAGTGGTCTGTGGAAGGACTTGGAGTACAAAGTTCGAGCTGGTATTGTATATGCAGTCAACGGAGGCGTCCAGGCCAACTTCGTTGAAGGTATAGTTTCTTGCGTGGGGTATAGCGACGATATTATCGTCGGAGAGGCCAGCACTTGCGCCAACTCCGTAAGACCGGCCGTGATAATTGTATCGAGTGTTGTCTATTTTGGGGTGATTGCGAACGCCGCCGTTGATTGGGGAGGCGGAGTTCATGGAAGATAGCAATGAGCCCAGCAAGGCCATGCCTACTGAGTAGCTGAAGTAACCCTTTGTCTCACGAATTGACAAGCCTGTCTTGTCGATCTGGGCTGGGTATTCTTTGATTAAACTTATGTTGGACCAATCTGGAATGAGCAGGGAAGAGGGTTGGGTGCCGATAGCATCTGCGGGTGTCAAAGCACCAGTCCATAGTGCTGATATGACAGCAGACAGATTGGCAAAAAGCACTGTGATGACAATCATCCAGAAAGGTAGACAGAAGTTGTTCGTTGGAGTGGACAGTGCTGACCAGAACCCAAGCACGTTCAGGGAGACTGGAGATTGTGTAAATCGAATGCGAGTTGTCAAGTTGATCAGGCGACAGAGTGCGAAGACTTCGATGGCTGCCAGGATTGCACCGAAAATCTGGACTGCTGTCTGGACTGATGTTCGATATGTATTCACAAAAGCATAAAGGTTGTCTGGAAGATGCCAGCTGGAGGCATCACTGTATACCAAAAGAATGCTCAGCGTCAAAGGGATAATGAGAAGAACAAATAGAAGATGCTCGATCCAGGAGTTGGATGGGGGTTGTTGGTTGTCATGGTCTTTGTTGCTTTTCGATGAGACAATTAAGTGTTTGTTCTCACCCAGGTGTCGATTTAGTCGCATGGTCCAAATAAATATTTAGACAGAGGTATATTAAAGTTGTATTATAATATTAAAAAAAGAAAGAGTCGCGCTCAGATTCCGTCAAGACGGAGATGCATTGGGTATTTAGAGTCAGTCCAACGGGGAATCAACGTCTCAGGCAAGGCGCCGGAAGCTTTATAATGCAATCCATCTACCGAATCACAGCAATCTCAGATCTGCATGGCTGATTCTCAAGGACCGGAGTCTCTTAGGGTCAAATGGCAGAATTTCCTTCCTACACCAGAAACGGGAGCCGAGAATGATCAAGCCTCACTTGCTGAGAGTAGAGAATCCTAAAGATAGTCATTCTTGTGACTAGGTGCATATGATGAAACGACACTAACATTGCGATATGCTAGCACCCGGGCATCGCCATAGGTGGCGCGCTCTGCCAAGATCCATGAGCCCAGTGTCTTGCCGCCACGCTAGTCAATCCCAGCGCGTAGAGAAAATATACTCATAGTGGAAGTGGAACCAGAAAATTCCAAAAAAAAGCTCGATGATATACGGTCTCTATGAAGCAAGGATGAAAGATGTAACTCGTCGTGACGAGGTTGGCCGACGTCGGGATCCTGGTTGTTGGAGGCCTGATAAACAAGGCCACAGCACGCATTGTGCGTCATTCAACCACCCTTGTGCTTCATACATAAGGAGAATTAGAGTCGAAAACACGACACCAGTTCACTAAATGCCATTTAGAACCATATAAGGAAAACGAAATTGACAATCACCAAGTGACAATGGAGACCGTCACGTGGGGTTATCCCCGGCCTTCTTTTTGCCGTTGACCCCATTCTCATTTCTCCTCTGCCATCGTAGGTTGAGTTTCTCGGAAAATACATTTCTTCAACATCCTTGTAATCTAGTGAGAGAGGATATGCCCCCGGGAGGTTTGTGAAACATACACCAAGAAGTTGCGGCTCTAACGATCACCAGGCCCGGCTTGTATAACATGCCGTGAAAAGTGTCGTAAATGCGACCGCACAAAACCCGTTTGTCAAAGATGCATCACCAAGGGCCTTGAGTGCAAAGGATATCCGGATAAGTTCCGTTTTGCGGGGCTAGCAACCCGGGGAAAGTGGAAGAACAGGGCCGTCCCTGCTGTGAGCCGTGACCATGCTGTCCTGGCTCAGCCGGGCAGTAAAACCGATCATCCAGATGCCAGCCGTGAAGACTCAGATCAGCAGCATTCAAGTGCTTTGGCCTCGTGCGAGGATCAGAATATTGAATCACCAATGGCACTCCTCGACCATCCCTGGCCACAGCCGGAAGGGGGAGCTGTGGAGTTGGACGATTTATTAATGCTAAAAGGGACGGAGCTGTTGTTGACACATTGTGTGCTTACTTTCTCCTCGGTATTTAATCAACCTTGACTGACTGCAAAATATCTAGATGACCAGGTCATATGTCCACATCAAATCGCTCTTCCAGCTGGCGCGGACAACCCATATCAAATTTATGTTTTGCCGCTAGCATACGAACAAATAGGCCTTCTGTATGCAGTTCTAGGTCTTACCGCATGCCACCTGGGAATAAAGAAAGAAGATGTATATCTGCGAGAAACGCTGGCTGTTGAATATCGAGTCAGAGCTATACGCTGTCTTGGAGAAACTCTCCGAGACGGGATATCTGGCGAGCTGGATGAAAATGAACGCGATGGGATTTTCGTTACTATTCAGATACTGTTACTCCAGGATGTGAGTTGACAATCTTCCATTTTGACAAGAACTAATGGCTGAATCTGGATGAAGATTTTCGAATCGGGCATCTCTACCCACGGAGTTCACATTACGGGTGCGCTATCTATTTGCAACCAGTTGCGCTTGTGTCATACCCTATCCAGAGAGAGTGAAAGAACGATATTCTTCTTGGGGAATCTAGCATGGCAAGTTCTCTCATCTCGTTTCCAGTTTTTGGATCCTAGTTCCTGACGTCCTATCAGGCTGGACATCATCCGTTCACTCGCAGATCCACGACGACTATGCTTCTCCCCCGAGCTTCGAGAAGCCGTAGCCACTTTAAGCGACTTGAAATTCGAGCGGGTCAATGGCTGCCCACGCGAGATGTTCCTGATAATGGGCAACGTCATGGAGCATGCCAAGGCGCATGCGACGGGCAAGATCGAAACGCCAGAATACGAGCGGCTTCTCCATGCTTGCCGGTACAAGTTCTACTCATGGCGTTTGAAGACTGACAGCTATCCAAACGACGATCCTCGCTGGCCTGCAGTGGCCGAGGCATTCCGTCACGCATGCATACTGCATACATCTCGCTTGCTGGATATGACCCAACCGGCTGAAGCGCCAATAATACAAAATTCGGTTACAGCAATCCTGGACTCCCTAGCAGAAATACCCGCAGAATGCCGTCTGATCGAGCTGGTGGTCATGCCACTGTTCATGGCTGGGGCTGATGCTTTGTCCCCTTACGCTCGGCATTATGTTCTTCTGCGATTCGAACATGTCCGGTCTCATGGTGGGGTGGCTAATCATATGTCGATTTCTTTGCTCAAATCTGTTTGGGATGGTCGGGGTAGACAGGCGAAACATGACAGCAGCAATATTTCATGGGTGTGGTTTGTGAGTTACCTTCTCTATGGGATATTTACTTGATCTTGGCTGACTTCTGCAGACTCGCGACTCGGAGTCGGAGCGGCAACATGACTATCTTATTATATAAATCCATCCAATACCTTTGTGCATTTAATCTCGTGATTCTTTTCCGAGGTGTTCAAATTATTGAATTGATTCAGCTATTCAACGTCTCAATGGCCGCCAGTGAGTGGCAGAAACGGCTTGAAGACACATCTTTCAATCCACGTCACGAAGCATTGGGGCGAAGTCATCGAAGATCTTGCGACGCTTGTCAGCCAGGTCTTGAAAGACCTCTGTGGGTCCAACGCTCCCACCGAGAATCTCATCGCTTCCAATTTTCAAAGCTTGATAGGCATCTTCAGCATACTGCTCAACCGGCATCCCCATACCTCGCCCTTTCTCAATGCCCATATAATCGTGTAGTTCGGCTATGCGCAAGATGATGATAAGTATGATACTCATCATTCTCCATTCCACCTTTGGGGGATCTGAACTGAGATATCCACTTACTTGACACAAGAGGTGGAGCCAAGTCGATCACTTTAACATTTGATTCCCTCAGCTGGTCTCGCAGGCAGTACGCAAAAGCGTTCAACGCGGCTTTAGCGGCTGAATAGGCGGGGATTCTTGGCGCAGGCACCAGTGCTAGAAGGGATGTGGTACTGTCCAGAATAAATCAAAATGTGTCTCCAGTAGCTCTATTCCGGAAATCATGTACTAACAATATAAAACTTGTTGGAGTCGACTTGGACATTAAGAATGGAATGAATGCCTGAGTCAGAGCAACGTAGCTGATGAAATTGACGTCCATCTCTGCTCTGAAATCATCCAAGTCCCCATCCTTAGGGTCAGTCAACTTGTATTTCCGTTGAGTACCCGGATTGAGAAAGATACAGTCGACATCTGGATGTTGAGCAGTTGCACTGTTTTCAACTTCGAGTTAGCAACCCATATGTTCCCTAGATTTCATATCTCAAATTGTTTGCCAACTGACTCTGAGGCAAATTGGGGAGCTCCGTCAATATCGCTGACATCATAAGTCATTGCGGAGGCTTTTTCCTCGCCGTGCTTTGCAATGAATTCGTCGAGGCGCTGTTTCCGCCGTCCTACTGCAGTCACTTTGATCCCGGCCTGTATAAAACGATCGGCCATCGCTCTACCGATTCCAGATGTAGCTCCGACGAGCAAGACGTGCTTGTATGGGAATACCATCTTGAGATGAGATCCGATAAACCTGAATGGGTTTATCCAAGGAAGAAAGTATTGGATTTAGGTTGGTGAGTGGTGGTTAGAGCTCAAATTAACTGTTGAACTCATCAAGCGGTGTGTTTACATGCAGGTCGAGAGAACCCCGCAGTATCTATCTACGTACGAGGTACACGAAGGCTTTCAATGTGTCTGCATGTTGTATTCCGGTTTGATTTTTCAAATACTAACATATCCAACGTTAAAGTGCTGATTTGAATTAATCCAGGTCAACATTTTTGACCCGAGAAGTGCTAGCCACTTTACCAACATCCTCTCTAGATTCCACCGATGTATCTCCCTCTATAGAGGATGACTCGAGGGGGTCAATAGCCGAGAGATCCGCCTCTGCCTTTGCTGCTTTTTTCCTATCGCGCCACAAAAGGAATTGAACAGTTGCGGTGGCCAAGACTGGAAAATTATTGTCAGTGGGAAGTGAGACTCGAACGGAGAAAGGGTTTCTTACTGAGCAAGACTTGAAGTACGATCGACCAAGTGTATCCCTTGGGAGCACGGGGGAATGCCGTGGTTTTCCACACAAAGTTGGGAGCCTTTGTTCAAGCTTATTAGTATGTACCTCGAGGTGAAGGAAGAGAAGAGGAGACTCACGACAGCTTGTACAACATAAGCAAGGTCATTAGCCATCGCAACAAGCAGCGCTCGCTTTTCTGTGTCGTCGGAGCAGATCTCGTTGATCCAACTCAAGATTAGAGGACCGGCACCACCCTAAAAGTACTGTCAATATGTGACGATTAGACACTTCACGGGATTGCAGACTTACGCCAATATTACTCAACCAATAAATAACCATACGGCCCTTGAGATTTGTGTAAAACGGCATCTTCATCATGAGGGAGGCGAAAATGATCTGTGGAATAGAAGTAATTGTTAGCTACCGTAGCATGAAAATCATTTGACCGATATAGCTTCTCATGACTTACAGTAGTAAAGGCGCCGATGTAAATAAATGGCCAGCGAGCGCCACGGCACGGCCCATCGGACAACCAACCCCAAATCAATGCCATGACAATGAGTACACCGGTCGTAGGGAGAGGCACTTGTATATAAAGTTAGCCTTATTTTTGGTAAGATGAACAACCTGAAGTCGAACTCACAGTTATTGATCTGTGCGACAGTGTAAGTTGTCCCGGGGAGGGGAGCAGGGTGGGCATTAAAACTTTTCAGCCAATAACCTATAGCAGGTTGAGGGATGCCATTGTTCCAAAGGATGTATAGCAATGCTGTGGGAGATTGTTAGTAGGGTTCCAGGAAGGGAAGACATGGAGTACGACTCACGAAGAAGATAAGTATGCCAGCTCAGCAGAATTCCTTTCGCCTTTGCCTTAGTCCAAGGCTTCTTGCCAGCACGTCCAATATTCTGCATTCTCTTGATTGACAGAAGATGCTCCTCTTCTGTCGTCCACCATGTCTTTTTGCCGCTTTGTGGTAGATTAGGGAAGAATATATATCCAGCGAGCGCAAGCGGTAGCGTAATGATACCGTCAATAATAAAAAGCCAACGCCCTATTCTCATCAGTCAGCGGTGGTGTCCTTTGCTTTTGCTTGGTTTGAGGTGAAGGGGTAGGATGACCGAATCCAAGAGCCAGGAGAGGGAAAAACGAAAAGGATTGCGGTCACATACATCCAGCGTAACCATGTGTCCCATTTAAGTTTGTATAAGCAGCGGCCTGGAGGAAACCGCTGAACAATGTGCCAACTGAGCCGGCGAGCCAGAAGATCATAGCCCGCTTTCCAATTTCTCTTGGTGTGTACCATGATCCCAGTAAGTAATGGATGCCGGGGTAGAATCCTGATCTATAACGGTGTCAGTAACTGGCCACAAACAATAAATAGAATCTCGGAATGTTGACATACTCAAAAAATCCGACAAGGAAGCGCAAAGCGTACAGAGCGTGATAGGATTTGACACTTGATGTACAAATAGTCGCGAGTCCCCAACCTACCTCCAGCGAGGGGATGACCCATCGAGGTGAGACTCTGGTTAACAACAGGTTGGATGGAATTTGGCCAATAACGTATCCGACAGTCCAAATAGACGTGCCTGTAACAGTCGTCGTTAGCAAATGCTCCGAACCTTTTCGGCTTTATCCAAAGGAAAGGCAGGAAAAAGCGGCTCCGAAGAGGGTAAAAATACATACTAGTTACTAGTTGATTCCCAAACATCTCGAGATCCTCTTCCATGCCACTGAGAAAGGCATTGTTGACATTTGATTGGTCAATATTCTTCAAAAAATATCCGATAGATGCGAACGTGAGGACGAAGGCATCTACTTTAAAAAGCATCCAACGTTGATCTGGTGGAAGATCCCATGTATCCCATACATAACTTTTCCATGACCTGACAGGCTTTACAACTTCATCTCTCTGGGTGTTGGTGGGCTGGTTCTCCGCATCTATGCTGTACACTGAGGCGGGCGTGACTTGTCGAGAATCACCCGCGGTTCCCATTATGCTTTGGGAGTTGTGTGGCGCTGGAAAACCCCAGTGCACGGATTTATAGCTGTACAAGATCTTTTGGTGGGGATAAATCCCGGCGATTCTACTGATTTTATACAACTAGTGAAATATGTCCTCAGCGGACCTAGTAATCGCGTCAGTGGGAGGTCCTACAAGCATCCCGCTTTGATATTCGGCAGATGAGGGGAGAGATAGTCCTTAAAGCTGACACTGATCTTGATTACGTCCTATAGGTTTATCTAGCGGTCCGTGGCATACAAAAATGGCGATTATTGGGGGTGATTTTGCGCAATGCTCACGCAATTTGCTTTAAAAGTTGCAAGCTTTTATGGGGAAGGATGCACCAGACTTGCTAGTGCTCAGCCTATCTTTGAGCCAAGATACAGTTGAATTATTTTGCTGACAGAGATGGGCTTTTGTCGAGGTTACGTGCTAAGACGCAATCCCTTAGCATCTTACGTGCTACCACAACAACGCAGACTCGAATAATATATGCGACTATTAAAGAACGATGCCTTTACTTTTCCAGTTCTCAACTTGGCAGAAATTGGCAAGAAAGGGACATCTAATTCTCGGAAGTCATCTTACGTCCGGAAACAAGTACAAAGTATGTGAGATCAACCCAAACCTCAACGCGGGGGTTGATCCGGATTATTCAATCCCCAGGATAGTGACTCCAGCCTGTGAACCAAACCAATTGTCTCAAGGATAAGTAATAAGTTCATGACCATCCTCGCACTCGGCTACCTTGTGTCTCATGGACTACCTCGAAAGGCAAAGGATCCACAGGGCAGGGGTACATCCATATTCAGGCGAACAAGCCTCCGTGCCGAGGAACGGGGATGGAATAATTACCTTAATTGCACTACTCCGTCCGCAGAGCTCTTTTGCTATTGCTGTGACATTGATAGATGACATGGCCCAATCGGTCTCATCTTTTTCTAAGCACCCTCACGTGGAACCCCAGGAATGGCTGTGCGGTTCTCTCGAATATGAAGATGAAGATATCCTCAGAATATGGCTCGATAAAAGCACTGTTTCTATCGTCCTATGACATATTGCATCGGAATTGTCAATTGGAAAGTTCATTCCATACGCGATTGAATATTTGTTTCACTGCCTGAGGCCTCAAGACGTGCGTGTATGCCTTAGGAGTCAGGCCACGCAGATATTTTGAGATAACTAGTTAACTAGTTAACTAATCTCCAACACACTTTTCCTACTAAACAATATTAAACCAACTCCTCAAATATACACTAGACCTATCATGTCATCATGTCAAGTAACAAGTGTTCATCCAGATATTCCCCGAATCCTGGCATCGCATCCCAGCGCATTGGTAAAACCCGTGCGAATCGGGACTAGCGTTATTTCCCCTCCAACCCTTCTCTGCGAGTCATAACTGCGGGTGTAGGCTCGTGCGCCAATTCCCGCGGCTTCACAACATTCCAAGATTGCCTTTGAAAGGGCTATAATTTGACCATACCAAGATCAAAGTTCCCTCCAGGGCTTGCTCACCTGGGCAGGTGTTACAGATGGCCTTGGATAATCAAGGTTGCCATGCCCTGGTTATCGACAGCGTTCAGCTCCATGGCCACATCAAATCTCGTGGCGCTCGACCTCGATAAAGACCAGATCCAAACTAATGAAGAAATATGTATTAACCGGATTAGTGCTTGCGGACGCTTATCCCACTTCCAGGGGTGGACCCTGCCCCTCGTGGCATCAAACTTCCTTGTCTGCCCTTCCTTCCTCTTCTCTTGACAGTTGCGACAACATCTTCTCTTCTGCCGAAAATTCAGAGGAGTTCGGAGAAACGTCACCACTCGATACCGATGGATGCTCAAAATCCCCCCAGCTCAATTGTCCCTACAGGCACAGCGGGCAAGGACAAACACCTGGCGAACTCGTTGCTAGCGGAGGAAAGATCGATTCAAAATGGAGACCAAGATATCCTAAAGGGGGAGAATGTGGACGAGGTTCTTGCTGCCAAGATGACGCTTATCAATGATGTGGGAAATCAATCCTCGGACCATGAAAGAGACAGCCAATTAACCCGAGGACCTTGTGTATAGACCATTGATGAGATTGGTTTCACACCTCACCACTGGAAATTATTCTGCCTGAACGGATTCGGATATGCAGTCGACTCGCTCATTCTCTTAATTCAGTCCATTATTTCGACCCAGGCCAGGTTGGAGTTTAACCCATCATATTCCACCGGGCTCACCATCGCGGTTTATGTGGGTATGTTGGTGGGTGCAATCTTTTGGGGCTTTTCGGCAGACATTATCGGCCGGCGGTTCGCCTTCAACTTCTCCCTGTTTATTTCATCGGTATTCACTATCGTCGCGGGGGCTTCCCCCTCTTGGGTCACTCTGGGTTTGTTTGTCTGCTTAAGTGCATTTGGTGCTGGGGGAAACTTAGTTCTAGATACCACGGTCTTTCTCGAATACCTTCCCAGCAAGGAGCAATGGCTGTTGACACTCATGGCGGCCTGGTGGGGTGAGCTTAGACTCCCCAGTGAACCACCTGTTGAAAGTATGAACTGACTCACAATATCTAGGTCTGGGTCAGCTCATCGCAGGTCTGTTTGCGTGGGCCTTTCTTCCCGACTTCTCCTGTAGCGACGCAGCCACATGTACTCGTGACAACAACCAGGGATGGCGTTATGTGTGGTACACATCCGGCGCCTTGGTGTTCGTTCTCTCCGTCCTCCGTGTGACCATCATCCGCCTTGAAGAAACCCCCAAGTTCCTTATTTCCGAAGGCAAAGACGAGCAAGCAGTACGCGTTCTACGCAACATCGCCGATAAATACGACCGCCCATGCAGCCTCACCACCGAGCGGCTTCAGGCATGCGGGCAAACTGCTCGTCGCGGATCCCCGGGGTCTGGCTGGTTTATGCGGCTCATCTCCCCGAGTGAAGTGTTCTTCCATCTCCGTGGACTCTTCGCAACTCGCAAAATGGCCCTATCGACGACCCTAGTCTGGCTCTCGTGGCTTCTCATCGGTCTCGCCTATCCGCTTTACAATGTGTTCCTCCCCACCTATCTTGCGTCGCGTGGCGCAAGCTTTGGAGAGAGTAGCCCGTATATTACCTGGCGGAACTACGCCATCAACAATACATGTAGCATCCTCGGTCCTATATTAGCGGGATTCATGTGTCGCTCGCCCTGGTTTTGGGGCCGTCGGGGAACCATGATCATCGGAGCTGTCGTCACGATGGTTTTCTTCTTCTGCTATACGCAAGTGCGCACTGCGAATCAGAATTTGGGTTTTACGTGCGCTATTTCTTTCTGCTTGAATGTTTACTATGGTACCCTCTATGCTTACACCCCCGAGGTATGTGCTTGCTCACTTTGATTAGATCTGTCATTCTGTATCTAATTGCTCGATAGGTATTTCCCTCCGCCCACCGGGGCACAGGAAATGGTGTTGCTATTGGGCTCAATCGGATCATGGGAATCATCAGTGCTGTTGTCGGCCAAGCCGCAAATGTAAGGATCTATTCTTTACTCTCTTGGAGAAAATGCTTATATTGTTAATAGATCAGCACGCCCGTGCCAATTTACATCTGCGCCGCCCTTTACATTGTGATGGCAATTGTTGCCGGAGCCTTGCCATTTGAACCGTATGGCCGACGAAGCAGCTGAAGGCTCAGCTAGGCAGGCCAGCCGTCCGTATCTCATTGATATCTAAAAGCCTCCAAAAAATATTCGCCCTCGCACCACTACATCTCATCAATAGACAACCTGTACCCAGATATGTATATTAAAGTTTTAGTACTAATTACTAGAGGGCACATTTATGACACCTCAAATACCAGGTTTTATTAACTTCATCTTTCCGCCCCTTGAATGGCCAAATCATCTAGAAGACCCCCCTGGGCCTCGTACGACCCCTAGTAAGCTAACTATAGGAGGAGCGGCTTCTAGATAAATACAAATTATACGTCTAAGGATCAGCGTAGTCACCAGGATAGGTAAGGAAACCTTTAGCGGTAGAGGGAACGGTAGCGCTATAGCACGGTAACTTTGCCATGAAGATGTAATTCAAAGAGCTATGATAGGCCGGCAATATTTGAAATAAATAAAGGTTTGAGAGAATTAATTCATTCAATATAACTAGCTTTCGTCCTCCGAGTCTTTCATTTCGAAGGATGTCATACGCTTTAGAGGACGTGAGAGCTTCAGCCAAAGTTCGTTATCCGAATCATCATCTTCAATATACAAGTAGCCAGTATCCGCGCTATCGTTGTAGATTCCGCTGGATTCGTCTTGAATCTTCTGCGCAGTTTCAGTTGACAGCCACATGTATCTCTCCACAACTCCCGGGTCAGCTGGCTGACCGCCATAGATACCAGGAGAGCCCCATTCGTCTCTGGGATTCTGCCCCCAAGGAACAACCATATGAGAAAATCGGATAGAAGAATGAGCAAAAGAATCTCTGGGCTCCAAATCAGGCTGTAAACTTGCTTCCACGGTGGTATCGTAAGGGCCGAACTCTGAGATTTCTTTGCTTCCAATGGAACGCTCCCTGACAAATTCCTCTAGATATTTGAGGTAGAACGGGTTTCTGCTCTGTTTAGCAGCCTCGAAGAAGGACTCGCGTGGAGGGGGCTTCAAGGACCTGAAAAGCGATTTGTAGTCACAAAGTATGGCGGTGATCGCAATTTGGTGTCTCATGGACGGACACTTGCCAGCCAGCTCACGCAAAGTGTTCTCATGAGGCCTTACCGGCCACCAAATAAGCCAAGGGAGGCATTCAGAGTCACCGTCAAGGTCAGAGATATCATTGTTCATGATTTTGCGAGCATTTATCGCAGTGCGAATCTCGCGACACTCGCGCTCAATGCCTTCGCTGAGCAATTTACCTGGGAGAATGATTCGCCCAGGGTTGGTTTCCAGCTGATAGGCCCACCATCGAGCAAAACTTGTATGGTGATAAATCCCACGAAGAATACAATCGTATTCAATTTCCGTTCTGAGCCTCCGTGGGTGCATCAATCGAGCGTATCTATCCACATTACCCTCCCATGCAGCCATTTGCGTTGGAAGGCGTTTGTCGAGAACTGGAAGATCAGGCGGAAGAGGCATCCACAAATGCTCAGAGTCTCCTGGGCCGAGTTTCGCACCTGGGCCGAGTATCGCATCGCGATCTACTTTGCTGGTTTTTTCTTTCAACCCAATAAATCCATCTTCCTCAATGTCAATATCATCTGCAGTTGTATCTGGCAAGTTCTTGGGAGGAAGAACACGCCGGCCCAAAGCCCGTCGGGGCTTCATATTGCCATTTAGAAACGCGGGTGCCTGTGGGCTTTCAAGATTAACTGATCGAGTGAAATCATCCATAACAGCCCATCTTTGAGGGGCCGACATGATGATTTTGTAGATGTCGGCGTCTTCGGCAGCATTGCGGGCTTCTTCAGCAATAGATACGTCTGGCAGAAGATCCAATTCTTTGTAAAGATTCGTATACAAAGCAGCAGCACATGCGCGGCCGACTTGATAGCGCATCGATGGATATCGACGGGCAAGCTCGCGGTAGGTTTCTTCCAATGCAGGTTCTGGATACCAAATGCAGTATGGCTCGGTGGCAGGATCTTGCATATCGGGGATGATGTTACTCATTATCAGGCGAGCATTGTGAGCGCGAGAAAACTGATGAGCCTGGCTATCGTCGCCGGAGCATAGCTATTGCCGGGCTTGTTGCAAATTGGAGTGAATCACGGATCCCGCGAATGACTGCTCTACGATGCCAAAAAGAGGTCACATCGGACGGGACTTTTTCCCCCTTTATTGCCGCGATGCATTGATCGAGGTCGTATTCAGCGGGTTGTTTCTTGCCCATGTGGACTGGTAGGTCCGTGGAGGAAATGACAGAGCTTTCCCTTTCAACCTGGGTAGTTGCCATAGAGATAAATATCGCAGGGGCGCGAGGCTGATAATTGTCGGAAGGGGGTTGAAAGAAAGAGGGGAAGGATGCACCTGAGCTCGGTGTCGATGATGTGGAGCTCGAGTGGGATAGCCCCGACAAGGATCTGATCTTTCATTATCAAGTTAGTCTTCTTTGTGTCTTTCAATTTCTTTGACTAACAACAGTACATAGACAAAGCTTAACATATTTTCAGTAGTCAGTATCAAGTCGCAATTGTCCGGCTTGCCTGTCTAGAAACTTAAAAGGAGCTAAAAAAGACTCGCCTTTGACATTTCATTTTACATATCCTCGCTCATTATCGTCGTTACAGAAGAGGCCCGCATTGTGAGATAATGCGATTTTGCTAAGATAGGCTGGCTTGCTCCCAGTACATTTCGTCCATTTATTTTTAGTTTTGCGTAGCTTCATCAAGCACGCTTTGTCTCCCCAAGATCCCAAATCTCTCCTGGAGGCTGACAACCATCGAACGGCTCGACTTGTAGACCGGATCCGAACCAGGTCCATCAGCAGCATGCCTTCAAGAGTAAGCCAGAATTCCCAATTCACCAGATCTTAGCTTTCGCGTTGAATAATACTGTAATAGCTTGATTTAATGTTGAGAGAAAGACAAGCTCGTATAACCACCGTTTCGTTTTTTTCCCATCCTCAAAATTGAAGCAGTTTTCACATCGGTGATTACCAGCAACTGTTCTCCGTGTAGTCAACGGCGCTATCTGCTTATCTCTCCATAGCCTTCGCTGCCCTTTCTCTCGCGCCATTTCCCCACTGATCCCATGCCAGACTAAGGCTCAGTGTGTCTCTCCACAAATCCTCAGGATCACTTCCAGGCGGCAACTCCCTACCATTTCCAACTTTCCCACGTATCTTCCCTTTCACAAACCGCATATGCCAAGGTATGATCCCGACCTTTTCAAACCCCATCCTCTGTGCAAGTCGAGAACTAGCCGGGTTCATCGTGCTAGCCGACCAATGTACTCTGCGCAATCCAAGGCCTCCTTTCTCGGTGGATTCAAAGGCAAGCTGTAGAGCGAGTCCAACGGCATTAGTTGCCACATGGGTTCGCTGGTACGGAGGCAAGATGACAATAAATCCAATCTCTGTGCAGAGGTTTGTCGGCGATGTACGAATGAAGCTCACAGTTCCCGCTAGTTCACCTTCGGGGTCTTCTGGGGATGGTGGCTGTGTCTTGTCTATAATGGCAAATGCGAATGACTCTGGGTTGGAGAAGGACAGAATATGGCTCGTGGAATTATTGTAGAAGAGAGATTTGAGTTCGATTGCTGAAGCCGGCGGAAGCAAGGGTAAGTGTGTGTATATCTCGGGATGGGGCGATGATATGCGGAAGAAGGTTTCGCAGTGTTGCTCTGGATCGAAGGGGATGAGCTTGATACGTTCGTTTGAAGCCTCCCCCACGTGGAAAGGGAATATGGAGGATGAGGCCATTTTGTTCGATGTGGAAATGTTGAGTTTGGAAAGATGGCTAGGTAGCTTGATCACTTGATAGATCAATGAGCAGATGTCTAATCCGTTCTGCGCGATGGGTAAAGTTGCCGAACAACTTGGTCTGGAGAGACTGCGTCTTACAGTCTTACGGGGTGAAGTTGTGAGTGAGTCACCCCCCTTCTTGGCAAAGATATTGATAGAGGACACTAACCAATTTTGCTCTCTTGTAAACGGCGGACCTGTGAATTACTGTAATCGGGTCGTCGAACGCGGCCACCAGGCGGTGTCCGGGTTCCCGGGCGTAATCTCAACCCGGGCGTAATCTCACTTTTCTCCATTCCACCAACTAATTCATTGAATTTAAATAGCACCACCTTCTAAATCAATACAATAAAGATCATCAATCCATTCCCGAGACCTCTCTTCATCATGATCAGACCCAATTTGCCCTGTATCCTCGATTTCTCCGTCGGCAATTGCTTTTAAAATTGCTGCATCCCGCCAGGATTTCTTCGAACGATTGAATGATTGTAGCCTTTCTTTATCAACCCGATCATTTATATGCTTTTTACAATCCTTAACCAAACGAGGGCCTATTTCCGGAAGCCTTCGCTTAGTTTTAGCTGTATCAGACCGCTTCTTGCGCCGTAGAATTCGCACATTGTCTTCCGCAAACTGAGCCCCGACCTCAGCGAGAACGAGGCCACCCGCTAGTATCTGAGAGAGGCTTTGTCGCACCTTCGGGGATATTGTCGAGTCATTTTGAATATACTTTATGACCTTAGAGCTTGCCTTTCTCAATTTTTGTACTGTCTCGGGCGGGGTATTAGGCAATGAGCTTGATGGTGGTGGTGGTGTAGTTCCGGAAGCAATATCATGAATAATAAAACCGGGCATCAGAGGCAGATTATCATCCTCGGTCGGAATACCAAGTTTTGTGAGGCCTTTATTAGAATCCACAGGCCAAATACTAGTTTCCCGGAATCCATGTCGAATAGTGCGCGTTGTTAATGCCGACATCCGGACATCGTGGATTCCCGCGAAGAAATTAGCCTTTGACCGCGCATCACCACCCCAAAAGGCTTCCTTATTATTATACTTCTTATAATAATGCTTTAGCACTTGAAAGGGTGTATTATCGAGCGGTTGGCAGCCATATATTGTGTGTGGGATAAAACAATAGGGGATGATTCGTTTTCTCCAACAAAATTCAATGAAATCATAGGTTAAGTGTGAACCATGATTATCCATTAAAAGAAGACGATATTCCCCTTTTTTTATACGGAACGATGTGAATTCGTCAAAGACCTGAATCTAGGCAAAACTAATAATCTCATCGGTCCAGCCGTTCGGGGTTGGCCATATAGTATAGTCGTCGGGTAAGTTAGTGTCGATAAACCAACTCTCCATATGGAATTGACCCTTGACTAAAAACCACGGTGGCATAACCCAACCATCGGCGGAGACGCATTCGATACCAGTAAGGGATTCAGCTTGTCCGCCGGTATTGTTTTTAGAATTTCCCCGGGCTGAAATAACGTTCTAGGCCTTACCTTCGCCAATTCGGAACCCGGTTTCGTCGAAATTATATAGATTCTTCGGGGTAATTCTATAGGTTTGAAGCGTAATTTGTAGGCGCTCGTACCAACAAATAAGATAACCAGGTTCACAGACTTCGTATCGTGCTTTTTCCATCGGCTTTTGCTTAATAGTCTCAAAGCGTGAAGGTAGACGGGCGATAAAGTCGTACGCCCAGTTTTTTCCGAGCGTGCGGGCGGGTTCATGACGTCGAACAATTTGTAGAGCAGCAGCCTGAATTTGCCCTGCGGTCGGGGGAGAATAGGCCTGGTCCAAGGTATCAATCCATAGAATTAACGCCTTCTCTTGCTCGGGGTCTAGTGCTTTATTGGTTGGGATGCGATCGTGTCTAGTCTTATGACCTTTGAGGCGGCCCCTCAGTATGCTAGACGTAATGTCAAATTCCCGGGCGATCGCCGAAACGTTAGGTTTCTTGGTAGCAGAGCATGCTGCTAAGGCATTGGAGATGCGGTCTTCTAATTCTTGAGACATAATATAAAGAAATGGGGGTGTAGTGAATTAATGAAGAAGGTGGAATGGAGAAAAGTGAGATTACGCCCGGGTTGAGATTACGCCCGGGAACCCGGACACCGCCTGGTGGCCGCGTTCGACGACCCGATTATCGGGTTAGTTTTAGACTGCGCCAAAAACCGCAAAACCGCAAAATCGAACCGCCCTAAACCGCAATTGGGGCGGGTTTTGGGGCGAGTTCTAGATAGTCTTCCGCACGACCCAGTAAAACCCAGACCCAACCCAGATGCTAAGAACGATATCGATTCGCCAAATTTGGTTTTCGACTACAGCCTCATAAGTAAAGGTCAAAGCGTGGCGTAGTCGAAGCGTATTAGATCAACAGAGGAGGCGAGACACTGCGCAAGACAGCGGTACAATCATGAACAGGCAGTCGCATTGACATCATCTGTAATTTGCTCTATTAATTGCTCTTAGAAGGAAGGGAGTCGAGGCTATTTGCACTCGCCCTTTCACCTGAGTTAGTACAATGCCATTGGATGGCAACGTCTCCCCTGAAACGGTCAGTCTCTTGGCATCTGCACACAGCCAACATAGTTCGAGGTGACAAGGAAAATAAGCCAATGAAAGCTCATTTGTTACCGCTAAGGTGCCCGCAGGAGCGGCTGCGGTGCTCCCTTCAGCCCCCGATTTTCCAAAATCTCGCCCAATATTAATCAACACTCGTATCACTCCTATTTCTATACCAACTCAATTCCGCATTATTTACCCGACCGATCAACCCAATACCTAAATTTAAAACTGATCATTGGCACCTATAAATGCCCAATATAATTCTATTGGAATACTCATATATAAACCTTTATACTTAGTGTTCTCTCTTTTCAAAAAGAATATAACAAAATAAACAACATATTTGTGAACTTGCCGCGCAAGAAAACCAAGAAACTTGGTTATTAATATGTAGAATCCCTTAATTAATTTATTCGGTATCCAATCGCTCCCCGAAACGATATTTGTCGTGAAGTCCCTAGCTGTTAACCACCTGAAAAGGTGGGTCAATACCCAATCAACACTTACCTCCAGGGCTCTTCCAACAACCTACCTTGCCTGACAAATCAATACATCCGCCATCATACGTAACGCAGGCCCTGTACAACCAGTTGCTACCTCATAAGCCTTTTTTTCCCAACCCCACTGCTTAATCCGTCAGCGCGTCGACATTTGATACCTACTATCAGGTATGCTGCATTCGTGATACATTACAACAGAACATGGAGCGCAGAAAGTCCGCACGTTAAGTTCTCATCCCCCCATCTATCCACAATTCATAGCCTAACCAACCCTTATCTTGACAGTTACGCCTGAAAATTACACCCGAGCAATTATCTCGCTCTCGAGAAGATTTTCGGGCACCTCAGTCTTTCCGGGGAATAATTATATCGACATTAGAGAATGGATGCTACAAGACCGTACTCTTCTCCGTTCAGCAAAATTGGAAGAAGATTCCACTCTCTTCGCTTCCAAGTCTGAACGGCCTCACGACTTAGTTGTGGTATACAATAGCAGGGAAAGGAAGTGGGATGTACAACAATATCGTCAAGAGCAACATAAAGCCTTCTCAGCTACCACTGTTCCAGCAGGAGACTCCGGCCAAATAGTATTTATTCGCGGATTCATATCACCATCGTGGGTGTCTGTGATTGGAAGCAAATATGACATCGACCCGGAATTCTTCAGGCGACACATGGATTATCTTTCTGCCAGCGTTGAACGACATTCCTATAGTTTCCCATCGCTTGCCAGTTCCTCGAATAACATAGTTAGACTCTGTGTTAGCACTCTTCTTCATCGCGATGATTTCGGCGGACAGGATCTCCAGTCTCAACGGTCACATCAAACCACTGAGCTCACAACATACAAGATACAACAGCTTGGATCTACTAAAGTCAGCTGCGGAGACTCCGTGGTACGCGATTACTCTACTGTTTGCTCATCTTTCTCCGTGATTGAACAGTGGATCTCGCTCTATATCACGAAAAGAAATGGAAGCTGGGCTGGTAAGAGACAACGCGACAAATGAGAAAAACAGTTGCTAATATGCGTATTCAGTAATTGCCTGGATGGACCACGGTAGACCCTTGGAAAAATCTCCCCCGGGACCGTGGACAAGTCACATCGAATCTATGGCTACACCACTACCCATCCTCCAACATCATCCCAGAATGGCATTTCGGACCACAAACAATCGTCTAGATCCAGATGCGAATGCTTCGGCAGAAATTCAGCAAAGCACAGCCATCCTTCCCTTGCAGTATGATTCATTGATCGCGCTTGTTGGTATGGCTCGTCGCGCGCCTCAAGATCCGCTTTCCATGTGCATCCCGTTATTTGCGCATGCAGCATTCTCCGAAGTTCAGTTCTTGAACCTCATGGAGACTAGAATCCAAATAAAGATAAACACCATATCCGAAGGAATTCCAGCTGACGCGTTGGAAACTCTTCAATACTTCTCTAACATTCTCAACCGACATGCCCAGCAGCTTAAAGATAGTACTCGTGCACTCTGCAAGTTGGCAGAGCGAAGCGGCGAAGGATTTAATAGAGCCAAAGCAGAAGGCTCGATGCCAGAAAGTGCTGTGCTGTTGGGTCTCGACATGGGCACGTACCGGCAGTTCTTAGAGACTGAAACGGTCAGAAACGTTGGATCCAGTAGTTCTGACGGTGCTTTTACAACAAAAGGCCTTCTGGAAGACTATGAGCAACTCTATGTTCGTTGTATCGATTTGTCAAAAAGGTGCACTCAGGGAATAACTCTCGCAATGAACAAAGCCACGATTGAGGAATCCCGCAAAGCCATTGAACAGTCTGAGCGACTCAAAAGGTTGACGCTGCTTGCGACGCTCTTCATTCCCCTGGCTTTTAGTTCCAGCCTGTTGGGTATGAATATTGATCTCCTTGGGCAAAACGCAGTGAGATTTTGGTGGTATTTTGTCTTATGTGTCCCAGTAACTCTGTTTGCTTATATTATTTATCTTTGGGACTTTCAGGTTCTCAGGCGGTGGTTGGTAAGACTATGGAAAAGATGTCGAGTTGTTAGGCGAGGTACGATGGAAAGGAGTGACAAAAGTCCGAGTCATATTGTGTGATGTAGTTGTTGCAATCCTTGTCATGACATTGCCAATACCAATATCAATAATATGTCAACATCTGCGTAAAATGCTTAGATGGAACAATGTAATCTCGAGGCGAATCTGCCGCCCGGGGGGGGGGGGTTGCACTTCCAAACGTAGAGCCGATACTACAGGAAGTCAGAAAACGGAGTAACCAAGGCTTTCGTGAATTCTAGCCTTGCTGGTTTGCAATCGAAGTGTTCGAATCCCAAAGAGGCCCAGTGAGCATGGAAACTTGAAAGTGTATCTTGTGATCTTTCTAACTTAGGATTAACTCAGACGGTCTTATTCGGTATGTTCACTCATCATCTTTAACGTCTTCAGCAGATGAAGTAATTTCATCCGGAATCAGATAATCTCCCAATGTCTTTCTATCACACCCATTAAGAGTATGGCATGTTCGTGCCAATGCCGCACATCTGGGGCCATCTACTCACTTTACCAGAGTAACCAACAGCTCATTAGGGAGTCTCAATAGCATCGGACCTTCTATCGCGAAATGTAATTTCCTTGTGCAGATGAATGGTTCGACAAAGGCGTAAAAGATGAAAGTGAATCGATTAGTTTCTGGGGAAAGTAATGAGTCAAGTCACAACGGTGACAAAATGTGGCCCAGACTTGCGCTAGTCTCGCCAAGTCAGAAGATCAAAAAACCAGGGCATGTGTATGGGGAAAAAACAGTAAGTTAATTATAAAGATCTGCAATGTAGATAGACATTGCAAGTCGCAGTTTGCTTGTATGTCCCACCCGCTACGTGGTCAACTTTATGCACCGAACAGGTCTTCTCCAACAGTTCCAACATGTGGCGCTCGAGGATGATGATGACGACGACGACAAACCGACAGGCCTTGCGGCCATGGACCTAGGTGTGGAAGACGCTGGGTATTAGCCAATGACGATAAGTGAAGCTGTGGAACGAGAAACTCAGCCAGAGTCGACAACCATGCCAGCTGGCCAGGTAAACCACACTACTAATTGAAACTGAGGCAGGGGGAGGTTGCAGAGGATGGATCTACAGGATCTACAGGAATGGGCTGATTCCACGCTCTTTACGATCAGCCTCTGTATACTTTTTGGGAGTGATCCCAACTCGGCGTTAAGCTTTGAGTTCTTGCTTCTGTTGGATGAATACGCAACTAGTTAGACTGCAACAGGTTAATTGAACTTTGATTGATTGATTGATTGATTTGCTTGTATGTCTGATTCCATTGTCACTTAACTGACGTGAGCAACGAAGGGGAAAATGACACCTAGCAAGGTACTCGACGCTAGCTCCTTCCGTTTGAGCTGTTTGCCGTTCTATTAGGTTCAATCCGTTCCCTCCCGTCGCCCCACTGCGGGAGGACACAAGTGACCATGGTTCGCGCATACACTTTCTGGACACCTTATGTAATATTTGGAATAAGATACCGTGCGCATATTGATACAGGGATATTGCTGTTCTGGAGCTATATGTTTCAAAGTATAGCGAATCTTGACAAGAAGTCCGAAAAACAAGTGAGGTGTTTTTGTAGGTGGTGATACCAGGTTTCGAGACTGTCCGTACTTGTGCGTGACTGGAGGCTACCCCGCACCGCCTGACCCACGTACGAAATCTTAAAGGAAAGATAAGACGTCCCGACAACTGCATCAACCTTCAAGTATCTCCTATTCGATTTAGGTTGCAATCTTCTCACGTCTTGGCCTTCTCTTGGAATCTCATCCTTCGTTGGCTCTAGTCATGACCGCAACAACAAGCTTTGCAACTACCGGCCGCCTCCAGGTACTTCGGGATCCAGTTGACACTTCTCAGGATAGTCTCGAGTAAGAAAACTCATAGTCAGGCTCAGTTCAGTACTTCCACTTACTCTCAAACCAAGCATTGTCCTCGTTCCTGGCATTGGAACTATCTCACCGGAGAACTGGCCGTTTGCTAACAAAGAATGGCTCGCCACCCTACCTGGCTTTGGTTCTGGAGCACGCATCCTCGCGTATGAATATGCTTCACCATTTACGGGCAACAAGCCTTCGTGGGAATCGATTTTGATGATTGGTTACGACTTTCTTCAAACTTTGAGTGCTGTGCGATCCCAATCAGACTCGAATGTGGTAAGTGAAGTAGTTTAGGTTCGTTCCGTTTGGCTGTCGGGCGACAAGAATGTTAATGTACTTTCTCTAGGCCAGCAAAAAGCCAATCCTGATAGTCTGCCACAGCTTAGGTGGCATTATAGTCAAACAAGCATTGTGCATCGCTAACAAACAGTTTCCTCGGCATGGAACAATGGTCAACGCTATAGCTGGTGTCATCCTCATAAGCACTCCGCATCGCTATGGCGACAAGGCCACAAACTTGACACGGTTCCGGGACGTCTTCGAAGCAACGACCGGTAGGAACCTGAAGATTCCAAATCCCAATATTGAGCAAGAAGGCGCCGTTCTGCTCGACCTCGCAGATAGATTCGAAGGAATCTCGTTTCGTACGCCCATACTATCCGTCTATGAACTGAGAGAATCAAAAAATAGTTCAGCGTCATTGCGTCAAAAATACCAACAAGTCAGTCTCGAGCCCTTGGCTAAGCTGTGAACGCTAACTCGGTTTCTAGTTGGTTAACCGTGAAGCTTGTTCAACTCATGCCCCGATGGAAACAGTCATTGGCCTCAACCTCGATCACCACGATACATGTCTTTTTACCCAAAGCGTTGGCGGTGAAGGGTTACCAGAGTTCAACAAGTTTATCTACGAGACTCTGCATGATGCTGGACACCTTGTTGCTCTTCGACTCGAGGATCGTAGGATATGAAGGTATCAGAAAGTTGCAGACTGAGGCTAATGATCCCAGAGGAATATCAATACGCAACGATGAGTGCTTACTCGCCCACGATGAGTGAACCACCACACAAATGTCTGGTTACTATCCATGTCCCCGCAAATCGTTATACTGACGTCGGTTAGTTGAGCAAGTGGGGCTTACTGAACGGCCACCAACCAAAGCAACAGAATGGCCTTCGCAAAGGGCAACAGAAGGAACATCTCTTTCGGGGTTCGACGCAGTATACCCTACAACACCAAACACTGAGGTTTGGAAAACTCTTCAATTACCATGCTTCCTTCTCAGTACGCATTCGGCAAACGAGGATTTCTGCGGCCGAGAAGATATCTTAGAGCGTCTTGCCACCGAGCTCCTGCCTTCAAAAAACGTAGTGGCAGCTTCGGGCAACGCTCTGCGACAATTTGCACTTTGCGGATTTGGTGGAATTGGGAAAACGGAAATAGCCCGCGAATTTTGCCGGCGCCACAGAACTTCATTTGATGCAGTCTTCTGGGTCATGGCGGATGAGATTGCGAAGCTTGACTACCACTACCAGCAGATATCATTGGCATTAGGTCTCGAAGATTCATCCGAATGCAAGAGTCAAGTTGTCAGCAGGGAAATTGTGAAAGGATGGCTGTCTAATCCTCGAAAGCATCTATCGGGGTCGGATGAGTTTATTCAACCCGGTCAAGCTAGATCGGAGGCGACCTGGCTGCTCATCTTCGACAATGCGGATGATCCGATGATTCTAGCAGACTACTGGCCCCAAGGCAGTGGATCAATTCTTGTCACTAGCCGTGATCCGTTGACTAAGAGTATGTTTACGAGAAAGCCTTCAGGCTTGGATCTCGGTCCACTTTCACAGCAAGACAGCCTATGCCTCTTCAGCCACCTCACCACTATTTCCAATGGGCCAGAGGGCGATATAGCACGACAAATTTCCGATGCGCTTGGTGGCGTCCCTTTGGCAATCTCTCAGATGGCGGGTATCATTCGTAGACAGGACCTCACCTTGTCAGAATTTTTTGAGTTGTATAAGGATCATGAAGAACATGCTAGTCTCTATGAGACAAAGTTTGACACAAATCTGGTCACATATCGTCACTCTCTCTCCACTGTTTGGGCAATTGGAAAGCTGAAGCCTCAAGCGCGACAGCTTTTGGAGCTAATTTCATTCTTTGATCCAGACGTTATTGGGGAAGACTTGTTGATGGGAGCATCGATGGACCTGCTTTCTGAGGGCGCAAAATTCAGAAGAAGTAACTACATTGAGGCTCGAACTGATCTCTTACAGTCATCTCTGGTCCAAAGAGATAAACAAAAGCAGCAAATATCGGTCCATCGCATCGTACAAGGTGTCATCTTGGCAACAATGGATGCTGGGAAGAAACGGTTGATGTTTAATCACATTGTACGAATTCTTTGGGCGGATTGGCCATCGGCTATGCCTAAACCATCAAAGAAGCCAGAGTTACCTCAGCCCAAATCAACCGGCGGTAGGCTGTATGTTGGAAGGTGGCCTGTTTGTGCGGCAATTTACCCGCACGTACTAAAGATACACCAGCTCTGGCCAGCCATCTCGGATCCGGCCGAGGCCACAAGTTTGCTTTTTGCAAAGTTATTAAATGAAGCTGCATGGTGTGTATACTATACCCAGGATCTTGCCTTGCCACATAGTCTAATATTACCAGGTACCAAAAAGAGCGTGGACGAACAAAGAACTTTGATGGCTTCTTTGAAACTGCTCGCAATATCTGCGAGTCTTCAAAACACGCTGATCGGGATCCCTTGCTTGCGGATATCTACTTCTGCTTAGGAGCTATCGCCATGGATGCAAGCGATTTCGATACAAGCCGCGTCAATAAGGAACGTTCTCTCGATCTAGTTTCCAAGATTTGCAAAGAGCTGGGTACTGAGGACGAGAGATTATACCTTGCCTACGCAGAGCGAGGAATCTCACGCATTCAAGACAAACGTTATGGAGAAGGTGAAGCCGATCTCAAGGAAGCGCTGCAGATGCGCAAAGCTCTCGGCAACTACGTTCCCCGGTCGGGTGAGGCCAACCTGAGCTGGTCTCTTCTTGCGCAGGGAAAGCTTGAAGAGTGCAACACGCTTCTTCTAGATAGTTTGGAGGGCAGGGAAAAAGCTCTGGGCAAAGATGATAGGGAGTCTGTCCGGACCGGACTGATTCTGTACGCAATTGGCAACCTCCGTGCTGCGCAAAACCAATGGGATGAGAGTTTCCAATACCACCAGAGAGCATGGCATCACATGCGCGCGACGGTGGGCGAGAGAGACTTTTATACTGCAAATGTCGCTCACAAGATTGCCGAGCATCTAATCAGGTCAGATCGCAACGACGAAGCGATGTAAGTGCTACCATCTTTAACTAAGTATTTAAACACTTCCTGACTTTTCTTAGTGCTATGATCAACGGGGCGCTCGACATCTGGTCTGTAGATCCGAATGCACACAAAAACGAGATTGCTCGCACTACTTTCCTTAAAGGCAAGCTGTTGGCGGCGATGGGCAAGATGCAAAAAGCTTCCATTGCTTTGAAAGTTGCCTGCCGCTTGAGAAAGGAGATTACCAAGGAGGATCGAGATGTCAATAGTTTGATGACGGAAGACTTCGACGAGATTGTTGCATTTTGGGCTCGTTGATGAGCCCTCTAATTCTTGCATGCTATCAGAGTGCAATAGGTAACATCACAACTGGTGTGGCTTTGATTCATTCTTCGACTTAATGCGAGAGCCCACTGGCATTTGTGACCAAGACCAATGCAATCCGAGAATGTAGAACCACAGACAAGGCTCTATGCAACAAAGCCATCCACTTATTACAATAACAATCCTACAAGTACACATTATTAAATCAAATGAATATTTATCACAATAATATGTTTGTTTTGAGATTTTTGTATAATAGCACACTCAGCATTGTTGCACGGTCGCTACACGGTGACACAGACCTGCGCTTTGCCTTTTAAGTTGGCTTTTATTCCCACCGCAAACTTCAAATGTACCAGCATCATATCCATGACCAAACAAGAAGTGCAGATGTCTATACATCTGCCTAATAGTATGGGCTGAGACCTGCTTGAGTTGACGGGGCAAGCAATCTTTACCCTATGAAAAAAGTGGACTCAATCCACCCGACAGTGACTCCAGGAGAAGGATTCTGAAGAGTGTCTTTCGCCTGGCCTTTCTGCCGTGGGGGCGAATTCCTATCAATTCATGAGGAGGGCCAATTTAGACAGGAATAGCTAGGAAGGCACGGCGATGCCGTACTTCTCGTAGTCGAAATGCTTCAGATTCGGTATGGTTTCAGCCCAGCCGTCATCGATCTCTCCTAGCTGCCGATCGTCTCCGACCTCAGTGATTCGCGTCCTCCCGGCCAGCACCTCCTTTTGCCTCGTTTGATACTCGACCGCCACATCTGGGTGCGGTACCCAAACAACCCTCATCCCAGCCCGTCTTCCAGCCTCTACCCCAGCCACACTATCCTCGAAAACCAAACATTCTATCGGCAGGATGGCCTTTGCGCCAGAATCTGCCGTCAAGTTCAAAGACTGCAACGCCGCTAAATATATGTCAGGCGCGGGCTTTCCTCGACCCTGTCGCACTCTTGGGTCATCACCTAGGACCCTCCTCTCGGACTGAAAAAAGCTAAGGAGTCGTTTAGTTTCTGACCCTGAAGCTTTCAATTGATAGCTTTGGCTCTTCGTGCTGGATGCCAATGCCAGCTCAATTTTGTCACCAGAAGAAGCATTGTGTGCACGGCTAAGGTTTGACAATAGCTTTTCCGCGCCAGGCAGCGGCTTGCAGTTCGGAAAATGCTGTCGCATGTGTTCAGTCGATTCATGGGCAAATTGCTCGCGGGAGATGGGTAACTTGGCCCAGTTATGGAACACGTCACCGTTTGTCGAGTCTGGGACACCCATGAGCTGGGCTCGAATCGACCGAGTAAAGGCAGGCCTTCCATACTTTTCAAGTAGTTGGTTCATGGACAGAGTAATTAAGTCTTCGGTATTGATTAGGAGCCCGTCCATATCGAAAATACAAGCGCGAATTCCGGGGAAGCTGGCGACAGCTTGTCAGCCTTCGATTTGATAGGACTAATTCATCGACTGATGATGCTCAAGTCAAGGGAATATACAGTCCGTGTTGGAGGGCACTTACTCTGCCTCAAGAGCCATAAGTAACTTCTACCCGAATCAACGGCACAAGGAACGATATGAAGATAGTAAATTGTGAGTTGAAAATTCCCTCGTTGAATTTCCACTTGAAAGTAATGGAAAGCGAGGCACGTTGAATTTCCTGTTCGAGTTAGGACCACTTCCGGTGCAACATGCCGTCACATAGCTTCAAGACATACTCCAAAATGCAAATGTGCCGTCTCCGACGTAGAATAATATAATAAGAAGGGAAAAAAAAGATGATCAGCTATGGTAAATGTCTGAATTCTGACTCAGGAGTGGATGTTTGTTTAGTGTAATGGCACCGCCTTTTCCCTTTCTGTGCAAAACAAAAAAAAAAAAAAAAAGAAAAGAAAAGAAAGTAGGGGCGAGGGGTTATCACTGGAGCTGTTGGCAATGACTGGTATCACCATTTGTTATGTAATCTTGATCAATGCCCAGGTGAGAGAATTCGCTCCAACGGTTTGCCCCGACCGCGGGGGGGGGTCTGTCGGCCCCTCCGTAATCAACTCAATCCACGGACCGCGTCAACAACGCCTGGTGCGACCACAGGCTTAATTTGCTCAGAAAGTAAAGCGAGAAACCGAGACCCTATATATCATCTTACCAATCTATTTAGAATGAAAGATAAGAAATTTCCCTACTGGCTACTTTTTGTCTATCTCAAGCAGCTGGTTAATCCATTGCAAATCGCATTACATGGAACCAACAAGCACGATATTCGCTGCCCGGTCTGAAAGTTGAAGCCAACCAGTGCCGATATATGCTTGACATACTGCCAATAACATCTCAGCAATTTGCCAAAGTGGGCCTCTGCCTACTGAGTTCTTTGTTCGCTCTCTTGCCCTGAAGTTGGTTTACTGTTTAACAAACAAACACAATGTCTAGCTTAGTGAAAGATCAGAAGAGGAGAGAGAGCGGTAACCCACCTTAGCCAATTTGGTCCTCTTTCGGGAAAACACGTCAGTGCGGCTCAAAATGGGCACTCCTTCGAACACTAGTACGCTCAATTCTTTACTTTTGTCGCTAGGGTATGAGGACCGAATACAATACGAAACCTCCGGAAAGAACAGATACCCGAGTATCAATTAATCCTTGCTCATACCCAGTTCCGGAATTCTGTTCAGGCCTTTAATTTTATGGCAGAATAGAGGGTCAATTGGCTTAGTGATAAGTAAAAAAATTGATACCAAATTACAACGTTCCATACTCGGCTAACATATGACGCAGTTTTTTGTTTGTTAGTCAGGTCTTCTAATTGTCAATTCGACGAATGCGACTAACCAAGACGGTTATATGGGTTTACGAATATCATGCGGGATTCACGCTATGTTGCATGCAGGATGCAGAAGCAACACATGTGGCATGTCGTGTGTGGAACATGTTCGCTGCCAGTAGTAAAACGCCATAGTCGTCTCACCCTTGGGTGCCTCACAAATATATTGAAATTTAGCGGAACCCATGATCCGATGATCATCACGCCTTCATAGAAAATATTCGCAAGTTTATGACCGGGGTAGGCGAAACGATATATAAGAAGTGGACACTACCTATTGGAAAACAGAGGCAAATCGGCATAGAGGTTTCTCACAAGTTATGTCATTTAACGAATCTGATCGTGAGATTGTCTATTTATCCAACCTCAAGCTGCAGCATTAGATATGGATTATGAAGTCGCACAGCAGACAATTCGGAAGAACCCTCGAATTCGCCAGTGACATTTTTGGTGTTTTGAATGACGACTACTTCGAGGCTGCTATATAGCCATCCGAGGCTTTATAGGACTTTTAAAGAAAAGAGAGCATAAGGATCACGATTAACAATACCATATTGACATCAAGGCCTAAAGATAACACAGACAACAAGATCACCTGCACTCATGTTGTCCTCAATGGGATGTCCTTGCCCAACGAAACGCAGCTGAAAGAGCTCGATGTCCTCACCCGATAATACCTCCGCCGTTTCCCGGTTCTCCTGCTTGGCCTTGCGAAGAATTTGCAAATCCTTCGCATTCAATGATACCTTGTAAGGTGCTTGGCTCATGCTTCGCCATGCCGTATGCGGTGACTCCTTGGAAATGCTCTCTTCGTCCACATAGATGTAGTCTTTGATATCGTAACCGTGGTATGTCGTGTGGCCCCGCAGGTAGCTATTGAAGCTTTCTTGCCCAAACTGAATAGGGTTCAGCGATATTTCCATTTTTCCTGGATAGTAGATACTTGAGAATGTAACTTACCGATACCATGCGAAGCGTCAAATCACGCTTTCCCAGAATTCTATCTTCGTCGCCGCAGGCCGGAAACACATACTCCTTGTCAAGTTGAATTCTGCCGCCAAAAGCAAGTTCGTGGACAATTATATTATCACTCATGCCTTCGTAAACTCGTTGTTCCACATAGATTTTGGGATCTATATGGTCTTCATCGTTTTTCGCAATAAACGCTGTCAACCGAATGCACCGTTGACCATCATCTATTGCGCTGGAATCAAGTACTTTCGTCTCATCTGTATCCTAATTAGCTTAGAATCATGCCTATGGTCAGAATGTGATTAAATATGTACCAAGGAAAGAAACCTTTCTGAAAAAACATCCGGGGACGTTGTTACGCTCCGAATCTGTGTCCTGGCTACTACTGAAGATAGTCATGGGAGATTTCGGGTCCTGTCCATAGGCCCTGACCATCTCATTCAGCGAGCCGCTACGCGTGGACTCGCCCCGAATACAGTTCTGGGACTTTCTAGGCCGGTGCTGAGCTCCGTTCAAGGAATATGGTGTCGGGTTCCTCTTAGTTATGCGGTCTCTAGTCGCAGACACCTTGCTGCGAAGCACCGGGTCGCCGTATTGGTCCAGTTCACAGACTGTCGCTGGTTGTGGTGGGATTTTCATAGTATTTCCTTCAAGTGCTGCTCATTTGCAGGTTTCTAACAAGACGTAACGGAGATGGGGGTTAGAAAGAAAATATTTTCTAAAATGGCCCCTGTATCAGCCCCCAGAAATCGTTGTACTTTCGTCGAGGCGACTACTGCAGCGCGACTTAATAGTCGAGGAGCGGGATGCTTTGTGGACCCATATTGCGCAGTCCACAGGTGAGACAAACCAATTACAATACGCGATTTATCCCGGGATTAAGATCACGAGGCGCCACTAATAAACCGGAATAAACAGTGCTTTCTCGCCGTGGGTAGTCGGTGGACAGTGCTTTCGGTCACATCAATTTCTTAACGGGCATTGTAAGTCACTACTTTTTGTGAAAATCATCCAATATCTTCAATTGGTATGATTCAAAATAACTTGCAAATCATTCTTGACCTGTATCTAAGGTCTCTGGGGAATTTCCAGCCAATCACTTCTTTTCGATACCCGCCCACTAATTTTACGTGCTTTAGCGTTGACGCTAGCATTATACGAAATTGCGAGCTATGTTTAGCTGGAAACACTACCATCCGATAAAACCACGCAATATCGTGGCCATCCCATCGTTTCTTCCACAAGAGTCCAAAGGCAAGGTGTTGCTTCGTATTTATTGACCACATACAGCCGCATTCTCAATAGTTGGATCTTTGCCGCGAGTAGATCGCATGACTTTGTTGCCTTCCAGCCCCGGAAGAAATTCTTTCGCTTTTATGGCATTTGAACTAAGGTCCTCGCTCGTGCTTCCTTTCTTCTTAAATCCTATATGCCAGGCAGAGGATAGAACTGCGAGCTCTATGGATAACACAATCAATCAATCAATCAATCAAAGTTCAATTAATCTGTTGCAGTCTAACTAGTTGCGTATGAATATGCAGGCGCTTCATCCAACAGAAGCAAGAACTCGAAGCCTAACGCCGAGTTGGGATCACTCCCAAAGAGTATACAGAGGCTGATCGTAAAGAGCGTGGAATCAGCCCATTCCTGTAGATCCTGTAGATCCATCCCAACAATCCCATAATCCCACAAACCCATACATAAGAAATAAACATATAATGACTGCCATGGAGTGCACCCTCCATCTTCCATCTCTCACTTCTTCACTTCTCACTTCTCACTCTTCCCTTCCATCCTCTGCAACCTCCCCCTGCCTCAGTTTCAATTGATGGTGTCGTCCTCCTGGCCAGTTGATTGGCATGTTTGTCGACTCTGGCTGAGTTTCTCGTTTCACAGCATCATTTATCGTCATTGGCTAATACCCGTCGTCTTCCACACCTAGCTCCATGGCTGTAAGGTATGGATAACAAAAAGGGTCCACTCAAAGTGCTTGTCACAGGAGTAAGCAATATCTCACAATTACACCATATCTCTAACAGATAACCTATTTCTTTCATGATAGGCAGCGGGCTTTTTGGGATCAAATCTAGTCGATTTTCTCCTTGAGGATGGCTATACAGCGATTGGGCTTGACAACTTCCAGAGTGGCTCGTCGCAAAATTTGTGCCATTTAGAACACATCCTCAGTTTGAATTTCTTAAGTAAAATTATCCTGCGACCTAGTGAAAACAAATCTGCAAGACATTAACCAAAGACTAGTCATAATATACAAGATCCTCTGCCACACCTCGAAGGAGTGGACGGATCTCTAATCTAGGTTGTCCAGCAAGCCCAGTTCATTATCAAAAAGACCCAGTGTCGACCTTGAAGACTTGTTTTTTCAGCACTCAAAATCTGTTAGACCTTGCGAGATCCATAAATATACGCATTCTGCACACCAGCAGCTCGGGTTAGAGTGCAAAAGCCTAGCCCCCCTTCATCCTCGATATGTACCTGACATTGGGTGTCCCCACAAAATAGAAGTCTACGGCGACCCCTCCGTCCACCCCAGCCAGAGCACTACTGGGGCAACGTGAACTCATTCGTCCCACGAGCCTGCTACGAGGAAGCAAAACGCGCCACGAAGCCCTCTGCTATGCCTACCGAGAGCAACACGGCATCGACATTGGCATCGCGCGTATCTTCAACACATATGGGCCGCGCATGGGCGCGAGCGACGGCGGCGTCGTTACAAGCTTCATCGCATCCGCATTGGCGTGTGAGGATCTAAAGATTACCGTTGACGGCACGACAACTCATTCGTCTCAATATGTTACCGACTGTACGCAGGGGCTGTATGCGCTTATGCAGAGCGAGTATAGCAAAGGCCCAGTGAATATCGGCAATGATGGGGAATTAACTATCCAGCAACTAGCCGAGCTTGTGATCGATCTTGTTTCGCAGGTGACTGGCCGGTATAAGTTCTCTATTGCGTATCTCCCGCCGTTGGTGGATGATCCTACGGTGCGCAGGCCGGATATTACGTTGGCGAGAAAGGCGCTGCGCTGGGAGCCGGCTATTCGGCTAGAGGAGGGATTGCGGAGAACAATCGAGTAGCATATCAAAGAGGGGCGGTCTGACTGACAGGCGTGCTATTGGTTGGTAGCTGCATAATAGTCCTCAGGCATGGCTTCCAGAGTTACCTGTTGCGTTCTTCAGCATCTGATTGCTCAATAATGTCTGTTTGCGCTGTGGTCGGTCCTCGGACTCGAAAGTCATTCCCATACCCCTCTGTGGCTCCTATTTTTAATGCATCAGTGTAACCGGCACGAGATCAATGAGATCGAAGCACGATCCCCAGAGTCTCTTTCTTCTTATCAATAAGCTCCATCTCATGAGTTATCCGGCCTATCACATCCGCGCCGCAGTCCATGAACGTGGGTCCGACAAAGATTTCCTCTTTGGGATTAGTTTATCGCGGCCAAGTATGAACTTCAAGATGCGCGACAAGGCAAGACTCGCCAATCACGGCGTTATGTATGGACTCTTTTTCAAGTAGCAGTGTCCTACTTCTGCATTTTAGTCCTTGGCTATGGCGGGGTGAGTCCATATATAACTCCCATCCCCCCAGCACCATACAGTCCCAGTTCAAATCAAATATCTTCAGTGAGCATCACTTGATTCATCCTATTTCTTTCTATACACCAACCTTTCAGCGCAATTCATACAATGGGTGACTATACACCAGAAGTGACAGCAGCTTCAGTGCCTATCCCATCCGAGAAGCAGATCGACTCAACTGGCATCAAACCATCCAGTGGAGTCCTTTACCACCAGCTGCGAAATGAGCCCTTGAACATTGTCGGTGGTCGAGGCAGCTACCTGATAACCGAGGATGGTCTGGAAATTCTGGATGCCACATGCGGTGCAGCTGTATCCTGTCTAGGTCACAGCGACGAGCGTGTCCACGAAGCCATCTTGGACCAGCTGAAGAAAATCCCCTACTGCTATTCCATGTTTTTCACCAACAGCGCTGCGGAGAGTTTGGCAAAACTTCTGGTAGACTCAACCGGTGGCAAGATGTCTCGTGCCTACATTGTGAGCTCGGGTAAGAAAGTTCTCTATGCTGAACCAAGAATGGTTACTAAAATCACAATAGGTACCGAAGCTGTCGAGGCTGCTGTGAAGATGGCCATTCAGTATTTCACAGAGTTGCCCGTCCCTGAGCCCCAGCGGGTAAACATCATTTCTCGAAAGTCGTCCTACCACGGAAATACCCTCGGGTCACTTGCTGTTGGACACCACGCCTCGAGGCGGAAGATCTATGAAAGCCTTCTTTCGAAGAATATTCACCACGTGCCACAATGCTATCCCTACCGCAGAATGAATGCCAACGAAAGCACCGAAGACTATGTCGCAAGACTAGCCCAAGAACTAGAGGACGAATTCCAAAGACTTGGCCCCAATACTGTCTGTGCATTCGTAGCGGAGACAATGCCAGGTGCTGTGAGTACAACCTAATCCCGCCATGTTAAACATGCTAACTGTTTCAACAGACTCTTGGATGTGTCCCCCCCTTACCCGGCTACCTCAAAGCACTAAAAGCCGTCTGCGAGCGACACGGGGCGCTCTTCATCCTAGACGAAGTAATGTCCGGCATGGGCCGCACCGGAACCCTCCATGCCTGGGAGCAAGAAGACGTCGTTCCTGATCTCCAGACAATCGCCAAGGGACTCGGCGCCGGCTATGCCCCGATTGCCGGGTTGCTCATCAACAAGCACGTGGTTGATACTCTAAACAAGGGCACCGGCGCTTTTGTCCACAGCCAGACATACCAGGGACACCCGGTTGCCTGTGCGGCTGCATATAAAGTGCAGCAGATTATACAAGAGGACAATCTGCTGCCGAATGTGCGGGCGATGGGAGAATATTTGGGTCAGCGTCTTCACGAGTGTTTGGATAGTCACCCTCATGTTGGTGATATTCGAGGCAGGGGATTATTCTGGGCTGTTAGTTTTCTTCCCTTTTGTCTTTCGGTCTTTACTAACATTGGTATAGATGGAATTTGTTCAGGATAAAGAGACGAAAGAGCCCTATCCGCCGTCAAAGGCGCTTTCTCGGACTCTGCACGCGACAGGCCTCAAGCCTGGACATGCGATTTCGTTGATGCCCGGAAATGGTGGTATCGATGGTGCTAATGGTGATCATATTATTCTGGCACCGCCTTATAATACTACCCGTGAAGAGATTGATTTGATAGTCGACCGAACTGTTCAGGTGATCCAGGAGGTTCTGGGATAGGGGGTTCTCTGCGTTTAGTTAGTCTCTATTGTATCTTCTCACAATTAGCTTAGTTAAACTGCCACTCGATTCTTAATCAATCAGAATGAATGAGTCCTTACACATGTCCGACAAGACTTTTCGGTTGCTGTATGGTAAATCAATGCCGCAATATAGTAGTCCAGAGGCCGTCTTTCCAGAGATTTCAAAGGAACTCACTATAGCGACTTTTTTCCCCCTATGCCCGCTTCCGGTGGATCATGATACACAAAATATTGGCATATCTTATGAATTTAGCCTGGTCCAATAGTATCATTGCAATATATATTGTCCCGGGTGTGAAAATAATCTAATTGGTCGATCATCAGGTGACTGCCATATAGATAAGGCTGCGGGGAACAAGACTGAGACCCGTGGATATATAACACACCTCTTTATTGTCCACCTCTCACTAGACAGTAGCGCATCATTTGTTGGATCATCCAGATGCCTCGAGGCGACAAGTTCTCGCGATCACGGACTGGTATGGCGGCCCATCCCAGGGCGAAGTGCAGGTGCTAATATAAAAGTGGAAAAGGCTGTCTCCAATGCCGAAAGAAGCACAATAAATGTGATGAGCAACAGCCAGTTTGCTCATTTTGTGCTGCGCGGGATCTGGAGTGCAAATATTCATCGGGTGTGAAATGGATCCGCCCAAAAGAGCCAATTCCCACAAGACATAAGCCTCGCTGCAAAGACCGCAGTCGAGCAAGTGAACAAAACATGCTCGGTCAACCTTCAGCACTTTTTGCAGAGACATGTTTTGAATCTGCAGAAGACAAATCTGCGTGGGAATATTGTATGTGGTCTCATGCTATGTAATTGGGATTGGAATATCTAATCGAGAATATTTGCACAGACATAAGCCTTGTTTCATCCAATGTCCCCGCTGTAGATGGACCGGACAATCCTTACCGGCAGGTCTCCATCCCAGCCCTATCATCACCAATTCTTCTCGAGACGATTGTCTGTATTTCGACAGAACATATGCTCAACTTCGGATTAGCGAGCATTGATCTGGCAGCCAAGCGCCAGCAGCGAATGCTCAGAACACTCGGACAAAATCTGCTTAGTCTTGACTCCATGGCCGCCTGCGATGCAGGTACAATCGTAGCCAGCAACAAGTACGAGCGCGAAGCGCTCCTCACAGCTGTCGTCCTCCAGGGGATCGTCGTCGCACAAACAGCAGATGGCGTACTGGAGCCCCACGTCAAATGCGCCTCTTGGCTCATGCAAGCACTAGGCTACTTCGACGAAATACCACAAAACCCCATTGCCCGCATGACAATACAACGCTTCGGCATGGTCGACGTAATGCTAGCCATCTCACGACAGCGAAGGCCGTATGCACCGCAAAAGTTCATACTCAACCAGCCCGACGAGAATCGCTGGGACACCACCGAGCCCTCGTTCCACAAGATGACAGGATGTCCACAGCCCCTGATGTGCTTCCTAGTACGAATAGCGCATCTAGCCTGTGACGTGAGCGACGGACTCGAAACAAATACCGACGAAGGCGCTATTCTGAACGAAGCATTCCAACTCGACACCGAGCTTCGCGCCTGGGGATCCGGATACAATGGAATCCCGCCGGCGCGATGTGAGCGCACACCTCTGGATATCCTCACCGAGTGCTTTTACTGGACTGCGCATTTACTGCTTGCCCGTCGGGTTTTTCGAGACCAGACGTGCTCGCCGCGCGTGCAACATTTGGTGCGTGTATGCTTTGGGTTGATGGATCATCTTTCGACGGGGTGTGGGCCAGATTCGTCGTTGCCTCAGCCGTTTTACATTGCTGCGAGGGAGGCTGTATCGCCTGAAGATCGTGTCTGGGTTCGGCAGAAGCATGAATCTATGACGGCTTATTATAGGGAACAACAGCGGAACTCGGCAATGGAGCTTATTGAGCAAATCTGGGAAACTACGGATAAATTGCGGGAGTTGGGTAATGGCTCCGGTTGGCCAAGGGGGATTGAATTGTCAATTGTGGATAGTTATGTGCAAGCGCTTGACAGAGGGGCTTGTTTCTTCATCTTCTAACGAAATTAATCTATTTCGTTTTTTTGGTGGGGGGTTCTCCTTTCCCGGGTAATTATAGATGAACCGGTTCGCGGAGCAACATTGAAATAATGAACTGTCCCAGGGTTATTTGCCTAGATGGGAATGCCGGGATTTCGCATGTCATCAATGGAAGATAAGGCACTAGGTATATCGGGTCATTAAACTGGAAGACTACTGCATGCAGTACGGAGTACGGAGTAGCCGAAGCAAAATAATGTAAAGGAACAAACGCTACTCCGTAGATCGAGATGGCTTGGGGAATAGGCTGAATGTCCTGGAGATGGCTTCTTTAAAGATGAGATATAAACTCTATACAGTACATATATACCTATATATATACGGAGGAACCTTGGAAGTATATGATATGATCCATGGATGCTAACCCTTAAATGGAGTATCAGAAAACCGGATATGACGGATGTCAAGCAAAGAAGTAAAAGAGTTGCACCCTGAACTCAATACCGGTCGGGGTCGAGGTCTAGAATGACCTGTCATGTCTCGAGAACCAATCATAACCAGGGGCAGGGCGGGTACCTGAATGTTTTTCCTCTGGCGTTCCACGGAACTGCACGTGTAACTCCATGCTTATTGGCCGAGTCCACTGGATTAGCCCCTGGAACCGTGGTCCAAGAGTCCTGTGTGGCTAGAATCAGGGGAAACTCTGCCTCAAGGGGAAAATCTTCTATCACATCGTCCATTCCACTCTGTCCACCTCGTTAATTCGTCAAACGCATTGTCAAACGCATTGACATGTTGACATTGTCTCAGATTCCCCGATCTCACGTGGATGCCCGTTCGGCATCCAAGCGATGAGGTTTGTACGGTCTATTCGACGCCACAATTTCCAACAGTTTTCTACTATTGAATTTGACTTGCCCCTGAGAGTCACACCGATGCAGTTGGACAAGGATGACATAGATGCCCAGTAAGGGGAGTAGCACTCGTACCCCTCTCCAAAACAATGGAGGTTCAGTCTGCGCCCTTATTGCTCCAGGCCTCCGTGATGCTGCTTGGGCTCATGCAGGTCAACGCAGGGGCCAAAACCAGTTTTCCCTCCACTTCCTACGCACTCAATACACTGGACCCAGATAGAAAAACATTGGATTTTTTTTGGTTCAAACCTATAGAAAAGAAAAAAAAAGAAAAAACAGAGAAAAACGTAAAAGAACTAAAAAAAGACCGAGAAATCGAGGCCCTGACCAAGAAAAAACAATGGGGCCCCCACGAGGTACCAATAGTCCAGAAAGGCCCTGGTGTGTTGTTCATCAACCGGCTGTGTAGTCAGCATCTCCCATCTCCTGATCCGCTTTCTTCTGCCCTGCGCTTTTTGTGTTTCTCATTCCCTCCATTCTTTTCTTTTCTTTTTGCGTCCGTTTCATTCTTTCACGGCGACATTATATCACTCATTTCTGCCCAATTCATTCACTTCCTCGAGAACGGTTTGCCCCCTCCCGTTCCCGCCCCGTTGATCGATTCAACCCGGGCATTTGAGCATTTGCCGAAACATCTTCATTGATTCTTCATTGATTCTTGTCGATATAGGGAGAAATTATTCCCCTGCCATTCGTTCCCAGCTGCTTAGGCCAGCCTTTTTATTTATCCCCTCTTTTTTTTTTTGGACGCCTCTGCGACGCGCCCTTTCAACCCAACCCCCCAGTCTCTGACGTGGACACCCTCGAACGCGATTCGATCCCTACGCTAGACTTCCATTCATTTACATCTTCAACTTGACCCTCTCGCGCCTGCGGCTGCTTCGAGAGAACATTTCCAACACTCCACTCCGTCTCCGCACCACAATCACACCCATATCCCATTATTTGTCGGCCGGATCGTCACACATACCTTTTCTTTCCGAACAAAAACTATATACTCAACCAAAAAAAACCATATTGGACACCTTGAACACAATTCCGATTACGTGCGATATATTTACTACTGTACCACGTTACATTATGTCTTTGTTGACAGAAATGCATTACCCGCCAACCGGCGCAATTGCGCCCACGGCATCGTCATCCTCGCCTCCAGCTTCCACGCCCTCTCCGTCGACCTCGAGTGCTACCACGGCCCATTCTAGTGCTGCGCGCCGACCTCCTCGCAAAAGCACTCTTACTCAACAGCAGAAAAACAACAAACGTCAACGCGCAACTCAGGATCAGCTTGTCCTTCTGGAGATCGAATTCAACAAGAACCCAACACCCACTGCGGCTACCAGGGAACGTATTGCTTCGGACATTAATATGACGGAGCGATCTGTTCAAATCTGGTTCCAAAACCGGTAGGTTCTATTCGGGATTGTGTTTCTATTTTTTTTTTTCTTTACTGACTCAATATAGTCGCGCTAAAATCAAGATGCTGGCGAAAAAGAGCATTGAGACTGGCGAAGGATGCGATTCTCTCCCAGAATCCATGCGACACTATCTCGCGATGCAGTTTGACCCTAACAAGGCTGGCGCAAGAGACCCATTCGGACGTACTGGCGCATATGGCCCGCCTAGCATGTACGCAAACGAGACTAACCCTTCTGGCAAAGTTGGTACGTTGATAACTCCCTCTGCTCCATCGTCCGTTAAACTAATTGGTATTTCTAGTGATCTCTCACTTCACTTGTCGCTCCTTGACTGTCGGCAGCTGGCGGCGCATCGGACAAAACGCCATGGACTTGGTCGTTTTCTATTCCCCCGATAAGGCATGCATGACTTACTATATCAACAACGATGCTGCCGGCTATAAGATCGAGTACCCGTTCGCCTATATCAAGAACATCACCTTGGAAACCGGTGATCCGAGCCCGGGACCGAATGGCGAACCACCTCGACCAGGTGGTCTTGTCGTGGAACTGAACCGCCCGCCGCACTTTTACATGGACTCATCCAACTCTGGAGGGTTCTACCAGTGCGGTGATTTCACCGAGGAGCAGCAAGCTAGTCAGATCATGGTTCACCACCTGGGAGGCCATCCCAAGGTCTTGAGCGTTCAGCTTGCCAAGCTTGTGTCGTTGGAGTCCTTCCAGAACCGCCTGGCTTATAATAACAGCAGCTTTGCCGTGCCAGCTGCGATGTCTCCGCCGTTCATCCAGCGTCCTGCATCTCAGCCTAACCAGTTCGCCGCTCCCACTTACATGAACCTGTACCAGGACAGCAACCACTTGGGCTTCAACATGCCAGCTGCTCGTGGCCACAAGCGCCAACGAAGCCGTTCAGTACCTGTTGCAGTTGACATCTCCTCGTTCCAGAGTCCCATGTCTTCCTTCCACGTGCCACCCCCTCCACCCCCATTCAACCACACCGAGGCAGGCATCTACGCACCCGTTCCACAGTCAGTGCACCATCTCCCCACCGACCTTCGCATCGACACCCAAGGATATGGACTGGATTTCCGTACCAACCCTATGTCCGCGACGACCACCGGATCGCCTCCCGACTTCGCCAGTCCCATGTACAGCAATGCCGGTCAAGGCGAGTCCACGCCAGTCGCCAGCATGGCGCCTCAATTCAACGTGCCCTTCGTCTCGGGAGGATCAACCGATGCCTCAGCAATGGGCTCTCACGCACCCTCTCCTTACTCCAGCATGAGCCCTGCAGACCCGCTGATTGCAAACCACTCGCCGCCACTGTCCAACATGTCGCACGGCTCATCCGATATGTATGGCTTCTCGCACGACCAGCAGACCGGCTTTGATGACGGTCTCTCGATGAACGATATGTACTCGAAGCATCACGTCAACTATGGCGTTTCACACGAAAGCCCTAGCTTCGAACTGCCCATGCACGGCCTCTCTGCTCACCCTTCGCCCGGAATGGGTGATTACTCCCACGGTATGGCTAACCTGGATGAGATCAACTCGCAGGGTATGCCAACTGGGTCATGAGTGCGTGCCACCGGGGGTTTTGAGTTTGTGTTTCTCCTTTGTCTCTTGATGTTTCACGGCCTTTTCTGTGCATGCGGCGCTTATGCTTCTCGATGGGTTTTGTTTTACCTCGGGGGAATTTCTTAATTGTTCAATGTCAAGAGCCATGACTAGGTGTTGGGTTTCGGTGTTTTGCAAAACCCATCCCCTCGGCTCTTTTTGGACGATTCTCGTCTCGCTGGCGATGGCTAGTGGAGCGATTTTACCTTTTGATGTGTTTCTTGCGTGACATACCCTTGTGTCTTGTTGTATTGATTATACCCTTTCTATTCTGGGGCCGGTCCTGAAGCGATTTTTGTTCTTTTTGTTTCTGTTTTCCCGGCTGTCCCGGTTGAATCCAGGACATTTTTTTTCCCTTCTTCTTTTCTCCCGGTCAATTGACCATTTCTTCATTTTCTTCTGATTTATGACCGGGATTTTTTTTCTCAACCTTTGTTCTCACTTTTTTCCATTTTCTATTTTACATTTACATTTCTCTTTTACGTGGTTATGCCAAACAGACCGACTTTGGACTGCGACTCCATTCCCCTCCATTTTCTTTTTTGTTCTCTTTTGTGTGTCTTCGAGGCTGGTGCTAGACTTGTCTCTGCCCTGCACTCCCGCTGTGGTTACGATCGTCCGTTTCCCTATCATGGGTCTGGAGTCGAATTTTTTGCAGATAAGCTTGTTCTGTCGACACCTGTTTGGGTCTGACATCCAACCAACACCGATCCTCTGGGCTGCGCAGAGTTGTGATATCTTCTGCCCGAGACCATACAAGTAGGACAGCTCTGGGCTGGCGGTATACGAGTGTGGGGGATCGACGCTAGGCTCTGAATCAATTCATTATGTATCGCATACAACTCCGTGTAGATTGTAGCCGTACTTCAGTCTCACTATACTGTTCAATGGTAGACTATATATATCCTACTAGTACATACTATTATACAAGGGTATCTCAAACATCTTATATGAACCAAGCATCGCATGCCTCACGACTGTTTCTGCTTCTCCCACCCCATCGGCAAAGGTGCCGCATACCCTCCCTTCTCCCTAAGGAACCATTCAATCCAAACCTCCATTTTCTCCAAAACATTCCGCTCCGGCTTCCCCTCCATCCCAACATCAAACACCCCTTCCTTGCACCAAACACTCCACGACCCCATCATCCCAGCCATAAGCACATCAGTCCCAAGCCGGTCCCCAACAACAGCAATCTCATGCGGAGAATCAACAACCCCCCTCTCCCGAAACCACTGCACAACCTCCTCACCGCAGAACGGCTTCTTTTCCGCGCCCGCCGGTAGGCGGAAGACAGGAATGCGCAGATGCGCAAGCTGCGCTTCCAGCTCGGAGACTTCACTATCGAAGCGCGGGTGGCTGCCGGCGCGGTTCGAGACGATGAGGATTGAGTCCGGATTCGTGGTTTGGTTGAAGGGGGGGGTTGGCGAGGTGCGAAGGGAGGAGAGTTTGGCGAGGATCTGTGGGGGGAAGGATGTTGTTTTCGCCGCGCAGAGCGTATTGTCTTTATCGAGGACTAGGGCGCGGATTGTGGGTGTGTGCGGGGGTTTTTCGGGTGTTGGTATTTGTGTTTGGAGACCTTTCTTTACGTTGATCAGGTGTGGTCCTAGGTTCTCGGGGAGGTGGGTGAAGGTTGGGATTGTGAGGTGTGGGAGGAATTGTGTTGGTTGTTTGAGGAGGGTTTGGACGGCGTGGTTGAAGCCGCGTAGGTTGGAATTGGGTGAGCCGGCCATTATGGTTGGTTTGGGATTTTGATGTAGAGTTTTGAGAGTAGAGGGGGCTACTGGAGGCGCATTATGTGGGAGTTTTGTGCTTTTTGGAGGTTGGAGTTGTTGTTCGGGATTGAGAGAGAGCCCAAAGCGGAGAGGACGAGCTTAGCCGCAAAACTCGCCTTTCTCTTAACCTCCACCTACTCCGACCTCATCACTGTCCCACCATCTCCCCACGACTACCCATTGTCTTGATTTGTCCCTTTCTTTGTGCGAGGGAAGCTGCCAGTGTTTCTTTTCGACTTCGTTCAACCGTTTTCTATCCTCGTTCGCCGTCACACAATCAAAATGGGCAAGCTCACCTCCACGATCGGCATCCCGATCAAGCTCCTCAACGAAGCGCAGGTCCGTTACATTCCTTGATATTGCTATTCCGATTGTTGGATGGAAAAGCAGGATGCATGCGTGATATCGCGAAAATGGAGATCACTGTGGATAGCGCAAGGCAGAGAGGCTAATATCGTTTTTCAATAGGGCCATGTCGTGACGATTGAGATCACATCCGGAGTCGTCTACCGGGGGAAGCTTTTGGAAGGTACGTGGCTCATCTCTACTCGAGCTTTTGGGCGTCTGCTCTCTATTTAGAGAGGCGGTCTATAAACAAGCTTCGGGGAGTGTCTTTTGCGCGATTCGAAACTAACATGCATTTCCCACAGCCGAGGACAACATGAACGTTCAGCTCAAGGACATCACCGTCACCGCTCGCGATGGTCGTGTCTCCCATCTCGACCAGGTCTACATTCGCGGCAGCCACGTGCGATTCTTCATCGTGCCTGACATGCTCCGGTACGTTGAACCCAAATATCCAGCTTCTGGATCGCAATTTCGCGAACTGCACATCTCCAATTTCACCTTTACTAACTACATTCTGCTTTTCAGGAATGCTCCCATGTTCCGTACACGAGGCCAGCGCGGGCGCGGTGTCGGTTTGGCGCGTGGTAAGGCTACGGTGCAGCGTGCCCGTGGCCAGCGCGGCCGGGGTTAAATGTGATATGTGGAAGAGATGAAATCGCAGTTTCAAGGCCTCACAAATTCAAGAGTGGTTGGCGTTTTTCTTTGTTTTCTTGGTTCTTAGGGGATTTCTTTTTCGGGCTTTGATCTTGCGAAGTCTTAAAATATCGGCTGGCATTTCTTCTTGTAGATGCTTCGTCAGATCACCATTCAAATTATGAATCAATACCCGACATGAATCTCCTAATTCCATAGGTTAAAGGCGTATCTGTGTATGTTCAGTTCACGGAGCCCTATCGGGTATTGATATCGATTCGATGCCTTTGATGGCGGCTCATGTCCAAGGAGCATATCATGCGTACTGAGGATTTCATGTCCACGGACATAATCCAGCTGATTAATGACTATAAATAAAAGAGGCGACTCATTGGCCATGAGTTAAGCAATTCGGACAGCTACAGAAAGCACTATTTCCATATGAGCTCCCGCCGCTTTTATGAGGGCCACTCAAGCTGTGTACATCTGAGAACAGTCATGTTCAGTCATGTCACGTGATTATTCGTCCCCTATAAGTGGTGAGTCAATAGGATTCCTAGTATGGGTAGGATATATATCTCCATGGCCATGAACTAATAAAATACACACTGAGCTAAAATATATTAAGATGGATGACAAAATATAATAACTCTGAGATAGGAAGAACAAATCTTGCACAATTCCCCCTTTTCCTCAAGCTTCAAAATCTAAGCCTCTTGGGTCGGATCATAACACTGCCCGGTTTGCAATTTCCAAGGCTTCTTGGAAGCATGCAGCGTTGGTAACTATATCATTCCTTCTGCTTGCTGCAAAGCTCCACCAAGACCTCACAGAATCGATCCAGAAGTGGGTTCACCTCATTTTCCTTGAGAATGGAGTTGGATGCCTCGATCGCAAACACGGCTGTCGTGCTAGTAGGAAACACAAGCAGCCACACGATAGCCTCAGCAGGAAGATTGAAGAATTGTGTACTCTTCTGGCAGCGCAGCTGACCAAACCGTGTTTTTACACTTTTGTTTTAGTTTTGAAAGAATACCACTGATCCTGGTTTGGCGTTTCTTTGTTAGTCAGGGTATAGATACCCTGATTTTGATATACTGAATAAATCATGATTCCTCTTCTTCTCTCTCCGCAATAGTCCTTTGCCAGTAGCCCTAACAAATGCAAACGTCTTGGTTATCGTATTCGGCCCACAGATCAGATACAAGCTTCCGGAGACCGGTCGCATCGTACTGGGCATGTAGCAGCCTAAATATTAAGATGAAATGGTCTGGTGCATCTTGGACTAGTTTGAACTCAACTCAGGGCTCGTCTGCGTAATAAAGCTTCTTCAACTCGGCATAGGGAAGAGGGGCCAAGATTTCAATAAATCGAGCATCTTCTGCGTTTTCTTGCGACATATTCATCTTCCTAGGACAGTCCCCGACTGGCACAGCTAAACACAATGAGAATAAGTGATGTCTATCCTGTGATTCCAAATCAGCCAAAACATTATTAGCTCAGTCAGTGATCCAATTCCTTATGAGGTTAGGACAACCATTTGAACTGGCCAACCAGATTGTTTTATTGAGTAGTACCTCGTAAGTGGTGTGGGTTTACGGAGTACTATTTCTATTGTTTCTTCAACCGGTCGAGGTCCATATCCCGCCAGTGGCCATGATAGATCAAGAACAAAGACGGAGTACTTATTTACAAATCTAATTGCCCATCGCAGCAACCGTCTGCTTCCTCTCTAACAACGGGCGTGGATCGAGATAGACAGTGAAGAAACTCATCTGGTCTTCCCCCACCCGTCTACCAAAAACTGCAAGACCATCAATCTTAATCACTTTCTGCTCCGGATCCCCCTTGACTACATATTCAATCTTGGCCTCCTGGTAAATCCGATCCGGCAACACATCTACATGACCAATTGTATGTGTCATGCTATCAAGAAGAGAGAATTGCTTTTTGAAGAAACCCTTGATGGCGTCATGACCCTGCAAGGGAGGTTGTCCTGGAAAGCGCATCACGCAATCTGGAGTGTAGAATTTGGGAACGGAGATATCGGGATTGAGGGCATCACCGGCTGCGTGGTATTGCTGAAGCCATTCAATGGCGGAAGTTTTGATTTCGGGGGCATCCACTGTGATATATGTCAGACACATTATTGAGAGTAGATGAAGGCGGCGGACATATGAACATACTATTGAAGCAAGTGGTTGTGTTGAATCGGGAATTGGGGGAATGATTCACGTCGCGGGTAAGAAAATACTTTGATCGTTAATATTAACACCGAGACATCTGAGAAGTGGTGTTCGGGCAGCTAAAAATTAAAAAAGAAAATCAAATAAGTTCGGGTTTGTTCGACGTAATTCTTCGACACTGGCCAGCGAATACTAATACTAACCTGCAGAATCTTATTTTGATGTGGATCAATAGCGCAAGGTGGAGATGCATAGGTTCATTTCAGGATATGGCAAGTTATGTACGGAGTACCTTCAGCTCTACCGCAATTATGTCGATCGATCACGCGTTCAGTGGCCTCATAGAAACACTATCTATAGATTTATATTGGGCGATAACAAACGGGGCAAGTATTATATCTTTTACGTCTCATTTTATGTGAAGTAATTAGCGGACCTCGGGAAGTGGCTGGGATGAGTATACATATGTTCGATGTAGATTGCATTAATGTACATCCCTTGTCCGCATGCGAACTATACAGTTCAACTAATCTTGGAAATGGATGGTGGAACCGTGGATCGATGGCAGGACGGCACGAATAAGGTACAACCTTGTTTGCGCCGGTGAGTTACGAGGGTACCTAGGTATTACATATCATATTGAAATTGGAATGACATACTGTAAGTTAAACATTTAAGGTATCATATAAGCTATGCAAAGGTACTATAGATGGAATAAGAAATGATTTACAATTTCAAATCGCGAATCTGATGGCAGAGAAGATCTTCGATAGATCATATTTGAGAAAGAGATATATCTACTATCTAGTTGGAGGATGCAGGTCTTAGGCAGCCACACACCTCAATAGCTAGCATCAGTCTAGGCCATGCTCCTTAAAGCTCTCCGGTTGATCTTGAATCCCGTCACCGGAATCTGATCGATACAGTGGACGCCTCCGGACAAACTTTGCAAGCCAGTCAGTCGCTCGCCTGCATATCGCTCGATGTCGCCTTTTGCCTCTTCTGGCTTTTCACGGAATTCCGGCTTCATAACAACAAATGCAGTCGGTCGGTCCAATTGGGCGGCCTCATCCCGGCATCCCACCACAACAACACTGCCCACAGCAGGGTGGCCGAAGATGATCCCCTCCAGCTCAGCGGCCGAAACATGCGATCCGTAGCCCTCACCGACCTTGATCAGCTCCTTGAGGCGGTCGACAATGTACACGTTTCTGTCTTCATCTATATACCCGTAATCGCCTGTCTGGAACCATCCGTCCGAGGTGAAGGCACGATTGGCCAACTCGTTATCCTTGTATCCTCTGAATCGTGCCAACCGATTGCGCACGTAGAGTTCTCCGTGATCGCGCACCCCACAAGGAGAGCCGGTTTCCGTGTTAATGACCATGGCCTGCATGCCATTGACCAGCGTTCCACTCGATCCAGGCCGACGGGAAGATTCGTCTTCGGTCTGGATGGTGAGGAGCATCGTTTCCGCTGAGGCCCATTCCATCGTCAATGGCAGTCCGTCAAAGCGGGAGGACAGGGCATCACGGACACCATCACTGATGGGGCTGCCCGCACTGAGGATCCATTTCATGCTGCTCAGGTCTGTGTCGCTACGGTCGTACGCAAGCTTCGCAGCCAACGGGGGCGCAACAAAGAGAAACGTGATCCGGTGACGCGGGATAACATCGATATTGGATGATTCGAGAGATTCGCGCATCAACACCACAGGAATTCCCAGTAGGATATTGAGGCCCATATGCAATTTGGCGTTGATGAAGAAGCCCAACGACAGGGGGAGATCCAGACATCTTCGTCCGGGCTGGTGGTGGATGGAACCGTGAGGCGAGTGGCTTCCATCGTTGCGATGAAATGGGCATGGCTGACCAGAACGGACTTCATACTGCCGGTAGAACCGCTGGTACGATTGATAAATCCCGTGTGTTCTTCCGCCTGAGCATTAGTAGTCAATTCGAAAATGGGGACGAAGTGGCTATCATCGCGACATCTCGATTCCGTTAGGATGTCTTCCAAATTCGGGGTTGATCCGGATCCGCGATCCAAAGTGAGCACCGGAATCTCGCGATACTGGCTCAATGCCTTCTCCGTTAGGGAAAGAAGCTTTTGGTCGGTCAGAATCAACTTCGCATTGACCAGTTTGAGATGCGAGAAAATGTCCGTCTCATTTTGCTGTTTCTGGACGGGAATCAGGGCCACTGTGGCTCCCGCAGCGACACAGCCAAAGTATGCGATAGGATATTGGATCTTGACATATTGTTAGAATAATGCAATTGTTTCCGTGTTAGATAGTCATACTATATCATGCGAAAATATCGCCACCACATCCTGAGGTTGGATTTGATATTCGGTTTTCAAGCTGCGAGCTAATTGCAGGCTTTGCTGCTCCAATTGGCCCAACGTCAACGTCTCCTCAGTCCCGTCCACTCGATATAGAATGCGGTCTTTGGGATAATCTCGCCGTCCATGGTGAAAGATGTAAGAAAAGACATCGGCCTGAGGCAGCGATGGAAGGGGTAGTAATGAATCAAAGATCATTTTGCAAGTATAATAATGAATGGCACATAAGGGGGACTTGGGCTATTTCAGTCTCGCCAAGTGTCCTACGGCTACTCCGTACGTACATGTACGGTAGTAAATTAGTAGGGTATACTCCGTACAAGATACCCATTTATATGGCGCATTAGGCGCAGGAAAAAAATGCGACGATCGACGCGAAAAGAGCTAGAATGACAAATATATTTATGCCAATAAGCGATCTCTGATAGGTAAAAATTTAAGATAGGGTTAGAATGAGTGGCCCATTTTGCCTTGTTACTTCATTTTCATCCGCTGGTTCTATAGCACTCTCGACACCAGGTTCACTATTATCTAAAAGTGGTTCGTTCTCTCCACCAAGATCACCTTTAGCATCATGATAGTCTTCCATCCGTAATGGTACTGAATAAACCCACCCCACAGAGGACTGAAAACCAATCCAATAAATTGGGCCATCGTCTGCAGGCTAAATGACTGTGCTGTGGCACCTTTGGGGCCCGTGATTCCTGGCCTTTCATGCTTCATGCCCGTCCAGGACAGCCTGGGACCTCACATGCAAAGCAGCAAGACTCACATTTATGAACAGACTGGTCAAACATAAATGAGGAATTAGGGTAGCAATGTGAGGCCAAGGATTATGTCTGACAAAGGAGATACAGATCAGGGTAGGACAAAGAAGGATAAATCCGGTAAATGCCATAGCCCGTGGATTATAATAATTACAGATAGATCCTATATAGGTTAGCATTTGCACACCGTGTGGTGGCTAACAGACATACCAAAATAATGTCGCATCAGTGATGTAAAAGCACTTGGAAGGAAAATCAACCAAGCTCCCACTGGGGACTAGTGGAATGTAGACTCAACAAATATGCGGAGGGTCTACAAAGGTCAATATAGATTTCACTGTTTTTCAAGTGTGGAGCCTGCAAGCAACTCACAGCGTCAAAAGTGAGAAAAAAGATCCCATTGACCAGAAGAGCCCAAAGGGTGATCAGGGTTCAGGCTCGCCGGATGAGTCTTAGCAGAAAAAAAGCCTGCTTCGTTAGTGAATGAACAGTCATTGCCATTGCCTGCGATATGTTGATTATCATCATCAGGTGATTCTGTATCAGCCTCAATCTAACCCTGCCTAAGCTTTTTCTCGAGAGGGTTCCCCTGTTTTGAGTTGCCTGATATATTGATGGATGTAGGTCGTTCCTCTGCTGGCAGTGGAGGTTGTGAGTTGGAAGAAGTACGCCGGGAGCTTAATGAAAGGCAAAGTACACCGGTTTTATATGCACATCAGGATGGATAGTCATATATTTCAGAGAGATATAAGGTTGATATAATGATAGGCATTTTCGAACGAAACGATCACTAATTGCAGAGAGGAACCTCCAGGGCTGAGGCATCCATGTGATAGCACCAGGACATATAGACCTTTCGCTCTCTCTCTCACACCGTCCGCTTTTTCGTTTATGAATGCATACATGTTCTTTCTTGTGAGATCAATTCAGGGTATCGCAATCAATAGACTGATCTTAGTGCCTTTTGTATGGGATGTCACGAATCCAATTTTTACCTTGCAACGAGGTCTCTGACACTTGATACTCTCTTCCAGAATAGAATACCCAAGGCAGGGTAGACTGGCCTGGAAAACGGTAATTTATAGTGTTTGAATATCTCTCATGTCACATGACTCTCCATAGTACAGGTAGTCTAGCTTCCTACTTTCCTCCTCTTCTTCTAGACAGTACTTACCACTTACAATATCATCATATTGTGCATTCTCATGCTCTTCTCTACCCTGTAGACTCAAACATATAGTATTAAATTAACCCGCATCCATACATCAAGGCAATATACCTCGTGTGGGAAGGGTGCGCGCTCTGCATAGAGTGGGTTATTCAATGTGTGGGTGTTTACATCTTCAATAAGCACAAGAATTGCCAAGAAGATATACCACTGGACGAAGAGGCGCCTATGACAAGAGTCAGGCAAACTCCGATGAATAAATCCGATGAACTCCGAAGCACCGAAGCCCCGAAGCCCCGAAAGCTTACCCAAGCATCGGAGATGCTCGGAAAATTGTGGGCCGTTTTCTCCGAACCGCCTCAACTCCGATATTCGTCACATGTCACCGTTGATTTCTCCGAACAACACCACCCTTGTTGTTTTTATCCATTTTACAACGATGCGTACCGGACTTACAACTCCGGGTACGAGGTAACTTCGGCAATACAATGAGTCAAAGCTCCTCAACCCACGGCGAGCCGGGTCAAGCGCAAAGCCCTAGATCTCATCGCCGAAAGCGAAAAGTCCTTAGTTGCGAGCATTGCCGATGCTCCAAATTAAAGTGTGATCGTCAACAGCCTTGTGGTGCTTGTACGCGGCGAGGCTGCGAGCTGTCATGCTCGTTCTTGACCACCCCTAGTGTCGTGACTACATCCATCAATGTTCATCCAACAACATCCAATCCCTCGTCGTCAAATGTGCCACACAGGAATACGCCCGCCGCTCCCTTAGTCCCACAGGGGCAACCTGTTGCTAGTTGTTTGAATGATCGAGCTGAGCGGTCGGGACCTGACGAAATTCAAGATTCCCAGTATTGCCGCTGGGAAGCAGTTCTTCAACGGCCATTTCCGGAACATGATCCTGTCGCAGCAACTGACACTTTGTCTCCCTTTTCAATTGCCCCGAGTATCTCGCTTCAAGATATTATTAAAATTTTACCCTCAAGAACCAGCTGCGACTGTCTGGTTTCTCATTTTTTCAATCACATCTCTGCTCTGTTCCCCATTCTCCATGGCCCAACATTCCAGAAGCAGTATGTTGCCTTCATGCAACAGCCCTATGAAGTTGATCTCTCTTGGCTGGCTTTACTTTTTTCAATGTGTTCTTTGACATTGAACAGTATGGAGCCAAGTGATCCTAGACTGGTGGATATATGGCCAAAAGGGTCTTATTCCAAGGAGCAAGGGGCTGTGAATTTGTCCCGTCGCCTTCAGCAAACTGCGATGGTTTGTCTTTTACAAGATCAATTCTTTATCCGACATAAACTCAGCACATTTGAGGCTTTGCTGATGATGATATATAACCTGTCTCACAATGAGTCTGTCGATCAAGGGTGGGCTTTGTTGGGTATGGCGTTAAACATCGGCATAGCCCTACGGTGCAATGTTGACTCCCAGGGGCTTAACCATCTCGAGACTGAGAGACGCCGACGCTGCTGGGCTGGTATATTGACGCTTCATACCTACCAAGCCATTCTCTTTCGGGATATCGACATGTCATTCCTTCTTGATATAAAAACCACAATGCCTGCAGATGTCAATGATGCTGATATCACGCAAGAGGGGATCTCGCGGCCATCTAGTGCGCCCACGCAGATGTCTGTGATGATGTTCAAAGTTCGGCTTTTCCGGATCTCCACTCAGATCTGCCACCACATATCTAGTCCGTCACGACTTGGGGTAGAGCGATTGAAGGAATTTGATGCAACAATCGCCGAGGAGCAACAGAGATGGGACTCGACATATTTGGTGGATGGTGCCCCAAATATATTGGATTCCAGTTACGCCTATTGGTGCATTCTACAAACCTATGCACATCAACTTTACCTTCTTCTACACCGTCCTTTTCGCCAATCTCAGTCATCATGCTTCCTTGCAACATCCAGAGAGAGGTGTATAGCTTCCAGTGCCGCCTTAATAGGCATCCATCGTCAGATATATGAAGTTCCACTACTTCGACCCTATCTCTGGTTGCTTGGAGGTGTTACAAGTTTAAAGGCACTTCACGCTGCTGTGGCGCTCAATTCGTGCCTTCTAGATATGCCATCGTCTTTTGAGTCAGACTCGTACCGGGAGGAGTTAAACAAACTCGTCCTTCGAATGGAGGGCCTTTCTCGTCGAAGTGCAATATGTTTGAAGGCCCATCGCATACTTCTTCAATTACAGTAGGTTATACTTCATTGTGATGGCAAGTTCGGCTAAATGACTTTTTCCAGAACTCAGTTCGGCGCAGAAAACCAGCAACTACCGAATTCGGGAACTCGGTTCGAGAGCACAGTGGAAGACTGGACTGATATGCGGGAATGGTTTGGGACGGATCTTTTCAACTGGGTGAGATATGGAATTTGTGATTTCTTGACTCCAGACTAACTTGTTCAGAACTTGGATAGTGTTGGCAATCTTCCCGCAGTTTGATGTCTCATATACATTGGACGACATCTCTGGTGATTCTTCAAATGGGTGTCAAACTTGTTACGCCACGCTGGCCAGTCGTTAAAATAATGAAATCCTATTCTAGTTCGAATGCTCTTCGATGGATAGAGACAACATTAAATAGCAACGTGCAACTGATCGCAAATTAAGATGTGCATGAATGAGTGTTCCTTTACATCCCTTTGCTGCGTACCACCGACCAGGATTCTTATTTAAAATACCAGCTGCACCGGTGATGGAGGATGGTATATGGTCATGTTTGATTGACCTCAAGATATCAGATGTGACGTATCCGTGCTTTTCCCGGGTATCATGTTCAATTGTCTAAATTTTTGGTTGTATTGTTGGAAGAATGCGAACGGGAACTCTGGATGAGCTAAATACAACATGTCAGACTCAAAATTGAAGATGAGATATTATCATTCCATTTCAAAATATTTCCTGGGTGTCGTAGAAGGTGGGTCATTATTTTGATAGAAATTAGAAATCCCCCCGTGGCTTATAAACTGGAAGTCCGATACGATTCGGTGGAGACTAACTAGGACTGATCGGACTTCAAGTATATCGGAGAAAAATGTGGGGGTTCCCGCCTATATCCGATGCGCTGATAGTCAAATTCGGATTTCGCTGATAAATTATAGGCGCGAACAAAATAAATTTCTAAGCAGAGCTCCCCTATCTACAACTGTTAGCACTGAAGAATAAGCATTTAAATTCGGTAACTTTAGGGCTCAATGTGATGGTTGAAATTTCAGTGGCTATATAATCGCAACCTACCCGGTTTCTTTTTCAGGATATTCACTGCCTATCTTCGAGAGCTTCACCACAATGGAATCTCTCTTTCAATATCAACGTATCAGACAAGCTGTTCGTGAACAACTAGCGGAAATCAAAGAAAAATGCAGCTGCGAGAAATATACACTTGGATCACCACACGCCTCGAGGTAAGTGATAGCTCAACAAAGCTTTGCAAATATATTTTTCAACACATGCTCATACTCAATTATTCAGCTGTCAGTTATACAATGCTTCGGTTTCAGTTCCGCTGAAACAATTCTCACTTCAAGCAAAACCCACCGCCGATTCCCATATCATTGTGGACTGGGATAGTCACGATGATCCTTTGAACCCTGCAAGCCAGAGTGTGTCGCGGAAGTTGTTTATGACCTTTCTGGTCTCTTTACTTGCTTTTTCAGTAACCGCCGCATCCTCCATTGATGCTTGTGGCGTCCCACAATACAGTGAAGACTTCAACGTATCCGAAGTAGTCGGATCTCTTGCAACAGGTAAGTACATACTTTCAAATGATTATCTTACTTTTGCATAAGTTGACCGTGCCAACAGGTTTATTTCTGGTCGGCTTTGGGGCCGGTTCTCTCCTTTCAGGTCCATTCTCCGAGACTTTTGGCCGGAACGCCGTCTACCTGATAACTATGGTCATTTTTCTCATTTTTATCATGGCCGCGGCACTCGCTCCAAACCTCCACAGCCATCTTATCTTTCGTTTTCTTGCTGGTTTCTTTGGCTCTACTCCACTCAGCTGCGCTGGTGGTACGGTAGCTGATTTGTGGAATCCAGTACAAAAGACGTACGCTTTTCCAGCCTATGCTATTCCATCATTTTTGGGACCAATGGCTGGGCAGATAATAGGCAGCTATATTCCTAATAATTTGGGATGGCGTTGGCTTGAGTGGATTATGCTTATTATGGGAGGCGCGATTCTTCTTCTTGTTCTTCTGTTGCAGCCAGAAACATACGGACCTCTTCTTCTGTATTGGAAAGCAAAGATTCTCCGCGAAGAAACTGGGGACGAGAGATACAAAGCTCCGATGGAGATGAAAAATGAATCTTTGGGCCGGCGGCTGCTCACCTCAGTATATCGGCCATTTGTGCTGGTTTACTCTGAGTTGATTATCATCTTGATGTCGCTCTACCTTACCGTTCTTTATATTGTCCTCTTCACCTTTCTGGAGGGATATACATACGTTTTTCGTCATACATATGGGCTTTCACAGGAGATGACGAGCATAATCTGGGTGGGGATGCTATGTGGAATTGTTCTTGTTAGCTGCCTGGTTCCGGTAGTATACTCTTGGACTGCCAAAGAGTACAAGAAGTCTTCTACTATTGCTCCTGAAATGCGACTGTGGTATGCAATGCTGGGTGGTGCTCCAGCGGTGCCAATAAGTTTGTTCTGGATGGGTTGGACCAGCTATGTAAGTGCCCATGATTTGTTCGTTGTTGTTTCGGTCGCTGACCTTCGCGCTCTCTCTATCTTCAGCCGTCCATCTCAATTTGGTCTCCTATCATTGCCTCCGCCTTATTCGGGTATGGGATCACGACCATTTTCATCTCCGCATACATGTATATCATAGATTCCTATGATGTATACTCGGCATCTGCATTGGGGTTCCTTGTTTTTACCAGATATATGGTGGCAGGCGGAATTACGGTTGCCGGTGGGCCTATTTACCGTTCTATCGGTGTTCATTACACGTTGACCATCTTGGGGGCCATCAGTACAGTCATGGCCACAATTCCGTACCTGCTTTATGTGTATGGCCCGAGAATTCGCAAATACAGCAAATTTGCTGTCAACATCGGTGCAGAGTAATGCTTGAAACTCGGCAGACCTCATGTGAAGAGCTCTGCTGGAAGCATAACTTTATGGGCATGGGCCCATCAGAAGACTATTGAGTAATGTTAGACAATGTCGGTCATCCCATTGATGCCTTTGTCTGGTTATCTCATTGATACCTCCCTTTGTTTGCAGACTGAGCCTGCCTTTGTTTGACAGCTTTTGTTTGTCAGGGTATAAATCACTTGCTTTAGATAGATTGAATAGATGATGATTTCGCTTCTCTCTCTTCCCCTAGCTAGTAGTCTCAACAAGTAGATACCAGATTAGAGTTCTTAGAGCACCTTAAAAAAAGGATAGACAGTTAATGCGAACCAAATGATACAACCTTGTGTAGTACTTAATCCCCAACCGTCGCATTAAGATCGAACTTCTCATGCACATATTGCCTTGCATCCCGGTCCAGAGCAGAGCTCATCAGGTTGTCAGGTTGTCAGGTGACTTCGGTTTACCAATAGATTATTACCAGTAATAGAGCGAACGAAGTTGGAATCCCAAATTTCCCCCAAACCCGTGAAATACCAGTCCTCAACCAACGTTCTTCTGTTTCATCCACTCTAGGGATGATGGCTGTTGTAATGTCGAACAACTCCAATTATGCAGTCAACAGCAGTGTTGCTGAACCCAGCAAACTGATCCGAAACATCTTTGGTCAATGCATTGAAGCGGCGTCCTACTGTCCTCGAGATTTATAAGCAGAGCATCCAATGGAGTCTCGCCTTCGACATTGCGTTGTTGAAGGAGAACTCTAGCTCTGCTCAGGATCACCAAGATAGAGGTAGAAAACAGAGATGAAACCGTAAGTTACGCAAGATATCCAGGCCAAAATAGTTGTCGATGGACTATATCAATAACTAGAAGTTAAATAAATGTACCATAAGGGTCTAATAATGTCTCAGGTAGCTCAGGCATAAAGCCGAGCCAGGACATATTAAGCACACTTGCCATTCTGTCTTCATCTGCCAGTTGCTAGTCTTGATATTCACAAGGGCCTGTACCTTCCGTTACCAAGAAGGGGTTTGTCATTCTATTGTCGAAATGGCGGGGTTCATTCAACGATGATGTTTGCTGAGAGCCAATGCCCTGATTATTGTATGCCATGGTGTCTCCATCACGACCTAGGTTTGCCGGTGCGTGCGGCATTCTTCGAGGCAGCTTCTCGTATAGATTCTTCAAAGCGGCGACACTCCGCTGGGCCGCTAAAATGTCATTTTGAAAATTTTCAAGGATATTTAGTGCCCGGGCCCAGGACACTTCGAGATCCGACTCTGATATCTCCATCGGTCTGATGGCTGGCCGCAGACGTGCCGCAATAAGTACAGTAGCAGAAACGTAGATATCTAAAGTCCAAATTGTGTTAGTTGATTTGCATATAGAATATACAACCAGTGTATAGCTACGTATACACTCACGCAGGACTCCATATAGCCAATTTGGTTTCACACCCCAACCCTGACCAGTTGTGAAATTATCATATATCACATTGATCAAAACCCGAGCTGCTTTGACACAAAGGAAAGAGCACTGCAATGTTGTTCGATATGTCAGGGTTTCAGTTAAGGGGTCATTCGAAGGTCTTTGCAAACGGTCGCTGGTAGAGCAGAATTTTACTAGAATTGGCCGGAATAAATATATGCGAACTTGTAGATGTCTGAGAATGAGGGATAAAGTCGTCAGAGAAGGAGGTCATATTTACGAAGTGTGGTGTCATCAAAAGATTCAACCTTGGACTGAACCTGCCTGAGAAAAAGAACAACTGACTGGCGATGAAACATTATATGGCGTTCTTCATTGGCTTCATTTCCTGGTTTCCTCATAGAAACCTGTCGCAAATGAGACGGAATGCGTTCGTGGAGCACCACAAGGTCGTTGTCAAGTTTCAAAACCGTTTGCAGATTCTTCAAGTACTGTTCACTTTCACAAGCGGACTTCTGACCCTCCTCGACCGATGGTAATGTCAGAATCTGCTGCACAATGCGGTAAAGCTTCGCCGATTCAATGAAGAAAGACATCATTGATGGTGGAATATGTTGTTGCTCGTTCAGTGTTGTTCCTTCATTGATATGGTTGATTGTGTCAACCTGGGGGTTTTGGAGATTGGAGAAAAGATGGAGATTCTCATCGTCTACATCCAGTGGCAGAGGAACAGGGTCACTTTCACAGATAGACACCATGACAGGTCGACCCAGGGTCATACATAACATTCTATTAACTCATGAATCAGCTGAACGGCCACCATGCTGCCAGGAAAAAGTGGTCTTACCGTTCGCTCGTGAGGCAAAAATGATAGACTCGTTTCACAAGCTCTCTCTCGACAACGTCCGGAAAGCGCTCTTCACTTGATGTTGCGGCCAGGTGAAAGCCCATTTGATGGCAACTGCGTATCGCAATAGCGATGGTATTCCACGCCTTGTATGCTCTTCCTGTACATTGTAGATATTGGGCTATAAGAAGCATGATCTGTAGATGAGGTAGGCTATTGTCGGTCGAATCCACTGCATCAAAGTCGAAAAGCTTTCGGCCACGATTGAAGAATACTTGTGCTGTTGCAAATGCTTTACCTAGAGCGATCTCATCGGAATATTGGCACTTACGTGCCAAAAGAAGATTCAGAATACACACAAGGGTGCTTTCATCCACTCTCATTAGCGGGGATGCAACAATAGGAAGTAAATTCCCTGCCCAGAGTGCGTCGTATGATTTATTGAAGATGCTGCGGTTCAGGACTGGATAGAGAGGATGTATAAGCATCCAGTATGATTGCAACAATCCATCAACTACTCTGCGGGGCGGCAGAACGTAATCTCTTGGCACAGTCTGTTGGTTTGAGACGAACGAGCTAGGGCTTGGCGGAGTCTGTGGTGCAAGCCCGACAACAAATGATGAATCTGGGGATTTTGCATTCTCGTCGACAGCTTGTCGAATACTAGACATGAATGTTGCAGCGGAGGAAGGTCCTTGAAAGCCTTCATACTGAGGTTCGCCCGTGACTGCAGCCAATATGGCACTGACTTTTGTTCCTCGTTCCTTCCTAGTGGCCAGTTCATCAGCTTCACGGTGGCTAGTGGCCTCCACTGAAGCCGCCTCATGGCTTTGGCCGGTGTAAGGTGACGTAGCAGCTGCATTAACTGCATGCTGATTTCGTTCGAGCTCTTGGATTCTTTCCTGAAGAATTCGAACCATCCTACATTCGAACGCTGAGGAAAGAAAGACAGACCATTGCAGAGGATCGCAGACTTACAAGTCAGGCTCAGGAGGCGCGGCCTCTTTCCCGTCAATTCGTTTCCATGTGCATCTATCTTCAATCCACCCATTCTTCGAACAGGCGCCACATACTATAGTGTGCATTAGTGGTTGCGTGGTTGGTCAATCATGTTTCACTCAACAGGACATCCCTACCCGGGCGGTAGCCGTCACATTTGGTTTTCTTGCTACGACAGGGGGCGCACGCCAGGAGGGTCTTTTTCTGACGCTTTATAGCACGTGGAGTGTCCATTATTTCATCTCGCAGTGTCATTACCACCAGAAGTGCGATTTCTTTGGGACTGGGACTTGGTGGAGGAGTAGCTTTTGCGGGGCTTCGTTTCAAGAACCTTTAGGTTTAGGAACCGTCGGACTATAATTAGTCAGATAATCTGGTGGTACCTAGGTAGAGCGGTAGGACTCTCCATTGGCAAATCCCATTCGTGGGCATACTCCAATTTGGGTGGCTAATTCCCGGTTCACTGCGGTTTCTTTGTCTTCCTGGGGGCCCTAGGATCCTTTTGGCCTAGGGCCTTTAGGATGCGACCTATCTAATTGGCTCTGGCAAAAGAGGCACAAGAGTGTATGGCTAGGTACGTTATTATACTAAACTATAAGCGTATTCAAGATAATATAAAAATTCTTATCACATGGTGATCGGCAAGGGGGGCACCGTAGGACATATGAGTGGGGTATGAGATTATTGCTAATAGTACCCCAAAGGGTGCTGTTAGAGTGGCTAGTGACGTGCTGATCCAGTGGGAACTGCGTGTCTTTAGTTATTCGAGCAGAGTGGCTCTCATAAGTGCGTTATACGTGCCACACTATACAGAGTAGTTCCCATATGTGAAATGAATTACTCCTTTTGTCAAAAACCAAAAACCAACCTTGGAATAAACCGCCATATATTAGTCAGATATATGAGTCGCCATATTTAATCAGCCAGGGGCCATCCTAGGATTCAATTTTCAAGGTAACTAGGATCTATTAGAGGCTTTACTACACATAACCTGATGAGAAGGGGGCGTGAGACGCCATCAGGATACAAATTCAAGAGCAAGAGGGAAAGGGTTGTCAATCGTCTACAACAAGTTCATGGTCCGTATAAATATCCAGATGTTATTGATAGTACTACTTTATAGCTGTAAATATTTACGACTGCGTGGTGACACATTGCTTCACGAAATTGGAGGTGCATCGGGGAGCGCAGAGGGATCTAGAAACGCGCCGTTTGCTTTGAGACACTCTTGAACGTCTGAAACTGTCCAGTCATCCCCCTTGTCCGCGAGAAGACTAGCAGCCACCCCTGCGGCCTGCCCTGTTGCTAGGGCAGTACCCATGACCCTAATAGCACCTGAAGCATACTGATCACCGTCTACACATCTGCCAGCAACAAGTAAATTGTTGGTATCTGAGCTCTGGAGACAGCGCAATGGGATCTCGAAGCATCCACCGGGCGTATATCTGAATGTACTCGCCCAGTTCGGGTCTTTTTCGTCATGGAACTCAGACGCCCAAGCACCTAGACCGATAACATCTGGGAACTGGGCGCTGGTCATGATGTCGTTCTCCGTTAATTGGTACACTGCATTGACGTGACGACTTTCTCGAGTGCCGAAGTTGGGCCCAGTCGAGACGATATGCATATTCTCATGACCCGGAATTCCTCGCAGAATACTCAAGTACTGCTGTGCTTGTTTTCTTGCCGATATTTCGGCCTGGGTGATGCTTGCTGCTTCAGTCGGATCGTAGGAAGCAGTCGGTAGGAAGCAAACAAAATGCCCTGATTGAGGAAGTTGAATCAAGACAGAGTCGACCTTTTTTAGTGTCGCTCCCGGGCCGTTGGGGTCGTTCTTGGCATTGATGAGAGCCTGGCGCCAAATGGCTGCCGTTGGTTTTGTGCCCGCTGCCACTCCACCAAATCGAATGGCTAAAGACCCTAAATTGACATTGCCATGGTTTCCAAGCCGGGTTGATGCGCCTCCGTGGTAAGCCAGATCACCATCCCCCGAGCAGTCCACAAATGCACGGCCTTGCACTAGGTGGGCGCCTCTCCGGTCCTGTATCTCTATAGAGCTGATTGAGCTCCGTGTTGAGCGATGGGCCCCGACTACATTCGCATGGAGCAACACTTCGATGTTATGCTCGGTGATCAAATCGTCCAAGACCACTTTCAGACATTCAGGGTCAATGACCTGGAAAAAGTGATTAACATCGTTAGCATGAATCTTTGAAACCGTCCATCAACCGCTCACAGAATGCAAATCGTACCTGGAAGATTCCTCGATGGCGAACCGGGGTCTCAGCAGTACCCTGGATATCAAGAAGTCTCCGTCGCAGATCTGACCATATCTGCCCGATCGCAACCCGAGGGTGCTTCTCCAAAGTAAAGAGGCCACAATACGTGACTACTCCTCGATGTGTAGCCGCTCCTCCTAAACAAGCCTCGGACTCAACAAGTAAAATCCGTGCTCGAGGATTCGCTTGTCTCGCCCCAATTGCTGCACCAATGCCAGCGGCTCCTCCGCCGACAACTATAACATCGTAGATTGATGGGACTGACATTCTGGACAGGGTTTTGTTGACAGAGCCCGTTCTCGAGGTCTTGTAGGCAAGAGGAAAAGCCGGGACAGTCACCATTAGAACAATCCGCCGCGCACTTCCTGCGTTTTAAACCTCATACCCGGCCCGGTGTCGGGAAGTCATTTTGAATTGCTTGTCTTTCCCCAATTTTGGCATGCACTAGACTCTTTGGGCATGTCTTGGTTGGCTGAACCATCGCGCGGTGATCATCCAATCGCGATCAATCCCCGTCAACGCGATCCCGAAGATCCCTAAGAAATCCAACCGGGATCGATCCCGAGTACAAGTCTGGGGTAACTGGAATCTGCCCCACATTTTCCTGGCCCATTTTCTTTCATCGCTGGAGAAAGTCCATTCTGAGTAACTCAGTATCAAAAGTGTTGAGACTAGGTAACCCCCAGTCTATTTAAACGAGGAGAACCCGGGGTATGTGCGGGGGCGCCGTCTCCTCCATATAAATACCCGTACTCTACTTCTCATATGGTCATTGCCTAAAGACCATTTTACGTCTCAGTCGCAAAGATGAAGGATCAAATCTCATCGGAACATGTGGCTGAGGTTGAGACAGACTCTCCAATTAATACTGAGAAGGTTTCAGTCTTGAATGACGAGAATGTCGCGCTTGAGACTCGCATCCGGCACAAGTTTGACAGGCGCATTTTGGTGCTGGGAACCCTGATTTACCTCTTTGCTCAGATTGATCGATCAAATATGAGCAACGCCGTGGTTCTTGGTGAGTGAGATGAAAGAACTCTGCCCAAGCTGAACACAGCTGACAATGTCTCGCTTGCTGTAGGAATGGGGAATGACATTGGCCTTCGCGGAAATCAATTCAATATCAGTCTTACACTCTTTTTCCTTACTTACATTCTGTTTGAAATGTATGGGCTGCCCCAAATTTCCCATAGTGGCTTTTCAGTTCTGAGCCCGCTAATGAAATCTGGATAGACCCGCCAACATGGCATGCCACAGGCTCGCGGACCGCGGATCTGGCTAAGCACCATCACATTTGGATTCGGGTTGGTCACTCTCTGCACTGCATTTATCGAAAATTACCACGGCCTGGTGGTATGTCGTTTGCTGCTGGGTGTATGTGAGTCTGGGGTGCAGCCCGGCATTGTTTACGCATATTCTCAGTTCTACCGGCGCCATGAGATGGCTAGTCGTCTAGGGATCAAAGCCGCTGGTGCTTCAATTGCTGGAGCATTTGGTGGGCTCCTGGGCAGTGGTCTAGGCAGAATTCCTCAGCATGGGATCTTGAAAAGTTGGAGGTGGATTTTCCTAATTGAGGGACTCCTGACTCTAGTTCTCGCGGTTGTCGTTTTCGCGCTGATGCCTGGTGACGTGGAGACGTCAAAATTCCTCAATAACGACGAACGTGAAGTCGCTAGCAGGAGAATAGCTCAGGAAAATATGACGACAGGCGAAGAGAGGATGGATCTCGCTACATTCAAGAAAGCACTCTGGAATCCAAATACCCAGATGACTGGACTAGCGCTGATTATGTCACTTCTGTCCTTGACTTCGCTCTCGTTATTTATGGTAAGTTGCTTTATTGCCCGCGTAATAAAAGACCCGCTGTCTAACCGCAAACATTCTCTCCGACAGCCTACCTTACTCAAATCTGGCATGGGGTATAGCCCAACAAATGCCCAGCTTTTCTCAGTCCCTCCATATGTCGCCGCAGCGATCGCCTGCGTTATTGGCTCATTCCTAGCAGATCGGCTACACACCCGCGGATACATACTCCTGACTTTTACTCCCCTCACCATCACCGGATTCGTCATCCTAGCCACGGTCAAACAGGCCGGCGTGCGATACTTTGCCCTATTCATAGCCACCACTGGCGCATTTACCTGCTCCCCCATTTTCCTGGCATGGGTTAGCGGCAACTCTGCAGGTCCTGCTGTCCGCGCAATTGTCACTGCGTATGCCGTGGGAATCGCGAACGTCGGATCCATCATTGCCACATGGACTTACCTCCCTGGTGAAGCGCCTTATTATAGAATGGGACACTGGATAAATTGTGGAGCTGCATGTATTCTGTTTCTTGCGGTGGGATGCAATATGGTCTATCTTAAGATGGAAAACCGAATGAGGATGGCGGGTAAAAGGGATCATAGATTGGCAGGGGCGACTGAGGGGGAAATTGGCAGATTGGGGCATTATCATCCGGAGTTTCGATATACGCCGTAATTATTCACTCTTCTACTTGAATGATCACCCTCTCATGCCCTGGTGTGCTTTTTGATGAGCCCGATAAGATCTCAAAGATTATACCCACCGTGTCTCTTCATAATTCGCCCAATATTATAACGTCCCTTCTGTTGAATTACTACAATTATTGTAGATCATAAAGAATGTAAGAGTGAGACTCGCGCGCAGGCCCTCGGTTTGTATCATTCTATCCTGACTTATAGGCAACATTTTGCCATCTGGCTCTACCCTGTCGGACCAAGCTTTTTCCTGTAATGGGATATTGCTTTTCTCCAGTCAAGAACTTGGGTGAGTAGGGAATATGCATCTATTGGGGCGAAGAAACGGTATCCTGATTCTTAATCGACTTAGGTTTAAGACGACAACAAAAGGCTTCAATTATTAGAATTCAGAAATTGATTTAGTGACCTGAATAAACCGGGTTGTTGCAATGTTTTATTCAACAACCATCAATCCAATCCAAACACAGTAGAAAACTTCAAATTACATATACCGTGTTGAGCTATGAACAGCCCTCACCTAAATAGCTGTCGTGTTCGTAGGAAGTAAACACCAGGTCGAAGCTAAGGCTTTTCAAGCCCCTAGCAAATATCTGCTACTACATCAACTAAAAAACAAAACACACAGGCCATTGCAAGACAAGGACTGTGTGTAGAGTTTACAGCCATTGCTTGGGCTTTAAGATGAGTAATTGTGCTGAATTAGGGCACCGTGGCTCCTAGGAGTTGCCATTACTGCGCACTCTGTAATAATATAAAAACCTTCAGGTTCCCTCTAGTACCTTTATCTGCAGTGAAAATTTCTCGTGTCTTTTAAAAGACCCCTGCACCTCCCAGCCAGTCCATGCGATTGGGCATTTTTACAATGGCCCTTCACTCATCTCCGGCTCCACTGCCCTTCGATGGCCCTGCTCTGCTGCAATGCTTCTTTGGAGAATTTGATGATGTCAAGAGCCTGATAAAGGAGACAATGGCCACTCTGGCTGTTGATCCCATCATCCAGGCTCGATGTACTATATACATACCATATCCCGTCTCCGCCTTTCTCTGGCACCGATTTTTGACCACCGGGGCCTCTTATGAAGCTACAGACGTATGAAAGATTCCTCCTGATATAATTCATCTTTTTTGCTAACAGGACGTTTAAGGATAATTTTGGGTCGACTTATCGCAGACTTGCAGGCGAAAAGAGTGTCACAGTGAAGTGTCTCGATAAAGCCAAAATTGCTTTCTTCGCGACCCATGAGATGTGCCTGATCACCTACAAATCTTTATACTACCCTTTCAGTTCTACCACAAATACAAAGGACACTTTTGTCTGTGGTCCTTTGAGAGGGCGCTGGCAAGTTGATGAGCTTGAAGCCCTCAGAGACCGTGGATGGACTGTCCATTACTATGCCGCTGGTAAATTGCGGGATGATACTTCAAACTTGAAGCTGGAAGCGGAAAAGCTTTTTGGAAATGACTGTCATGACCGTCCCTTCCTTGAGAAATGTACTGTAATTGATTTCAACGCCGAGGTGGAAGACGAAGACACGCTGATATCTACGGACACAACGCTGAGTGTGCAAAATGACGCAAGAATTGAAGTAGATTTACTCGGACTTTGTTCTTAATGAAGAATTATGGCATCGTTATCTGAATCAAGAGTCATTCATGCGGGATCGCAAAATGCTAATAGATTTCGAAAAGCTCATTACCGTGCATATATCCCTTCTAGGCAAAGCATCTCTGGAGAACCGTAATCACATTCAAATTTTAAGAGGATTTATTGTTTCTATTGTCGAAGCTATATAGTATGCAGCTACAAACTGTAGCTGCGATAAATACGGTCTTATCGCCCGCAATATGGCTCGCGCTGGTGGGGTTCTTGAACCTCAAATGGATGCACCAGTGGTCACATCTGAGAAATCACCTGCCGAATCGTGTATCCCTGGAGTGGGGCGGGGACTGTTGCTGGTACTGGCGAAAGTAAGTTCAGTGAGACACAGCTGTATGGGAAGTAGTACCACACTGCACAGATCATAGTAACTCCATAGGCCATTCTAAACGAGAAATATAGCTTAGGCTGCCCTTACGCAGCTCAAAATTGGAAGTTTCAGGAGGGCACAAATTCATATTGGAAGTTGGAGGCGGTTCATGTATCAAAGGAAGGCATTACATTTTTGAGGGGTCTAAGTTTCAACGGGTAGGTACTATAGTAATCCATTTATGAATTTCACCAGCCCATGTAACTGTTTTATGTAGGTCACATAAACGTACGCATCAGATACAAACACTTTTTCTTTTTAAAAGTGTGAATATTGTTCTGAAACGGAAAACCGCCCCAACGTTAGTTTTGAACGATGTTTACGGGGACTGAACTGAGCGTTGATGGACGCACAATCGCACGTAGTTGAGGGATTGCTAATCCCATACAAGCAGTATACCTTTCTCAATCGGCCTTTTCTGGCCATGCTCTATCATTAGCAGCGGGATGAGCAGGGCTATAAAGAGACGTTGATTTCCTGACTTAGATAGTAGCGTCTTTACTAACACGACCAACAATGGAGGGTCCCAGCAAATTGCCTGAACTGGCAGACGGACATGGAGAGGTACCGTCGAGCGCACAAGCAAGTTCGGCCGAGAATACCTCGGTGTCTGGCTATGAAGTCTCGCAGCCGGTAAGATGGACATATGGCCATAGAGGACCCCGCTGACCAATCACACGCAGAATCACGACACCATGAGAAATAATCTGGCCGTGGAACCCTTCCAACCCGTACTTGAGATATTAAAACAGCTTGAAGAAGAAGACACCGAGCTTGCATTTCGGGTTGCACGCCTGGTGGGGTACTATCGGTGTGTGTGGGAGTCTTGCGTTTCCAAACACACAGATGGCAAGCAGCTTGAAGAAGAAAACGAAAAGCTGCGGACCGGAAATATTCAGCTATACAATGAAGGAAGCCACTTGAAGCTTCGCCAAGATGAGCAGGTAGCTCGCTTGCATTCCATTGAAAATGCATTGGATGAAGTTCGGGGAAACCTTATTGGTGTACTCAAAGTTTGGAACGATCGATCGGCCGGTGAATTGGCCATTTTGCCAGGAGATGGGTTTCCCAGACATTAGTCTTTGCTGTTGAACTCGAACACATCAAAGCCGTTTCGGAGCTGTATTACCACAATGTTGCAATTTCGGTGTGCGACGATAGCAAGCCTGTGATAGCCCACCAATGAAGCCCTTGACCCTATGTCCCTAGAATTCGTTGCCTACCGCGTGGGTTGAACAAGCCAAATGATCGCCGACTGGACTTCCAGCACTTCGTACCGCGTAAAACGATATGATCATCCAGACCATGAGGACGAGTAGTTGGAGCTGTAAAAGTTAGAAAGGGCAGCAAATAATGATATTTGCCCCAGAGAGGGTGAGGATTTACCTCCAGCGATAGCAGCCAACAGGACAGAACAACCCCCAAGACTGCAATTAGAAGAAGAACAGCTGTCACTCCAACTGTGCAATATAAAGCGCAACGCAGTTGCGCTCGAGTCCTGGTATGGGCCATTGAATACCCATCCAGCCACCACAAGAGAGAACCCAAGCCCAGGTGATCCAAAAAGAGAAGGAAGAGTACGACGACTCGCAGTGGGCGGTCAAAGTAAGTACCAACTACCGTGGCCGTAATCTTTGTCAAGCACGAGAAAAGCGCAAATAGCGGAAAACAGATCATCAACTGATATGGCGCACTAGGGAGGCTTCGCAGGAAAATGCTTATTCGGAGATACTGATGTTTGGTGGTTAACATAAAACCGAGAAACAACGTGATGGCACGTACCACGAGTAAAGAGGGAAATAAACTGGTTACCCCCAATATCACTTCTCTCCCTGTCTCACATTTTCTGCTCCAGCTCAGTCCCATGTGCACTGCCAGTAGAACAATCTTCGGCGTAAACATGGCAAGGTCGAGTTTCTGGTGTAATGAGGTTTTCTGAACTGCTCGAGACCACACGAGAAGGACAAAGCTAGCTAATAGCAACGCCGTGGCCAGCAGTGCATGTAATGTAGTTGGAATCTGCATGACTGTCTTGTGGTTAAGGTGCAAGAACAAAGGGACTTCAGCTGACTTTATGCCCGGATTGCCAGCTACGGTGCTTACTAGATTTGCTCTGTATTGTAGGTTCCAACGTCATGAAGCCAGCTATCTTGCGTTACCTAAAGAGAATGACTTAAGTTCAATAAGTCTGTTATGTACTCTCTATTCGTCGCTAGAAACCCCCAGACGACATCGTCTCTCCGGGACGCTGATACAAGCTCCTAGGAACCCAATAAATGTTCCCGGGAGCGCCATGGCTCAATAAGTCTGTTACGTGCTCTCTATTCGTCGCTAGAAATCCCCAGACGACATTGTCTCTCCCAGGAACCACCGAGTCCCTGGGAGCCTGATACAAGCTCCTAGGAACCGAATAAATGTTCCCAGGAACGCCACGGGTAATCCCAGGAGCCCCTGGGCCCCCGGGAACTTATAACTGGGTCCCAGGAGCGAAGGGCTGGTAAATGACTGCTTGGAATCTGTAAGACAGTCCTCCGTGTTCGAGTTCGGGAATGAACTATCCATGACGGGGCAATCTATAAAGCCACGACTACACCCCATCTACTGAACCATTATTACTCTACACTGCCATAACCAGTCGTGGAAAGCATATCTCTTATCGAATCAGCCGCTACCTTTGTTCCTTTCCGAAATAGAACTGACCACCAACACAATCATGGTATGATAGTCGTTACTTCCAAGAAGTTATACTTATTCACCAAGGCTTACGGAGACTAATAATGAGATGCAGTCTATTAAGTTACACGCCAATATCCTGGACTTGCCGACCGAGATTCTTTGGGTGATAGCCGACAATCTACGGGGACACGAAATTTCTGCTCTTGCTCGAAGCAGCCGAATACTCTATCCCAAGCTCCGGTTAGCCCTAATAAAATACAACGTCAGACATCAGAATAGCTCTGCGCTTCATTGGGCTGCGAAATCCAACAGTACCGACTTTGCAAAGACCTTGCTCTCCTACCGGGCCAACGTTAACGCATTGGTTGATGATTGCTCCCCGTTGATGACAGCCGTACGTTACGGGTCCAAGTCGACGGTGAAACTTTTTCTAAAAAATTCAAAAACAATCATCAACCTCAGGAATGCGGCTGGAAGAAGTACCCTGTGGTACAGCGTGGAAAAAGGGTCATATTCTATCGTGAAGAGGCTCCTCCAATGCCCTGATATCGAAATCGATCTTTTGGATCATGAGGGACAAACTGCGCTCTGGCTTGCCATCTTTCAAAAAAACGAAAAATTGGTGCGCTTGCTGCTCTCAAAAGGCGCTGATCCCTACACGAAGGATCGGGACGGTGTTTCGCCATGGATGGCAGCCTTTAACAGGGCACCCATGGTAGATGTGATCCTGGAACATTTTGAAACTTTGCGCCCCGAATCGAAGAGCAAGATCTGCAGTAGCATGCCAGAAACGATTCATGGTGCCGCAAGCAAAGGAGACTCTGGCGTGTTGCGAAAGCTGCTCCGCCGCGGAGGAGACGTTAATGCAGTGGACGGCCAAAGAAAAACAGCCTTGCATCTTGCAGCGAGTAATGGGCACCGAGAGGCTGCCGAGCTACTACTCAACCAAAAATCCATTGATCTGGCTGCGCTGGATCAAAGAAACGGCACGCCGCTCCACGCAGCTGCGATGGGTGGACATCTCGCAGTGGTAGATTTGTTGCTACGTCAAAATGCTCCCGTAAACTGCAAGGACAATTATGGAAATACCCCGCTGTGGTATTCGACTTCTAGTCATCGCGACGATGTCACAGAGAGACTTCTGACCGAAAATGACGTGGATATCAATACAGTCGGAGGAGGGGGAGATATGATGAGCCCTCTACTTCACTATACCATCTGGCAAGAAGAATGGACACAGTTGTTCTACGATGGTTCCTTGCAAGACCGACTCTGGACCCAAATATCTGCGTGGGCTGTCGATCACCTCTCCGCCTAGCTATAACGGAGGGTAACATTGCGGTTGTGAGATTGCTTCTTACTCACAAAGAGCTTGAAATCAATGCTCGACACACACATGAAGATTCCCCGCTCTGTTTAGCTACCGAAAGAGGCGATGTTAATGCGGTGAAAGTATTGGTGGAACAAGGTGGTCGATTGAAGATCAACCAGCTGAACAGCATTGATGAGGAGAGTGCACTTTGCGTGGCTGTCCGTAATCAAAGCTTAAATATTCTGGACATCTTGCTTCAGCATCCTGACATAAACCTCAATTTGACCAATCGTTGGGGCGAAACCGCGCTGGGGTTGGCAGTCAAAGCAGGAGACGTAAAAATAGTCAAAAGGCTGCTCCAGGACTCGAAACGTGTTTCAAACCTGGAAGTTCCAGCTCTCCTTGCTAAATCCCGCAAAAATGATGCTGTGGAGGAGCTCATTAAAGATGAGATAAAGCGGAAAAGACGGGACACCTGTTATCCAAGCCAAGATCGGCTGTTCACAAGACATGTGAGGTATGCCTACATCTAATAACCTTTATCAAATAAGAATACTCTCTGGCTGTCATTTATGTCTCATTCTTTAAAAAAAAAAAATCGAGATTCACTCCGGATCATTCTAGCATTTTGCTGGGTGAACAGGCTAGCGACGTGTATTAGGATATGCGGACGATCATTTTGTTGCGGCGACCGTTCTAGCACGGCGTTATGTAAAAGATAGGCAGAGCATTACTCTAAATGACCGCAACAAACAGACTGCAAAGGGATGGAGCTTATTACCTAAAACCACGAGAGAAAGCTCTTTCTGCCCTCAGGAAATTGACAATATGAAAACCAAAGCTTAGCCGCCTCTATATAGGTAATCGTCTATCCCTCTGAGTTGTTGACAACCAAACAGAATGCCCCCGATTGGGTCAGACTTGTATCGATGGGTTGCTGGCAACTCTCTCCCTAACTTGTATGCCATCAGCGCTGCAGCTGTCCTGTCAATATGGTTGATTTATTGGTTTGGACGAGGTGTGTGGCGCTGGGCGTGGGGGAGACGCCATGTGGGCTTTTGTCGCCCCTTCCAATTGAAAATGTTAGGCCCTTGGCGGCAGTTTGCCTACGTCTACCTGCCGAAGGGCATGAGCTGGCTGGACATCTCCCAGTACCGGCAAGCACTAGTGCTGGCTGTCATGCTTGCAGCAAATATTGTTGGCCTTCGGTTGCGAACCCATTCCTGGAGGGAAGCACAGAAAAGAGCTGGCTCTTTGGCTGTCATCAACCTCATCCCCTTATGCACCGGTGTGAGTTTTGGTTTTCCGGCAGATCTGCTGCACGTGGACCGTCACATGCTCGCGTGGTTCCATCGCTGGGTAGGTCGTATATGTGTGCTCCATTCTCTGTTGCACTGTTCGCTGCTCGTCAGCGTCGCCAGAACCACGACCCTTGCAAATCCACGGTACATTGTTCCAATAGCGGTACGTATTAATTTCTGCGGAGCTATATTTATGAGTTGCACAGGTGGCTACAGCTAACTCAATGTAGGCAGGATCTGCTCTCGTTCTCGTGATACCAGTGACTTGCGCGGCGGTCCAACGGCGTCACATGCAGTTTGCGATGAAATGCCACTATATTCTTGCGGTAACCGCGATCTGCGCGCTTATATACCACCTCGTGGAGCGACAGTCACTGTATCGGTGGTACTTGGTAGGCGCTATTTGCCTGTGGTTATCCATCAGCGCCGTTGTCTGCATGATGGCCGTATGGAACCAGAAGCCTTGGAAATCTTCCCGAAATGAGGTGATCATGAACTCTGTGAGCCAGTTCCTCTGGCTTGACATCACACTACCCCTCAACCGACCGATCCACCCTGGCCAGTACGTGCAGCTCTGGATGCCACGGGCCAGCTTCCGCGCTTGTTTTCAGCTTCCTCTTTTCTATGTTGCATTTTGGGAAGACGGACCGACGCAACGAACAGTCCGCATGGTAGCTGAGCCTCAACTTGGGCTTACGCGAAAGCTATACCACGATGCACTGGAATTCCCGAGTAGGCAGCCGGTTATCGTACTCGGACCCTACGGACACCCTCTCAATTTCTATCGGTTCGGTACAATCCTCTTCGTGGTGGAGGACATTGGGTTTTTTCGAGCGCTGTCGTACATTGAGATGCTAGTACAAGCCAGTCATAAGCGAGAAGTAATGGTGCGGAAGCTGGAGGTTCTCTGGAAGCGCCGAGTTGGCACAGATGGTATGTCCCTGCGTTTGGCCCGTGGTTCGGAGCCTAGGGATCGCCTTTGCTAACATAGTGCACGCAGGGTATCCAAAGTGGGTGAACAAATGGATAGAACAGCTATTCCATCTCGATCGGAAAGGGTTTTGTGTAAGTTGTCTGCGAGCACAACTCATCCTGGGCGACGTAATCTGACCAAGCTCCAGATTTTGCAATTCAGCATCTACTGCCCACGTACCCAATCAGGCCCCGAAGAAAATATTTCCTACCAAAAGGGTGAGCGGCTCTGGTACTTTTATGGCTCGATTAATATTGTAGAAGAAGTTGCGCGGCTTATCAATAACCAATGCGGAGCTGTGGCCGTGGCGGGTGAGTGTCACCGATTCCGATCTCATTTACTATTATAGGTTGGAAGCGGAAGGCCGTTATGGTGCTGACAAGCTCTTGTGCAGTGTGTGCGAGTCCCTCAATACGTGAGGCTGTCACGAAGACTGTTCAACCCCGCGCGGGAAGAAATCTCCAACTGATGATTTTCGATCCCGATACATTTCATGCACGGGGTGGAGACGAAGATTTGCCCGACAGCATCCAGTCTACAATTGGGGACCGCCAGGATCCACCACCAACAGTTACGGGAGAGGATAAGCAAATTGACCAAGTACGACGGTTTTGCGCGGACAGAAAGGGGCCACAATCGTCATTGTCCGAGGAAGTAAATACGCAAACCGGAAGTGTTCAGATGAGCAACCACTCGAAGTGGATTGTAAATAAATTGGCCTAGGGGTGCAGAAAGCCCACCGTCACAACTGCCGAATGACCAACTTCTAGCTTTATTTAGCGCGCAAAAATCCCCCCTGATCTCGAACTCAGTGCGCTTCACTTATGCGCATTAATGTTCGGATACGCTCCGCGTGCCTTCAATTAGAGTACTCCTACGGGCGGCGCAATGTTAGCTTGGTTGTTGGCTGGCTGACTTCGCGGAGCTCATTGGCAAACTCACCACCTAGTTGACCATTTCATCCGCTGGCAGTTTATATATCACAGGGAGCATCCCATGAGAAGCTTGGGGCCTGGCCTTGTTCGCCGCACATTTGGTTCGCCTTCGCGAGCAGATCCCTTCCGGAGGAAATGCTTCTGGATATTTTGAGTTGTTGTTATGATACAATGGTGATCGGCGACCGTGGCAAAGCTGGCACCGAAGAAAGCCAATCTGCGGCCTGATTTCTGGTAGGTCGTTGTCCGCGTTTCTTCCTGTTGGCCTATTGCGCACTATGTGAGTTGGTGGACGGTCCTTGCTTAGAGGCGACTTCAATGGACGAAAAGATCTCTTGGCCCTATTGCTCAGCATATCAGTATTATCCGAAAATGCACATGGATCATCAAACTCTGACACACTTGGCATGCGCCCACAACTTAGTACCAAAGAACCAGCTCATATTTGTGCGCGTGGGTACTGAAAATAGTTGAGTAGGCCGTAGGGATAAGAGATGCACAACGTTATTTTATCCCATTGAGGCATTTTTGATTTGGCCTTTTCAATAATTCAAATATCTGATCCTCAATAAGTCTATTTCCGTCAAGTCTAGAGAATATTGCTCGCTGAAATGACCTTGTGGCACCGAACATACATGGTCAAGGAACGGACTTAAACGTTTGACCATGATGTAAACATAAACATAAACAACCTCTGTTCTCTATAGTAGGTCGGTCGTTCAATAATCTTGGGCTCGGACCGGGATTACACCGCACTTTTTGAAAAATCGACTCAAAGCAATTTCGTGATCAGGCATCAATAAAAAACCCTTCACCGTTGACCCTCAGATTCTGACGTCCGAAAAAGTGGAGACGGTGCATATTTTTGAGGGAGTTTATGCTGTGCAGACCGACCGGTCATTCAATTATCAACGCGTTTGGGAACATCGAAGCCCAGGTAGACATTCTCGCAGTCGGTCTTACCATAATATCTCTTCTCTGGTCCTATCGCCAAGGCCTAGCGCATATCTATAATCGAGCGGGCCACATTAAATTGAGGAACACCGTAATGTGCACTACGTATGGTACTGGATCTTACATATCTTTCAGGAAGACATTTACTATGCTGCTACCTGTAGAATAACCTGCGATGCTTGCCAATCGGTTACAATCAGCGGCTCAATCAGTCCGATGTCCATATTTGAAGTCAACGCCAGGGGAGACTAGACCATATACAGAATAGTATAGGAATATTATTGATTCATATTTAATTACAAACCGTCCCACACATACGGTGGTGAATGAGATTCATCAGGTAACAACTCTGGTTGAGTTAGGAATAGCAAGTCTCCTGTATTGGACAGACTAATTCTTGAGGAATCAAGAAGTAGACGTCACCCGTGAACGGGTCTTTTGCCAAGATAAAAGGGTGTCTAACCCCAAGGTCCCAAAGACGCTGCTCTGATACCATATTTTAGAAGATGATCAAGAAGATTTATCTATATTTTTAAGCTCCTGATACGAATTAAAGAAATAATCATAGTCCACTTTGTGGTTTACCTGCTATATAGGTTGTCGGTTTCTTTTTTTACATGGAAATAGTCCAGCGTCACCCTTGACCATTCCACTTAATAAAGGAAATACATTAGTTTAAAGCCAGATCATAAACATGAGTTCATGGAATTCTCAGTATAGCTTGAAAGCAGCTTGAGGGTACGCACGCACTGAGAAAGAACCTTGCTTGATTTTAGAGTTGCCGGCTAGGGCAATCGGTAGATAAGAGATTCACCCAAACTAAGTGAGCTTTTTTTCTTGGTTAGACAATTTTTCTGCCGAGTTCCGTAATTCTGTGGTAATGTAATAGATGGGCAAGCAGTCATTGGAGGGAATTAGTGTTTCGTATTGTTGAAGACAAAGCAGATCGTCCCCTAGCCGCACAATTATCATTCTTTTACGGGCCTAGATGCTCGTCCTATATGTGAACTTACTTTCTTTGACTCGGTGGCCCCCAATGAGCATTAAAATTATATACATCCCCCTTGACACAAAACCAAAGACAAAGACCATAGGAATAACTGTCACGTCGCCATGACCAGAGGCTCCGTCACAGTCGAGTGAAAATCACTAGCATTACTGAACACATAAATCAAATTCTCCTTTCCATACAGTAGCAGGCTGCTATCTGTCATATGGATTGATCTTTCTGAATGGGCTATCTAGTTCTGCTAGGTAGGTACCTAATTATGATCTCATTTACTACCATGTAGATATGGACACCGTTGAACAGCGTTCGTTTATTTCCAAGCCATGCCTAACCGCATCGTTTGGCGTCCAAGTGGCGCCAATAAGAGCAATGCTGTGTACTTGCTGAACGGTCCTTCATACAGTAAGCCTTCGAGGTAAATATGATCCAACAGACCTTGTGGCTTGAGGTTGCATCGGCTGCCTATGCACGAATATCTTCCTCGGAAACGACAGTCCCGAAACCATCCGCCAGCTCACTCAACACAACAGACACCAGATTCTCGGCCTTGACACCAGGGATATCCCTGTCACCAACTGCATCCCTCACGACGAGCACATCATATCCAAGCTCAGCAGCCGCTCGGGTAGTGGTGGAGACACAGACATGCGCCATATAGCCAACCAACACGACTTTCTTTCCTACATCGCCTAGACCTTGCAGATAGGCATGCAGATCGGTCTTTGCGAACGAGCTAGGAAAGTTCTTGGTGACCACTTTCTCGTCATCTTTAGGGGTGAGTTCCTCAAACTCTTGCGCTAAGGGGGTGTTTGGCGTGAAGACGGGTGCGCCTTCGGGCACCTCATGGACGACGTGCACGATGTTTTTGCCGTTACCGGCTTGACGGTAACGTTCCAGTAGTTTGGCAATGGATTTGCGGGTTTCTGTAACGTTTTCGGTCTTGAGAGCGCCTGTGACGTATTCGTTCTGGGCGTCGATAATGATGAGGGTTGAGTCCTGCGGGGAAGCTGAGGAGCGGGGAATCCCGACGATCTTACGGAAGGATTGAGCGGTAGAAGACATTGTAGAGTAGAGAGATTTTTGGAAAATGAAAGCTTGGATTGCGTTGCAGTAGATACTTTCGATATTAAAAAGAAGAGTGAGTTTTATATGTGTTTATATGGAGGTACGTTGTATTTAAGTACGCTTTGCTTAGAAATCCCATAGGTTTTGTGGGGGACAAATAATCATGGACCGGGTCGGCCATCCCACCTGGACAGGCTGGGGCGATCACTTCACGGCCATCCCACCTGGGCATGGATCTAAGGGTCAATGTCAAAATACGCAACTTCCTAACCGGTGGTTGTGGACCTCGGGGTTTCGAAGGTGCGGGTCCAATGCGGCTACATCAGAAAAATATTACAAAGGTATTTGTCAAACTCAAATGGCATAGAAGTCTCTTAAAATGACTGGTTCTGAATTGAAAATTTGTACGGCCGATTAGAGAGCAAAAATATATATGTAGTACATAGGTTTCCGGTAAAAGACCGGGTAACCAATGTAACATTCCTGTTTCTTCACATTTATCAAGACTTTGTCATTCTAATATGAAAGAAAACAGTAAGAGAATATGTTCGATTGTTGCCTTTATAGCCTGCATTTTTATTTGTGGCTAATAAGCCGCATCTTCTATAATAGTTTCTGCTATATCCAATCAAAGCGAACTCGTGCGTCATGTAGAAGAGCAGATGCTTGAGATATCCAGTTTTTCGCATCTCCATTATCCCGTCCGACTGCGGATGAATCGGACTTGTTTAACAACTCGGACTCCCCGCCCAATGGAGCATTCCACAGCTCATCACTGTCTGGCATGCAAAAGGACAAGTCGGCCAGGGTCAGAAGATCATTTCTGCCACCATTGGAACATTCTCCGCTCAAGCCAAAGGAAGTGGGAGTGGACAATCGGCACACCTTATAGAGGGCTAGTCCAAATCTCTTGATCTCTTCAACGCTCACATATACAAGCGCGAGTGGTGCATCGGCATCGTGTTGCAGAAGCATGTTAGGGTAGTATAAAATACCCCACCGTCGACAGCTTTGAACAAGCGCAGCCAAGAGGTCGTATTTGTCGTCTGGTAATCGGCATCGCATGCTCAAATCTGTACTAGCATTCTCTCTTGCAATGAAAAGAGAAAGGATGATATTCAAGAGCACGCTTTGAAATGATGTTATAGGCCACGAGGTATTTGTGTGTTGGCGTGGACTCGAGTTGGAGATGCACCATTGGTCCTAGAGCAAAAGGATGATATCAACACACAATTCTATATGCAGTTAATGTTATAATGCTTCTTCTTCTCACCATTTGAGCGTAAAATGCGGAACATAGTTTATTATGTAGACGTATTGATGCGTCTCGTGCCTCCTGAGTCCCTTTCACCCAAAGTCCGATTGCGACAACGGATTGAACAAGTACACAAGGTTCCTTGGCGAAGTCAAATGTACTTCGATGGAGAAACGGCCATCTTGGATGGAAAGTATTAAAGTAAATATCAATATAGTCATGAGCAATCCACCGGGGAGCGTCAGAAACAGAATCATTAATCGTGGAAACAGGCGGCAAAGGGCAGAGATCATCGATCGAAAATTGTTGTTCGCTTATGGTTTCACCCCCACTAGGCACACAGAAGACGCCGCGATGTTGACAGGCATGGCATGGTAATACACCTTCACAACGGACTTTCCGTGCATGACATGTACTACATGCCCTAAATTTTCGAGACGGCGGCGGTTCTCTCTGCGGATGGTAAGTCCGGATATGGCGTCGCAACAGGTCACTGATTACTCTCTGAGTTGAAAGCCTTCCCACGGGATCGAAGAAACTACTTACTTCCTGGTCAGGACGCTCTCACAATAAGGACAGGCAAGATTGATTTCCTTATCATGATGGTTACGATGTCGATTCAGGTGCTCTTTACGCCGATATTTGGCATTGCAATCTGGATAGTCACATTGGAACCTCAAGGGGACAATATCGGCAGGAGGTGGCATTATGCAGAATTTTTGCAAACCTTTAGATTTCAAAACTTTGTGAAATGGCAAAAGTGAAGGAGGCAAAAAGGGAGAAGAGAAGGTAATGACTGGGAGCTCCGGTGGGGCCCCGAGGAAAGCCACCAATGAAGTTCCACCGGTCATCCCACTTGATGAATATCTCCACAGGTGGCACTAACTAAATAAATATCCGTGGATAAACCGGCAAGTGGGATAGGCCGACTATCCAAGTGTATATATATAAATGTGCAAACCTTCGAAATGGAGTTACTCCTTTTACTACCTCCACTACATTGGAAAGATATCTTGGCGGTTCAGTGGATCTCAATTGGATTGCACCACAATGCCCAACCTCTATCACCCTGGAACATTGCGCAACGGCCCTGAACAAACCGACAGCCTCGATGTCGGTACCGAAACCTACTTCGCCTCACATCTCGAGCCAGCAATTTCCAAATTAGCCAGCATACATGTACCTCCGGAATTCGAAGTTTACTGGGACTCTGACGACCCCGAAAATCCGCGCCTGTGGCCGCTTTGGTACAAAGGCCTCACTGTCGCTGCTATGAGTCTTGGTGCTACAGTTGTCAGTCTCTCCAGCACATTGTACACATCTGGTATTCCAGGACTACAAGAAGATTTTGGCGTTTCGAAGATCATGGCTCTCCTTGGTGTCACCACTTACCTTCTTGGAATGGGGATAGGCAGCATCATTTTTGCTCCACTTAGCGAGCTTGTGGGACGGCGGCCAGTCTATATTGTCTCAATGATAATATTTTTGCTTTTATTGTTGCCGAGTGCTTTAGCTCAAAACATTGCTTCAATCCTCGTGAGCAGATTCTTTGGAGGTTTCTTTGGAAGTGCATTGATGTCGAACTCGCCCGCATCTGTGAATGATATCGTCTCGGATAAGCACCGTGCTTTAGCATTCGGCTTCTGGTCTATTGGCCCCACCAACGGCCCTGTATATGGCCCGATCATAGGCGGGTTTGTGTTCCAATATCTTGGCTGGAGGTGGACAAATTGGATTGTTCTCATCATTGGGGGTGTGGTCCTGGTCCTGGTAGCCTCTGTCAAGGAAACATATGCGCCCGTGATCTTGAAAAGACGCGCTGCGAGAAAACGAAAGGAGACACAGAACCCAAAATGGTGGACACGCTATGATGATGGCGTCAGTTTTGTATCTTCACTAAGAATCAATCTCAAGAGACCTTTCGTGATGCTCTTAAGAGAGCCGATATGGTAAGCCGTTCCCCTATTATCCTACAAAGCCAAGTCTAACATTCTCGCAGTATGTTTTGGGACGGCTACGTTGCGATTGTTTATGGCGTCCTCTACCTATGTTTCGTCGCGTATCCAATCGCTTTCCAACAAGAACGCGGGTGGTCGCCCGGTATTGGTGGTCTTTCGTTCGTCGGTATAGGTGTTGGTGTCTTTATTGCCATTGCATGCGAACCTCTATTTCGTAAGGTGATCAATCTTCACCGCAAGGATCCAGAAACCGGCATGGTACAACCAGAGGCTATGGTCAGCATCGTCTTCTTCGGTGCTACCCTTCTAGCCATTGGTCAGCTGTGGTTCTCCTGGACTTGTACCCCAAACGTTCACTGGATCGTCCCCATTCTAGCTGGTGTTCCCTTTGGAGTGGGCAATGCATGCGTCTTCATTTACGCCTCAAACTACATTGCCCGGTCATATGGAATTTATGCTGCATCCGCGCTCGCAGGAAATATGCTCACTCGCAGTATAATGGGAGCATTCCTCCCGCTTGCAGGTCCATCAATGTATAAGGCTCTGGGCTTGAACTGGGCAAGTACAATCCTAGGAATTGTGGAGGCAGTGTGTATCTTGATACCTATTGTCTTCTATTTTTACGGGCACAGGATTCGGAAGGCGAGTCCCTTTATCAAAGAGATAGACAAGATGCAGGTAGCTTGAGAAACCTCCCCTTAGCAAAATATAATACATCCTTTTTCTTTGTCGAAAGAACAAATTGATGCCTATACAACGACATTCCAAAATATATATATAAATATGTGGACTTGTGGCAATCCTATAGAATAATTTGTCGTGACCAAAGACCAAGGTACATCTGGAAATATAAATTTAAGAGTAGGTTACTGTTTTGCAACGTAGTTGCAGCATGATACCCATAATAGAATAAATTTAGTCGGAATACGCTTAATAGTACAGCGGATCGCTGTTGTTATAAAGATCATATGCCCTTAACCGTATCTTCTAGCACGAAAATATCGGAATTTAACATAAGGAATCATTTTCGGTGTTCCCCCTATTGAGCTTGGATTATCCCCACGACGTTAACCCCGAAACGGTTAGATTCCCCGCCAAGCTTTTTGTGTGCAACCCTGGAAGTGGCGATTGCCGAATTGCTGAATAAATATCCAGCAGGTATTATAAATTTCTGTGATATTTTGTGGCAAAATGGAACTTTATGTGTCGAGGTGGGATAAGCCGAACTTACATCATCAATAGAATGAAACGGAATTTCTAATATCTTACAAAATGGCAACATATTTAAACCTCTGATTCTCTTAAATAGAGTATCTCAATATTCCATTTCATTGATCAGATCCGCAGCATCAAAAACTCCCATTCTCGACTTCCGCCCTTACCGCAGCCATGGCAGCAACATCCAAACCCACCCTTACAATCACACACATCACCACTGCAACTGCCATTCTCAACATTGATGGGGTCAACTTCCTGACTGATCCCTTCTTTGGGGCCATCGAAGGGACAGAATATGATTCAACCGCAGTCTGGGAACAAGTGGACCTGAAACTGTTCGGTTTCGACAGGATTCCGCCGCCACCGCACCTTGTCAACAAGCAAGGTCCAGCACTTCAGCTCAATGAGCTGCCGCCTATTGATGCTGTACTTCTCAGTCATGAGGATCACCTCGACAATTTGGACCCAGAAGGTCGTAAGCTGCTGGATGGTCGAAAGGTGTTTACCACTATGGATGGTGCCAATAACCTGCGTCCACGCCCGGGAGTCGTTGGCCTTCGCCCCTGGGAGACTGTGACGTCTTGCATTGGAGGAAAAATGTACCGAATCACCGGTACGCCTTGTAAGCACTTCCCAATTGGAGAAGTTACGGGCTTCATCCTAGAGACCGATTCCTTTGGTGTTGATCCGTCTGGCAAGCCCAATGCAATCTATTTCTCTGGAGACACCGTCTATATTGATGAGCTACGGGAAATTGGAAAGAATTGGCACATTACTGCAGCCATCTTCAACTTGGGCAATGCCACCTTTGAGTTCCCAACCGGCCCTATTCAGATTACAATGGACGGTAAGCAAGCTGTTCAGCTTGCTCGTGATATCGGTGCCGATGTCATGGTCCCAATTCATTTTGAATCGTGGGAACATTTCAAGGAGGGCCGGGAGGAGTTGCTGGAGGTTTTCACCCAGGAGGGATTTTTGGACAAAGTGTGCTGGACAGTTCCTGGGGTTCCCAAGGTTGTTTTCTGATTGCGAATCTTTCGATATTGTTGCCCTATGGCCATCTTTTTACTTCATGTTTTAGTTTATCTTGTCTGTTTTCCTCTTATGTCGTCAGGCAGATCGTTCTACTCATAAGTTGATTTAGACAGTCCTCAGATTCAAAAGCGAAGATTTTACGTTCACCAATCCAATTTGTATTTACCCAAGAGGAGCGTATCATGAGAAGGAAAAATAGTCTTCTCCGTAGATCTGGGATTTATATCGTACTTGAAAGGTTTAGTATCTTGGAGACCTCTTGACGAAGAGTCATGCCGACTCTGGTAATTGATAGTGCCGGAGGACTCACTAGGCAATTATGAACGAGCATCGACTATGCCTTTGACGCACTGAAATCCTATAGTTTTCGGGTAAAGGTTAAACGGAATTAGTGCCACAGGCGATAGCGTAGCCTCAGCCTCTTCTCATTCTGTTTCCCGTGTAAGGTTTGGCTACAATTCATGAAATCAAAACCATGGAAGAAGCGCTTCAGCCCTTACCAGCAGGAAATATCCAATAACCGCCAAAGATTAACGAGGAAGAATAAGTACGTATTAGACAGAGTTTCCAAGCTGGAAACCACAGTTTTAGAGCCGGATGAAATCTCAAAGTCTCGTGAGAAACTCTCCAACAAATGTATCAACGTCATACATATACATAGAGAAAAGCATCCACCAAGGACAAGATATCTTTCAATCTCCAAGTTAGATCTTCAGCCGTAGTACAGAAAAGGGCCTGATTCAACAGCTAAAATGCCGAGCCACGGCACGTTTCAATTTCACCCTTTGCTTGAAGTTTTGAAATGCAACATGATCAAGCCAAGAATGGTCTTGTACATTCTCTTCAGTAACGAACGGCGCCCGAGTTGAATATATCCGTGCGCTTCTTGCGGGAGTTTCACCAATAGATATGTCGAAGTCATACAAATAGAGTAAACTATCCATTGCGGGCAAAATCTCTCTCCATGTGCCAGACTCGATCTTCACGTGTCGAAACTCGATATACTGCAACGATTCGTTACATTGCTCAATAATATTGATGAGATTTCGAGATGAGATTTTCACTTTGCGCAAGGACAAGCACCGCAGGCGAACCGTTGAGCCGAGCTTCAGACGATCAATGCTTAAGTAGTTTGTGCTACTAAGCGAAAGAGAAGTCAGGTTTGTTGAAAGTTCCACGATTCTCAACAAGTAGGCCACGTAGGACTGCTGGTTTGTTTGCGCATAGACATGCAAGCCAATATGGTGAAGGCGATTGAGAGTCTGCTCAATCGGTATTCGCAATGCGCTGATATTCTCGGCAAATAATGGAGCAAAGTCATTCGTCATTGGTAATTGAAGTTCAAGTTCAGTCAAGTTGGGCAGAGGCACGTAGCATAACGACATGAGCATCGAGTCAATTGATGCTTTTATCTTATCATGGGGCAAGCATGCCAATGGCGGACCACGGAAGTCAAGAGCTTTGAGATTGGGAAACTGGCGCAAGCATGGCGACAGCAAGGCGGCAAAGTCTTCCGTGTATAATATAACCTCCTGCATCGAACATGGGAAGGAACAGTATCCAATGTCGACTTGGCGCACATATTGCGCATATGGGCTGTTGGAAAGGTTCAACAGCCTTCCCAAAGATGGCAACTGCGTATTGTGGTACGATGAATGGGCAACAGCTATGATGTGTCGGAAAAGACGAGCCGAGGCACTACGACAAAGGCTTCTATTTACAAAGCGGAGATTGGCCAAATCCGTCCGGTTGCTGTCATTCATTATTCGAAATGGGCGAACAGTCGATGTCATTGAAGAAGATTGCGAAGTGTTGATCTCGACATAAAATGTAATCTGCCAAAAGATTAGTATTGGCGCAGGGCTGGACTGGTACAAATCATACAAGGTCAATTATTTCTGTTGGAAGATACATATCGATCAATGGGTAAACATCGTCGGCCAGGAAATACTCTGGTAAAATATTGACTCTGGATTCAACTGCTGCGGTGAGCCCCCGCGGTCTTATCACTCCCAAATTCGGAAGAGAAAAGGGAACCCAGCTAACCGACAGAAAATACGATTGGCAATCCTCTTCATTCTGCCAGCGGGTCCTACCTTCGGCGAAGAAGAGCTTGATCGGAGTTGATCAAAGACAAAGCATTATCCGGACGTTCCGTTCCACTTATCGAGTCTTGGCGGGTAATCTAACCATTCTGGGACAAGGCGGGGACTGGCGAGCACCACTCAGAGACCTTGGAAACTTCGAAAGCTTAAATAATCACCAATTGCGTCGGTATCCCGCCCGAAGTAATGTAGTGGCGTGCATCCTGGGGTGTTCTTCTCTTAGAAATCACTTGGGGATGATGATTTTATCATATGTGGCTGATGAAATCATTGACCAATCTTCTTAGATATCTTAGAGATATAAAGTGACCCCCATCTTCGCAACTATTACTCTTCTGACACTAGGATTACAACTAACCTGCTAACCTCGCTACTTCTAATATGCGGTCAGTCTCTTGAACACAATTAGTAATATTATCTGTCCTCTAACATCCAATTAGGGATCAATCCGATCACACCGTCAAAGCTGAGCAAGAGGCCTATTACGACCTTGGGTCGTATCGTCGACCAGTGACCACCTCGTCAGCAGAAGCCCAGTTATGGTTCGATCGGGGACTGATATGGGCTTATTCTTTCAACCATAGCGAGGCAGTTCGGTGCTTCGAACGAGCTGCCGAAAGTGATCCCAATTGCGCTATGGCGATATGGGGAATTGCTTATGCCACTGGGCCCAACTACAACAAAGCATGGAGATATTTTGATCCAGAAGATCGTCAGACTTCTATCAGGAAGGCGAACGATATCCTTGCCCAAGCGTCCAAACTAGCGAGCCAGGCCACGCCAGTCGAACAAGCGTTGATCGGGGCAATTGGCACTCGCTTCCCACCAATTGATGACATCCCCGAGGATCTTGGCCCCTTCGACCGCGCGTATGCAAACGCAATGCGCTCTGTGTATCACAATTTCAGCAATGATGTGGATGTGGCTGTGCTGTTCGCGGAAGCACTGATATGTATCACTCCGCGCGGGCTGTGGGACTTGAACACCGGTAAACCAACCGGGGATCACACAGTCGAGGCTCGTGAAGTGATTGAGCTGCAACTGAAGCAACCTAGTGGCCGCAATCATCCAGCGATCTGCCACTTGCACATACACGTTATGGAGATGTCGCCATTTCCTGAATTGGCTCTACCGGCTGCGGATCGACTACGTGGCCTGGTTCCGCACGCTTCGCATCTGTTACATATGCCGACGCATATTGATGCTGCCGTTGGAGACTATCGCCATGGTGTTGATTCCAACCACGAAGCTATCCTTGCGGACGACGTCTATTTTGCTCGAGAGACGGGTACAGTACAGTACACAGCCTACCGGGTGCATTACATTTGTGCAAAATTGTATTCCGCTATGATGGCTGGCCGATTCACAGACGCGATGTCCGCTGCAGAAAAACTCGAGCAGGTCATTGATGCGAATCTCCTGTCTGTCAAAAGCCCCCCAGTGGCAGACTTTATCGAGAGCTTTCTGCCAAGTAAGGCGCACGTGTTGGTGCGCTTTGGTCGCTGGGTGGAGATTCTTGATCTCAAGCTTCCCGCCGATCGCGATACATACTGTGTAACTACAGCCACCATCCATTACACCCGTGGGCTTGCGTTTAGCGCACTTGGGCGGATTGCAGAAGCCGAAGCCGCTCAAAAGGAGTTCGAAACGGCGCGTAAGGCCGTTCCTAGTTCCCGACTCAACAGTATTCCATGCAGGGAGGAAGATGTTCTCGCAGTGGCCACTTTTATGCTTGCTGGTGAATTAGAATATCGAAAGGGAAATATCGAGACGGGCTTCAATTACCTTCGGGAAGCCATTGTGCTCGAGGATGAACTCGCGTACTCTGATCCTCCTCCCTGGATGCAGCCAGTTCGCCATGCGCTCGGTGGCTTGCTCCTTGAGCAAGGACGTGTTGAAGAAGCAGAAACGCTGTTCAAGGAGGATCTTGGCTTTGCTATAGACTATCCTCGGCGTAAGGCAAAGCTCAACAATGTTTGGGGGTTGCATGGCTTATACGAATGCTTCACTCGCCTTGGAAAAGTCCAAGAGGCTGCTTTCATTCAACCTGCACGGGACATTGCTGTGGCATCTGCTGACATTCCAGTGAACGTTTCGTGCTTCTGCCGAACGTCCACGGTAGCAAAGGATGAAGGTGGATGTTGCTCATGATTAACGTGATTAACCAATTTTCAGTGGTCTGAGGGACAGTGTTTGCCTTGTTTGTGAGTCTTCATCTAGCTATATTGGCTAGTTTCTTCTTCTTTCTCTCTTCCCCTGTTCCATAGCAGTCAGACCCTGATACATTCGGGCAATGTGTTACAAGAGGTCGAGCCGTTTTTTAGAACGACAATAAAATATGGCTTACAATGCTAGGACTTAAGCCCTCATCAAATGACCTTCGAGTGCTTTGGTTGTATATTAGTACATTATATCTTACAAAAATCGCAACAGTCAGTGATTCGCGTCGACACTGCAACGGCATGCAAAATAAGCAGATAGACTGCCAACCAACTACTTTAATATAAAGGTCTGCCTCCATTGTCCTTTTCCAATGAATTATTTTGGGGTCTATCAACCAAGTGAAGTAGGTGCACCTTAAATATTCCGCTAGAATAGGACAGAAGGGCCGGTAGAAACCTACAGGGCGGGAGCAAGCCCTCGGAGCCACCAACCAGTCACTTAAGGGAGAAATTGTTCCAAGGTGTTCCTGAAATCATCGAAGAGGAGGTGGAGGATCTCAAGAAGATGCTTGCCTTCCAACAACTACTTCTGGATGGATGATGCAAAAAGACAGCGAGTTTAAGAAAGCTAGTTTCTTCTCAACCCGATCTCCTCTAAATAACATATGCCACTGTTTTTCAGGCTATTTTGGTTCGCTGTTCCCAGAAATCTAACAATTTAGATTATCGGTAAGACATGGTGAACAAGAAATAATTTATACTCAAAAATGGGATTCTCATTGTTAGCACTTCTGGCAGATATAATTAGTTCCTAAAAGAAGGCTTTCCTTGAAAATGGCGTCTGCTATTTACACATGCTATATTCAAGATACAGTTAGACTGAAATCAAGCTCCCATCCATACACTTTATTGACCAATATCTGTACATTCAACAGACTGAGAGAGTTCGATATTCACATTTGATCCGCATCATTCGCATAAGAATACGATATATAAACTTGAAATAGTCCAACCACGCAATTCCCGTATATGTGACGGTAATATATCTTACACCTCGTCGAATCCACCACATTGCACACCTAGTCGCCCAGTCTGCAGAGAGTACAGCATTTCTCATAGATGAGAGAAACGAGGGTAGAACGATATGGCGGTAGATTATATCAGGGTCATCAAAAAAGGAACGAACCTGTGGCAGGAACGTCCTTCTTTTGAACGGAGAGTCACGTTGTAGTCGTGCATTTCTCCAGGGTATATGGAACTCAATGTGGACAAAAGGTGGTTTCTTGTAAACCACACGAGGCTGTTAGGAATCACAAAACTGGAAAAGAGATACCCTAGCGTGCTTCCAACGACTTGGAGTGCTAGTTCAAGCGGCAAGGCTTGAAATCGATTCTGCTGAAGATATCTTTTGTCAAAATTTATGTGCCGTGTGAAGTAGAGGTGGTGGAAATAGTGCGCACGTGCTAGGCGTTGAAAAAGAGGGTGAGACGATTTGGTGCAACGGTGGAGCATATAGTGAACGACATCGAAAAACACAGAACCTGTGCAAAGCAGGTACAATAAAGACAGTAAAGATGTAGTAATATCATGCCTCAAAATATGGAGGTAATAAACTACCAAATCGGCAATTCCATCAATAGAGTGCACGCCGACTGGGTTGCTCATCTCTGAGGTAATATTTTGAATGAACATATAAAGAAGAAAGAGGATTACTAGGCAGTATTTGTAGGTTCAAGCGATGCAACATTGCCCTTTATATCTTTAGAGCACACGGTTCGTCTCTATATGAGCATGCCCATTTGGCCATTACGACGTATACGGTGGATTTCTGTAACATCTTTTATCTATAAATAATCCGCAAGATGGCGACAACCCACGTATGGTTCGATACCATTCGCTATGTGTTGAACTCAACCAATTCTGATGTTCAAAGCAGACTGCCTGCATTGTAGTCTACACTCACTCAAAAAAATGTGCCCCACGTAGGCTGGGGAAAGTTCGGACAAATATAAAATAGGCAGCGACTTATTGTTCCAGCATTGCGATGACAGTACTATCAAAGGCCACTACAAGACTAATATTCATTTCCACGGCCGGGGACAAGTAGGCGAAATGGACATATCGGGAACAAATTCTGGCAAGGGATGAAAGATCCTCCTTAATGGAAATTCCTAATAGGATGAGCATTATTGGAAATGGAGCCTAGCCAATTGAGCAGGGCGTGCCGCTCAGCCCCCCGGCGTCTCCGTATGCTTCAGCAATCTTTCCAAAATAATCAGTTAATTGATGTCCCGTCATCGTCAAACTTACGGCATCTCATCTCCAGATAAACCACCATAGTAGCCTTCTTAGAAAAGAGAATAAGAAAGCTCGCTGCTCTCTCGTTGTCTTCGCTGTCTATCTAGTATCGACTCAGCTATCCAAACAATTTTCCCCTCGCCGAACGGTTGTCCGGGCCTACAATGATAATCAACGGATGCACCACTAATGCCATCAAACCTCTCGGTAACTCCTCCTATATACACGACTCCGGAATACAGAAGGTCCACCAAAATAAACTGCCATACGAGTTATAGAAGACTATACTCGAGCCCTAAAACTACTACTATCAAACTCTAGACTGGCGATGACTCCTTGAACTCACTCAGTCCAATTATGCCAAGCTACTACCGACATATACTCACAATATCCAACCTGCCGACGTTACTAGATTATTTATTGTCTCAGCAATCATTTATTTATAGCCAAGTGTAGGTCTTTGTACCTCTGGTAGGTGCTAAAACCAACTAAATTAACTCATCACCCAGTAGAACCGAAAAGCTTGAAATTTCTACCTTGCAGAGTTCTATTAGCCCGTGCCCGACGCACGAGAAGGAGACATGATAACACTTCCCGATTTTGTACCTAATAAATATTTTTAAAGCCTATTGCGTCGTTGTTAGTTTGGAAGTAAGAAGGTATAACTAATATTACAAATTAGGCAGGTTGTAGTTGGAAGGATTGACTATTAGAGGCATGTCATTCACATTTCGTTAGCACCCCTGATTATTTTGGGAAATGATTTACAAGAGGAACCGCTCTAGCGCTCTTTGCGCGGTATTTTATCCTAGAACGGCTAGATTCCCCGCCAAGCCTTTTTATTTGCAAAATCGAGATATGCGCTACTCCGTACTCTGCCGTTAAACGTACTCGATATCCGACGCTTCCCGCCAAGTGTACTACTAGTAGTACTTAACGGTGTAACAAATGCCTTGAATATATATAAGACGAGCAAGCATATGATCATTCATCAAGACACTGTTCTTTTTAGTTTATTAGAACTCGCATCCTGTTTGTGCTTGCAATGGCGCCTATTCACCTCGGTATTTTGGTCTATGACTACCAGGCGATTGATGTTGTCGGCCCAGTCGATCTCCTTCACTCCGCCAATTCTGCGTTCTTGGAAGTGTCCAAAATGTTTGGCCCCATCAATGACGATGCCATCTCTCAGGCGCCAGACTTTGTTTTTCATCATGTTGGCATCACGAAAGAGCCCTTCCACCTATTCACTAGTGCCATTACCCTCACCCCAACTACCACGGTGGATGAGTGTCCCGAGCTCGATATTATCTTGCTAGGGGGTCCGAATCCCGAAGGCTTCAAACTGCACCCAAAATATGTTGATTTCATCCGTCAACATATCAATGCAGGAAAGTTGCTTTTCACGACTTGCACTGGCTCAGCTGTACTTGCATCTACGGGGCTTCTAGATGGAAAGAACGCAACTATCAACCATGCCGGGTATAAATGGGCGACAGAGAATTATCCTGCCGTCAACTGGACTAAGGAAAAGAAATGGGTTGTCGACGAGAATATCTGGACTGGAGCTGGTGCTGTTGCGGGAATGGACATGGTTGCCTGTTGGCTCAAGGAGCAATTCGGACCGGAGATTCTTATATGTGCTGCCCGGAATCTGGACTACGAGCCTCGAGGCATCGATGGTGTCTCACTTGTGATTCCTAGGAGATACGACGAGAGCGGAAAGCAGATCAGCACCCATGAATTTTTCTATCATTCGATTGTCGATGCTGAATTTCAAAGAATCAACTGACTACACTCAAAGTACATCTGAGAAATCCCAACGTTGTCATTTCTTCAACTATGTATACCCTGAAACCCATATGTAGGTCCATATGTAGCCAAAAAGGAAAAGTGGGGCCGAACCCCGATTTGGATATATATTCCGCCAAGACTTCTTACGTCATAGAATTTCGGTACGGTCCACGGGTACGGTCCTTCTAGACCTCCAGGGCTTGGGGGATTTTCAATATTTCATCACCCCAAATACAATGAAAGTCAAGCAGAAATCTGTTTGTCAGAATTGTAGAACCCGGAAGCTAGGGGTATGTGCTCACATCATTTGCCACATTGGGATTGGACCACTGATGTTCTTATGATTTTAGTGCGATGGGAAGCGTCCAGGATGCAGCCAATGTGTCCTTTCGGGTCACAAGTGCGACGGCTATCGAACAGATTGGAAATTTATATCACACACTCCGATGAACTCGTCTACTTCAGAGCAAAACAACCAAACTGCACTTGTTCGAAACGAGGGCCAAGAGACATTATTAGGTGCCGATCAACAAGACTCGCCAACCGGACCTATACCTCTTCAGCTCTATCTGAACCCTCTCATCGTATGTAATTTCACAGAGTTAATAACGAAAAGTTTTGTTCCCCAAAACGAAGGGATTATACAAACGTGCAACTCGGACTATATGGAGCCTCGAATTTGCGGTTCTTGGGTTGAAGTGCTGTCGAGCCTTCCATACCTGAACACTCCCAGTCTGGTTCTTCCGAGGGCGGTCGCAGCATTGGGAGCTTCACTACTATCTCAGTCAAGCGAATCCAACATAACTTGCTCTCAAACCTATGACATGGCAATTCACACACTCCGACAAAGCTTTGGCTTGAATCCCCGTTCCCTTAGCACTGAACAGATACCAGCTATTATGTGTCTTACGCTAGTGGAGGTACTATTCTCCCAGTCCGACATTTATCTACGCGCTCGCTAACTGGTCGAAGCTTATGATTCCAGATTCCGTCGCCGCTATAGCATCGCATATCCAGGCTGTAGGCCTGTTGTTACATGCCCACGGGGCGGACATGTGTAGTTTCGGATTACTACATAAGCTATTCGTCGGTTTTCGACCTCTTCTGGTTCGTTCTCTGCCACTCTGATCTTTATGGCGTATGGCTGTTGAGCTTGGATATAGATAATGCAGGCGTTACGAAGCCGCCAGCCTACATTTTTAGCATCGCAACCATGGATTGACACCCCGTTCTCTCATTTCTGCCCATCACTCATTCAAAGCCTCCTTAATGAAGTTGTCATCCTTCCCGCCCTACTCCACCAAAGCGATTGCGTCCTAGGAAGCTTGGCCCAGGGCGACTTGTCCGATATCAACAAGATACCCGGTTCGTTTATCAACGTTCTCATTTGCCTTGATAAATGGGAAATGGCGTTGCAGAAAGGAGACCAACCTTGTTATTGGCGATGCGGTTATGTGTCACAGGAAGTAGAATCAAGGACCTTTGACGATACACATCTACCTCTTTTTTGGTACCCCAACGTCACCATGGCCAACGCGTTTACCCACATATGGGCCTTCCGAATTGTCTGCCTCTCCGAACTCAAGAGATTCATTACGCATCTTCCTAGCCATGGCCAAGAACAGCCAATCTGGATCGGGCAGCTTGATATAAACTACGATGATATTCAGGCCCAGATCGTCGCATTTGCGAAAAATATATCTCTGAGTATGGTCTACCTCCTACAAGAGGAGATGGGACTTTTTGGGCCGACATCTACCATTTTCCCACTCCGGATAGCATATCAAGTATACAAGTCACTTGGCTCTGGGCAGCAGGCTGACATTGCCTACCTTGAGGGAATCGTTGAGCAACTCGATCAAAAGGGCCTGAAGTCTGCCAGAGCTCTTGTATTTGATGGCTTAATGCAAATATAAACCTTGGAAACGCAACATACTTCCAAATTCCATAATGACTATGCTTAGGTTAGATAGCTCCTAGCTGTAGGTACTCTCGGTTTATCACCCCTCTCCCTCTTCTTCCTGTTTTCTGTGTGCATGGATATTCATCTTCCTGCATCTCTCAGTTTGCTAGTTTTAGTCAAGTCGAATGGGCATTTGGTGACTTGGCTATGCGGCCAGGGCTGATGCTGAGGACTTACCTGGATGGACGCATCTGCCCGTCGCATTTATATCTTCCCTTGTTAACATTGTGCCCAAGCTTATCCATATGGCTGCATGTCACTATGTAGAAACGACCACCAAAAGACAAGGAAAAGGAATATCAAAAAAGACATATCAAGGTTGTATAAGCGAGTATTCCTCTTCTCTATGCCGTAGCTCTTTATCTTGGATATTTGGATATTAAAATTTATAGCCTATTATACAGAAATAGGGCAATTACGTAGTAACAGCGTGAAATTTGGATGTGTGGAAGCTCCAGAGTGGTGAGCCAGGCAGCAACTGCCGTCCCAAGTATTCGCTCATTTGACCATTTCAGCATTTCAACTTTACTTATCCCCAACATGGATCGCAAACAAGTGAGCATCGAGCTTACCAGCAAATTATCCGCCTTACCTGATGCTGCACGAAATGAAGAGCTTACCTCGGAGTTGCAACTTCCTCCCGACCCGCGTGAAGCCCAGAGTCGGGTCTTATCGAGTTCCGTTACTTCAACAGCGTCCTCATCCGCATTACTGAACACCGCAAAACAGGGGTCCTCAGTTTGCTTCCGTACTATTGGCTTTGGCCAATGTGGAATGGTCTTCGAACGGCCCGGTCGAGCATACGTAGTCAAAATCGCTCGCCCGGCATTCGAAAACGCCCTTTGGGCAGACTTTCAAGCACACTTGGCAATTTATCAAGCATTTAGAAACCAGCAGTCCGTCAAAGTAGGCATTCCCCAATTTTTCGCATACGTCACAAAAACCAACGATAAATGGTGGGACTCCCATGTGAACCTTTTTCATGGATCACATCCCCCTTTCCCTATGTCTGCAATGGCCTTGATCACCGAAAGGATACTTCCACTGCCTAAGCTTGCTCGACAAGCTCTCATCGATGCCTATTGTCCCGGGTCATCGCAACTCACTGCAGCGGCTGAAGACACTAATCGGGACTGTCTTACCTATATCTATCTCGGCCGTCACCAACCCTACATAGCCCCCACGACGACCGAGACTACCTATAGCCCAGCTATTTTGGCAGATGTTGGGGATCGAATTAAAGTTAGATGACGGGTCATACCATCTTTGTCCCTGCAGATCATTCCTGTAGTAGCCTTTGACAGGGCTATCGCTGTAATACTAGAGAAACAAGTTGCTGCCTATGTCATAATTTTTCCAAAACTCTCTAGTCTATTAGGGCACACTTGATTAAGATCAGGAGGATGGTTTGTCTGCCTGAAAAACCAAGATAGGTTGAGTTTAAGACATGGCGAACGGTATTAGATCATTGCAAGGCTGCTTAGATCGACGTACTTCTGGTGAAGAGCATTGGAATAATCAGTACGTTTATACTTATCGCGTGTGGCATCATCCTCTCGGTGGTCTTCCGGTTGGAATCCAGTTTCTTCACGTCGACCTTAGGATGGATATAAAAGAGAATGAAAAAGAGATAGTGAGCTGCGAACCTGTTATGAAGTGTTGGGAATTGACTATCCATGAATCATTATATCTATAGCTCGGCTGGACGTTAAGTACCTTATGAAAATCATCCTAGCTATAGCCGGGATTAGGCAAAAGGCACAAGCTGATTATTTTCACACTTTATCATTTCTCACAGGTCTAATGAGCAAACAGTTTTCCTAAGGCAGGGGCAATCAACAAAAATGATGGTCAATGTTGGATGGATTTTTAGTTGCTGGCGCTAGCATCACAGAATAGATGGCTAATAAATGATCCGCACATTGCGTGATTAAACCGTTCTTTTCTGCTTTTATTTTCAGGCTGGAAAGTGGGCATGCCTGTAGGGCTTTTATGCCATTTGATAGGGGTGAGCTGGATTCTTTCCGTTATTCTCCTTTCCCCCACTCAGTCAGTCCAGTTAGTTCAATACAATCGTATTTCTCTGTCTCTCTCTCTCTCTCTCTCTCTCTCTCTCTCTCTCTCTCTCTCTCTCTCTCTCTCTCTCTCTCTCTCTCTTTTTGCTTCCCTCTCAAAGACCTATCATGGCATCTATGCGATGCGCCCTAATATGTTAACTTGATCTCTATAGGAGAGTCCGAAAAAACCGGGCTTTGTGCCACCAGGGCTTTATATTTCGGAATCGTTTATAGCACAAAGCTTGGCGGAGGATCCAGCAGTTCTAAGATAAAGTATCGCAAATCTCGGTTTCACAAGTAAAAGGCTTGGCGGAGAATCTAGCCGTTCTAAGATAAAATACCGCACAAGGAGCGCCACAGCGGATCAAGCTCTCGCAAAATCATTGCCCAAAAAAATCGGGGTGCTAACGAAATGCATCCTCTGTGCTATTCTTATCCAAATATACATCTACAACCTTCATAAGTTGTAGTGTGATATGTGAATATCGGACTCGAAGCTAACAACGACGCGATCGGCTTTGAAATGCTCCATTATGTACAAATCGTGAAGTGCTATCAAGTCTCCTCCCCGGGCACAGGCTGATAGCATTCCGTAGAAATTTGAAGTTTGTCATGAGTTACTTTGGTTGGTTTTACCACCCAGCAAGTCTTGATCAAACATGAGTCAGAAGTTGGCTAGGCCCCGTTTCCAACAGTGTTGATCCTATCAGTAGGTTCTGCAAAAGAGCATGTTTCATTTCGTGTCAGAATTTGTTCCCGACATATCTCCATTTCGCCTACTTGTCTCCGGCCGTGGAAAATAATATTAGTTTTATAGTGGACTTTGATAGTACTGTCGTCGTAATACTGGAGGAATAAGTCGCCGCCTAGTTCACATTTTTCCGAACTTTCTCCAGCCCACATGGAGCACATTTGTTTAGATGTGGGTAGATCAGAATGCCAGTTCGTCTGCTTGAAACACCAGGATGGGTTGAGTTTAAGACATAGCAAATGGTGTCAAATCATACGTGGGTAATCGCCATCTTGCGGGTTATTTATAAACGAAAATGGTACAAAAATGCTCTGTATATGTCGTCATGAGCCAAACGGGCATGCTCATATAAAGACAAACCGTGTGTGCTCTGAAGACATGAGGACAATCTTGCATCACTTGAGCCCTGCGATCAATACTGCCTAGCACTCAATCCTTCTTTACATTTCCATTTCCATTTTGAACACCGCCTTAGAGATGAACAACCCTGTCGACGTGCGCTCGCTTGATGGATTTGCAGATCTAATAGTTTATTACCTCCGTCTTTTGAGGCATGATATTACTCCATCTTTACTATCTTTGTTCTACCTGCTTTGCACAGGCTCTCTGTTTTTTGACGTTATTCATCATATGCTCCACCGTTGCAACAAATCATCCCACCCTCTTTTTCAACGCCTAGCACGTGCCCACCATTTCCACCACCTATACTTCACACGGCACATGAATTTCGACGAAAGGTATCTTCAGCAGAATCGATTTCAAGCCTTGCCGCTTGAGCTAGCACTTCAAATCGCTGGGACCGTACTGGGGTATATCTTTGCCAGTTTTATGACGCCTAATGGCCATGTGTGGTCTACAAGAAACCACCTTTTGTCCACAATTGGCTTTCAAACCCTAAGGACTACTTTTGTCATCCTCACATGTGGCCGCGACTCAAACCATCTCATCTACAAAATCGCCCCGAAGGACCCCAATTGGATATTCGTGGGCCCAGAGTTCCACGCACTCCATCATGTCTTCCCGGATCGTTACATCGGTTCGTTCATTAAAGTCTTCGACTGGATTTGGGGTACTGCCTACTCCTTCAGACGCAAGCGCTTTGCGATCACCGGGGGAAGCGGAGCATTTGGCCGTGCAATTGTGAAAGAGCTCGAGCGTGAAGAAGGGGTAGCCTGTATTCGCAAATTGAAATTTGGTACTGATTGGGATCATCATCATTTTGAAAAAGCGCTCCCGGTGCTTTCTAACTCCGACGTTTTAATACTGGCTCACGGCTCCAATGGCGAGGACGCAGTTGCATCAAACTGCGATTCAGCTACCCGACTTGTCAAATTATTCAAGCAGCACAGAGCGACCAACCCCGCCTGCCCGGCGCTTCCGGAAGTTTGGTACGTTGGCAGCGAGATTGAGTTCCATCCATCCTGGGGAAATCTACGACTACAACGCTACTCTCAGTCAAAACGAACGTTCCTGCCGCACGCTCGTTCCTTTTTTGATGACCCTGATATAATTTACCGCCATATCGTTCCATCCTCATTTCACTCATCCATGGGAACTGCTGTATTTTCTGCAGACTGGGCAGCCAAGTGTGCAATGTGGTGGATCCGACGAGGGGCCAGATATATTCCCGTCACATATACGGGAATTGCGTATTTGAACTATTTCAAGTTCATGTATCGCATTCCTTACGCGCAGGATGCGTATCAAATGTAAACATCTAACTCTCTCACAGGTTGTTGAGTTTATAGATATTGATTAATAAAATGCATGGAATGGGAGCTTGATTGTACACTAAATGCATCTCAGACATAGCATGTATGTTGAAAACATGTGGCCGGGACTGTGATTAGTTCTCGTCCAGTGTTTCTAATTCATTTATTCTGGCGTATCATAAGGCGATAAACGGGCTACCAGAGATTATATAGCATGTAGACGTAGAGTGCACTCCCTAAATACATTGTCGCATATTGTTAGGAATCCTTGCCCGGTTTACTTGGTGCGTTCTCCATTCATCATTTAGGCTCTTTATTTGACCAAATGAGGGAAAGTTAAAGTGGTAGCATCTCACAATATCCCTCGAAAGTAGGGCAAATGCGTAGTCGCGAATAAACACCGCTTCCTAGTTCCCTCGACCGAGTTCCTCTACTCATTTCTCCCTCTTGGTGTAATTTTCCAATCGTTGAAATGGACCCCTCGCCGACCTTCTATGAGCAATCCACAGACGGGGCGGTGTCTGTCTGCCTGATGGTAGGCAGCATAGTTCCTTATCTATGACATGATCTACAGTGGGGAGCTATCTATAAAGCCCTTGAGTGGAGGTATTAGCTTGGTCATGGCGCGCCCATATCTAGGCAGAAATGTGTCGGGCCATCGCGCCTAAGGGTCTTGTGGGCTTACAGGGCCCCGGGAAAGGCCACTTATGTCCACCTAAGGATACTGCCGGTAGCATAAAAGGGTTATTCTATATTTAGCCGGCTTAAACAATTGGATTAATAACTAACAATTGGCAACATTGAAAACGTTTCACCTAACTAATTCTTTTCTTTAAAATTAGTATTCCAAATAATGATGTGAATTCATATGAAGTGGAGTATTCTGCACACCTCTATATCCAACACTAAGCAAAGAACCTCGACAGATCGCCAGCGAACAATGACAATGAAACCCTTCATCGATGTATTACAAGAAAAACTGTCCTAATAACCCTGCTTTTCTCATTATATCTAAGACGAGCGCTAAGAAAGCCAGTACTGACATCTTGTCCAGCCGCAGTTGCGATTGCCGTGACGACTACGGCAATTAATATGGCGAAGACAATTGTAATCAATACACGGGAAACATTCCATCCGTCAACAAGCAAGAGCGCAGGAATTATGCCGCCTGGGGAAATGTATCCTTAGTTAACTGCTGGATCAAGGTAACGACACGTGCTCAAGGAACTGTTGATTTTTGAGATGTAAACTGGCTTGGGTGGTGATCCGAATGACCACCGCTTCGGTGGTTTGGTTACTTAAACATCCATATTTTATGATGGATCTTCCAGATACAATAAACGCGTAACCAGGCTCATAGGTCATAAATCACCCCCTGTACATGCCTAACTTAATGGCAGAAAAACAACAACAAAAAAAAGGCATTTCACTCAATTTTTGTGTGTTACGTAGCTCGTAGAATAAACCCGTTCAACTGCCCTAAGTTCCCGCCCCTTTTTGACAGGATGATAAATCGCTGGCGATAAAACGCAATATTCCATTTTCTCATCGGATGCCACCTGTAGCTAATGTCGAGAGTAAGTTCCAATGCAGTGCGCTGGGTCATTCCTTAGAATGACCAGAAGTATGACCAGGGACTCTGTCTCCGAATCCCTTGCCCGCTCGTATAATTCGTTTTCTTCTGTGACTTGAAGGCTCCCGCGTCATTGCCGCCCCCAAGGTCAACCTTTTCGTTAAAATGATGCCACAAAAGTAAAAAAGAATCGAAAAGAAAATATAGGCGGGAACCGGGATTATACCGCAATTTTTGAAAAATCGACCTGACCAGACATCAATAAAAAACTACACCGTTGGCCTTCATATTCTCGGCCCGAGGAAGGGGAGACGGTTCATATCTTTGAGGGAGTTTATGATCCCTGTGTAGACCGACCAGTCATTGAAATTACCAACGTGTTTGGCGACGTCGAAGCCCAGATATAAAATCGGCTAGACCTCTGATGGGGTCCATTCGAACTCTGCTCCTTTATTGACCATGCAATTTATGAACAGACTCGCACTGATGATCGCTATGGCCCTGGTCACCGCCGTAGCGGCGGCGCCGAGGCCAGCTCCCAACACCCAATCTACCGTAAACGTAGTCGATTCAACAATAATTTCGAGTGCTTTAACTGGCGAGCTTTAGATGCTCTCTGCTCCGCTTTAACTCATTGCCTAGGGAAAGCCCAACTGTACCAGAGATTCAATGTCACATTTCGCCGAATCGGTTCTGGCACGGAATATCTCCAACGCGTTGATTTCCCACAGTCTCCAACTCAATCGTACATGGTTGGACCAGGAGTAGCTGGATCTATCTATGGACTACAACCACTCGGACTTTGACTTGCGAAATTTCATGCTGTAGTAATTTCGTGCTGTAGTAACTTTTGGAGAACCTATCATGGAAGCACTACATGTCATAAACACACCTCCATTTAGATATCACCGGTTGTGGGAAACCCAGGAATGCCCACAAATGAAAAAATAACCACGAAAAATAATAAATATCATCCAGTGAACGCGATGGTCATCCACATTTTGGTCTATAGAGATTATTATTCAAAGATCTGCAACTCTGAATTGCCCCTTCGTCTTAATTCGACAAAGCCACCGAAGGATCAAAACAGACCCCACTATGATAACAGGCTATCCAAGAGCTGGAGCACTCATATTCCCCAGTTTCCTACAATATTCTGCACAAAGAATTGCGGATCAAATGATGGTACGGGCATAGAAGGATGGATGCAAGATAGAGGAATCGCTCTCCGCATGAGAGGATCTGCTGCGGTCTCCGTCTGCGGCCGCAATGACAATTGAAAACGGGTTTCCCCAGCACGTCCCATGTAGCCATTCCGCGAGATGATATCACGTATCTGACCACGCGCTCTGCGTAGATTTCCTAACATCGATTCAACCCGTGGAAGAAAGAACGGATACTCTTCCACAACCTCTTCGGTCCCCGGGCTAAACTTGCTGAGCCGGATTTCTATCCAGTGCACCCGTTCAAAAAGAAAGAATGCCGACACGTAGAGGAAAATATCATCGGCGCAGGTGTCTGGGGATAACGGATCTGGACACGTCCAGCTAAACGCGCTCTCGCTCTCATGGTTAGGGTAGAAAATGCAGTCGATAACGCGAGGCCTTTCGGCCCCATATTTTGCATACTGTGATATGCTAATAGGTTGGATTGAACTGAGAGTGCTGCGATTGGCTGCGAGACAAGGTGGTGGTGTCGGTATATTGGGTGATTCTCTCCAGATTGACTCAAGATCTAGATCCAAATCGAAGTCTGAAGGGTTTTGTCAGCGCCAACACTAGTCATCGAATATGATCCAACCAACCAAGCCGATCAATTTGTCCCATTCTTTCTGTGCAGCATGTGCAGATTGCACAACAAAAGGCGGTTTGCGAAGAAAAGGTAGGCTTGAAGAGTGAGAGAATCTCTGTGGTTTCATTAGAGATTTATATGTATAGGCCAGAATGACAGCAAGCAAGTCAAAAGTTTAGCGCAGAGCTTTAGTACTGAAGGGGTGGTAAGGCGTTTATAAGCACAGGAAAAAAACCAAACAAAAACCATATATTTGGCCATATTCAACAAAAGTCCCTGTGTGCCAGTGATTGGTTGTTCTTGATTCACGCAGATGCAGACGGTGATCGATTTGTATTTTGCGTTGAAAGTACATTCATTGGTAGTAGGATACCACCTATGGAACGCCCCACCCATACTCCACCCCGTTGAACTATCCTTTCCGACCCGTTCATTGCCTGCCTTTTCTGTTCAACGCAAGAACCACGAGACCAGTTTATCACTCTGTTGCCTACCAGTACAATACCAGCCATAGCCAGGTCAAGCGTGCCGATCTCATTTCGCTTGAGCGAAGACTCACTATAACTCATTTATATGACAATAACGTCTATCACTATTCTGCAATGTTCCGAGAATACCCTGATGTATAGAGTCAAAGGCCTGACGACGATCTCACAGCAGCAGCTCCTGGTTATCACAGCATTCTTGGAGCTTTTCATTCTCCCCCACCAGCCATTCGTTGGAGCCTTGTAGGAAGCGACGTTCCTCTTCCAAGCGTATTTTGCCGGCGGACTTGATCATGTAACACTCCCACAGGCACAAATAGAGGTCCAGGAGGTCAATAGCGGAAGATGCTAAAGCGGGTTTCTTTTGCAGGATTTGGGTCAAATCACTGGTTAGGGAACAGGCCGCACCCATCGAGGTTGTCTGTTTTTTTGGTTAGAGCCGATCAAATACGGACTCAGTGAAATCTGACCTTTGTCACTTGCTTGGTGCTGCCTGGCGTCCCAACTGGCTTCTCATATGGATCTGGTGCTCCTCGCTTTCTTTTGTTGGTCCGACCCGAAGGAGAGTGGGAAGTAGGAGAGTCCATTGGGCTCGAAGGATTCAGTGTTCCTCTATATTCAGGTAGAAGGATAGAGAGTTGAAGATCGCCAATGTAAGTCGAGCAAATAGATTCTTTTATATTATATGCCAATCTACCGCATCACGCTAGATTGGCTTTTTCTTAGGGAGAGCCATTGGTAATCGCAGAAACAGCTGTCTTTAACCATGCGACTAGAATCACGATAAACAAACCCGCATTGAACTGTTCTAATTTTGCACTAGACTCAAGTGAAGGATGTATACTGAGGGCAAAGCTGTTTGAACTGCCGGTTACACCTGGTCGTGCTCATCTAACTGAGGGCCGGCAAGAAACTGCGGGCGCGCGCAGGCACCGGTAAACATTTCGCTGGACCGGCTCAATTGTACGGGTTAGAGACAAAGCCGTGAAGAATGTATAAGTAAATGGAAAAAAAGTCGACTTCGTGGCTGCGAAATGACCAATCAAAAATCATCTCTGTTGGATTTGCTTGGAAAATTGTCTAGATGCACCTAATATGTTTATGCGTGGTTTGGCTGACGGCAGGCTACACAATCACGGTCCGACTTCAAAGATATGAATTCTAGATATCAAAGCTAGTAAGAGATAATAATGATATTTGGCTGAGCTATTTACCCAAGTTCGGTACTTGAAATATTTGCGTCGCGAGGCAGTCTGCCGCGAAGAACAGCGAAAAGACCCAAGAACGGACAAACAGGCCTACGGCTCATACGGTGACTCCATCAATCCGCCTCCTGGACATGCGGACAGAAACCGAGCTCCGTCCACCGAAACACCATCCCAAATCGAAGGATCAGCCATATCTGCCGGACGGAAAGGTAGCCGCGTCGTATCGTCGCACGTGAGGCCGGCGAGTCCCTTGCCGTCACTATCCCATCCAGGATAGGCGCGACGCATCAAAAACTGCTGCCCCCTATACCGATCACCGTGGGAGAAGTCGCCGAACGCAAGGACCTGTAGAGCCGGCAGTCCACCGGGGCCAAATGCCCATTCGGCAAATGACACAAAATCCTCGGCCTCTGCTATTGCTGCGGACGACTCGAGCACTACCTCCTGAAAATCCATACACTCGAAGGGCGACCTATCGTAGTACGCGTTGAGAATACGATCGTAGTCATTATTATCACTAGAGATATCCTCGTCCACAAGACCCCTGCGCGAACGAGGGTCCTGTGAATACGGTTTGCGTGTCTCATGGAGGAAGGTGATAATCTCTCGTTGGACATCTCGATGGATTCGCTCGGGACCGCTGAACCGCAAATGTAAAAGCCGAAGCTGGGAATGCTTTGCCGTGGGTCGAAGGCACCGCCGCTGTCTTGATTAGCATGCACACGTTCGCTAGGCTAACAAAGACTTACAGCGGCAGATGGTCTTGCACACAGTGCCAAAGCAGTCACCTAGCCCAGGTCCACAATGGTTGACAAATTTGCAATCCACACGGGCGACACATCCCGATCGTCCTCAAACAAGCCATCCTCGCCGATGGGGGCGAGTTTGCGCTCATGGTAGACAAGGCTTTTCAACGTGGTTTAGTGGTGTTTTATGGCGTCCTAGATACGGGACTCCGACGCCGGAAAATTGGACAACCGCAGATGCAGATGCTACAGCCCACGAAACGAACGCAGGAACCGCACAACCGCAGATAGGGTACGCCCGTCGCCCGGTTCGTGCAGCAGGAGATCCAAAGAAGTTTCAAAATGCTCCAGTTGCAGTGGCTTTTATAACCGCGACAGCAACTACAAGAGACGCAGCTAATTCGGGCAGTCCCGGAGGGTAAGCGCTCGCAGGGAACAAAATATCGAACTGTCCTCTGATAAGAGATTTGGGGGAAGGGTCACCCTTGACAGTGCTAGGGAGGACAAGGTCGGAACAGCTGTCGGCTTCTCGACTCTTATATCCCCGACCCCGAGCTCCGGCCCTTACAGTCCAAGACTCTCCCAGCACAGAGCACGGGCGGAAGCGGAATAAACAAAGCCGATGGATAGGTGATCGAGATGGCTCCAATTATGACGGATGCACTGTCGCAGCAAATCAACCTCGGTCTGATACTAGATTCCTTCCCACTCGAAGGCCGTCAGACTCGATAATTCGGACAGCCCTTCCAGACGGTGCCATATCTGAGGACAGGTACCGTCCGTGACGAGTGAGAGACGGGAGAGGCGCTGTTGATACCGGCTGAGATAGCCTCCCTAATCGAGAACTCCCATCGGGACACATGTCCCAAGCCGCCATCTATTGCTAGTCAGTCACAGATCCCGAGAATAGGCACCAGCGCATACGGACTCGAAAGTGCTCAGGCTATTGGGCTTCAAATGGGTGAATACCAGCTACAATTGATCCTTCACGTCGTCCAAAAATTGCTAATGTGCCGTCGCCTCGTCCGAAGCTCCCAATATAGTCGGAGACTCCGGCAGCCCCGCCGCGCGAAAGATGTTGTAATATGCACATCAATTAAACCGGACGAGATAGAATGGAGCCTAGATTTGCAGGTTCCTCACGTGCTGAAGATAGCCCACGGACCGGGATTGACCGAGGTGGAGAAAGAAGGAGTCGACATCCAAAACGTTCAGCGCCCACTCACTTACTGCGTGAAATGCAATGGTACGGTAGATATAAGGAACCAAAACTGAATATAATCTCGACGAGACTCGGCTGAGAGCGCGCAGGTGGGCGGGTGGCAGCTAGCAGGCAGTCAGAGGACGTGAATCAAGCAAAACAAACACGCCAGGACTTACCCAGTCCGCGATCAGCATCAGGATCTCACACGGTAACGTCTCCAGCATTGTACTAGGAGATATGACATCTATTCACTGCATCAATGCAATCTGGACAATAAGCGACTTAAGAAGCAGGGGTTTGCCGAGACTTGGAGCGCCTAGTCAATTTAACCCCAGACACTTAAACAAAGAAAATATATTTAGTTAGTATCCGCGGAAGACATATCGCACATCGCGCTAGAAGACAAGCTAGCCCATCCGGTCCCAAATGACCAGGCTCAGTGCCTTATTCGGTAACCGCTTTTGACCACAAGGAATAATTTGTTATAGAGCGCATCTCGTGAGTTGTCTCGGTTCTAGTTTGGTGGGCTATTCGGCATGAGCGGCATCAAGACGCAGTGACCACAGTGTAGCCATAGTGTCCTCACTTATATCGTTAACCAGTGTGTGGAATAAGATAATAAATTGGGGGACAACCGTTGTCAAATTCAAAATAATAAAACGTTCAACCAAGCAACCAATGGCTTAAACAGGCCAAACTAACATGGCCTACGGTTCATATAGGGCAATAGGTAATCGTGCATACATAGCTAAGGTCGCGGTCGAAATGGATAAGGAGCGCTGTTCAACTGTAAAATATAAACGATATTTGACTTCTACTTAAGCAAATGGCAAAATCCTACAAAATGGGCTATAGTAGTATGGTCCCGCGAGACCTAGGGTCCGGGACGTTCAGCCTTGGAAAGATCTCCGGACATTAGGCCGTTTGCTTTCAGAAAATAGACCGCCCTCGCGTCTGTTGAGAGCAATACTAGTACTATATGTCAGTCTCGAAGGCGCACTGAGATTGCACAATATTTTAACGGGGAACCAAGGCACCCAGTGGTAGACTATCTATCCTTGGCAAAGGCGGGTCGGTTGGTCTGGCAAACAGCTCACGTCTCTTCGCGCAAGATGCATTCGTTATCGCCAAATAAGAGCGAGCGATAAGAATACTCCCGCCCGCTAATGCCAGTAATCAACCCCTGCATCACGGACATTACAAATATACCAAGGGTGTTCTATTCTACTGATCAGGGATATTCTGTGTTCAAAGCCATGGTTGTGTCGAAGGTAAATACATTAACTAGACCCATAAGTAAATATCAACTATTCTGCTTACATCAACAACCGACTAGTCCACCCCTAGCCTCTAAGTAGGCGAGTATCGTCCTACTTCGGAGTCTGTCCCATCTCCACGAGGGATGAATAGAGTCTAAGCTGCATACTCAAGCACCGTATGCAGGATAACCCTCGAATGAGTCACGGCGCTATAGGCCAGGATCAGGTGCATCACATAGAGACTGGGCCGCCAACCATTCACCACGCCCATCCTCTCCAACGGCCGAAGCAGATAAAAGACAGCTCCAAGAGAATTCCAGATGGCGACTCGGCCGAAGTGTACTGCCAATAATGGGGGGCCTTGGAACGTCCCGGTCAGGGCGTGGATAGTTGGTATCAGCGAAAGTAAGCCCAACGAGACACAACTGTACGGGAAACGGTACCGCGCTGCACAGATACTGGGATCCCAGACGAGGAAATCCACCAGAGTCCCGACAGCAACGACGGTGAAGGCCGCTAGGTATCCGAGCTGGAGGGAAGGCTAGGTACGGAACAGCAAAACCACGGAAGGAATAGTAGTCGTCCAGATTAGGACCAGAACACCTCCAAGCTCTAGCTTTTGCCACTCTGCCGCATCACTGCCATAGGATGCGTTTAGGATACGATATACCAGGCTGGACAAGCACCAGAGGATGACGCCTACACAAAAGACAAGCACCGACAGTGAGTCAAGAATCCCTCCCGGGGACGAGGGGAAGTGGAAGAGAAAGAAATGAATCACAAAGAGGTAAAAGTAAGAAAGGCCGAAGGTGCTAATTATGGCGAGGATTGCACAGTCGCGCAGAGTGTGAGCTTGAGGACCAGCCATTGCACTTGGGTCGTTGATCGGTTGGGCAGAAGGGGTTATCGCTGGATCGGACTAGGACCTGGAAGACGGTGCAGATGGATGGGTTGGTCTCTTGAAAGTGGTCCAATCGGGTGTTCCGTCACACCACACAGTAGGAGGTCGAGAGGGCTGACGCTGAAAGGAATCCATTTTAATTCCAGATATTATCATAGGGTAGGCGGGCTATTTAATTGAGAATCATGAATGGAGAAGGTAAAGCGACTAGTCACATTCACTTGGTGGAATTGAACAATTTTAGGTGTGTGTCCACTATCGGAATCCAATCCACGAATTCTGTCCAAGTATATACAACGGTCAACTGTGATGGCCAACATGGTGGTTTAGAGAGGGTATTTAGAGAGGGTGGTTAAATCCAGGTGGTAAACGGTTCCACCACAAATTTGGAACGGTTGTTCATCAACAGCTCAAAGGGCAGGCCGGCTTCGGAAAGACACATGGCACATGGTTTAAGCTAATATTAGAAATATTGTGTTTGATAATTGATTACCCGAACTTGGTTAAGCACTTCACTTCCACAGCTCGAGCCTGCCATCATTTACGAGGTGGTTGGCTCTAGCTTTTCCCTGCTGGGATGGGAGTATTTACCCACCTATAAATTTCATACCCATCAATTACTCATGGTTAAAGCCATCAAATTCAACTGATAGAACCATGTATTTATTCTAGTCTAAGCAGTTCGTTTAATTGGACAATATACGAAGCCGGCCAAAACCGCCGCTTTAGCCACCCTCAATATCTAGGGGGCTGAGCACCCAAGGGAACCAGCAACCGAGAGCTTTCGCTATAGCCCTTAGCTTTCAATCACACGAATGAAAGCAAACACTGGATGGCTCTAGTGACCCATAATTCTCAACCGGCTCTAAGAGGGCATTACATGATGGGTTCTTCTTCCTTGGCCTCCTATCGCTATCCGAGACCTGCATCTCCAGCATATAGCCGGGACGGCTCACACTATAATATTATTACGGTCGTGCAAAGGATAGCTGTCTTTCCACATCAGCAGAAGAGTCAGCAGAGCACCATGGAAGAAATCGCCGATAGTGTTCGACAGATTGGCGGGCAGCAAGGAGAGAACGTATACTTACGAGCTTGCTACGCCCTTTTAAATCCCCTACAGGACAAGGCTGGGCAAGCATCTGAGGACCTAGAGGTCCCATATTGTCAGCCTCAGGAATAAGTACGAATAGTTGAGGACGCTAAAATCGAAGCCTAGAACGTAACAAATAGGGATAAACGGACTTCTTCATAAGAGAAATGAACGAACTTTGTATTATTCCGAAAACCTCCCTTTATATAAAGCACAACGGCAGCACTACCGCCCTTTCGAACTTTACTTCGAGGTGAATTATTTCATTTTATATATCATTATTCCATTCCTTATGAAATCGGCAATCATTACCGTTCTCCTAGGCGCTGCAGGAGCAATTACGCCATCGGCGTCAACCCAAACCACCCAGACTACAATAGACGTAATGTATATTATAATGCCACGATATTTAGATCTTTCCAAAATTCTTCTAGAAGCTTTCCTCTCCGCTTAAAATCGAGACCGGGGACGGACTGAACTGTCAAGGAGCTGGTGCTGGCATCACTAAATTCAAAAATTCTGTTCTTTCACTCAATTTGTCGAATGTTTTTATTTCCCGCAGTTTCCGGTTGAACCGCACCCTTAGTGGTCAGGAGCAACTAGATCTCTCCGTGACTAATGACTATGCCACCTAGTACTCTGACAAAGATCACCTATCCCGAAATAGTTCGTCATGCACGAACTTTTGGCGCAGCTACTACGCGGTGAACGGGAGTACGGCATGCCACAATACATCGCCCTTTACCTGCCATAGATTGTGGAACAACCCAGGTCTACGAATGTAATAAATATCGAAGACAACTCCGATTCCCCTAACAGCCAGCAAACCCCGTGGGCGTCTTTAGAAGACAAGGTCTGGGCCCCACGGTGAGGCGGACCGGCCAGCCAGACTAAACAGCGCCGATTTCTTTATATAGGATTTGAATAAAAAATGGTTATATTGACTTGGTATCAGACAGTTAACTACGGAATGGGAAAATGCGAAGGTAACTGATGCCTTCTTTATAATCACAGGCCAGCGTACGAGACAAAATATCGAAATAGGCACGCTAAATTGACGAGTCAAATAAAAATTTCGAAATCTGGGATAACAGCTTAGCATAGTGACAGATTCACACAGTGATCAATTCGCAAGCGCCCGGTCCCGAACCACAGCGTAACCTCTGTTTTCAAACCCCACTAGTGTAGTAGAAATTAGAAACAGTTTACTTCTTGGACACACACACACACTTTGCTTCTTAGCCCGTCAGAAACAAGAAGAATCCGTATTAGTGGGATTAGTGGGATTCGATGTCGATGATAGGAACTGGGTATGTGTAGGGTTCTTATCCCCAGACTAGGTATTGGTGTCAGCTATGCTGGTGATCGTCGGTCAAGTCGATTAATCTTCGGAGGGTTGTCAGATCCGATTGGTGAATCCTCGCCTGCAGATTTTGCGGGGGTGACATCGGCAAGTGGGTCTAGGAAAAGCTTAAAAAAAGGGTCGCTAAACAAGCTTCTGCTTCCAAGCATCGCCCAGGGCCTTTGTCATACTGAATAAAGTTTCCAAGGCCTAGTGCTACTTGATATGCTCAAGAATATGGTCAGTGCAAAGAATCATAAACTCAAAGCCTTCTAGTAGACAGTTCGGGGTCAAATGGACCAGCCTCTTTACGGGTTAAAGTGGAAACGAGTACGTGTTACGTGTATCCCCTAGCTTACAGTCTTGGATCGCCAAGCAAGACTCGGGTTTTTACTAATAAAATATATCCGCATATTCATTGTGCTCAAATCAATTTGTTTGCTTTTCACTTCTACTTCAACAAAACTAATTCACACGAAAGAAAGAAAACAAGAGTGTCTGTGTGAAATCAGACGACCTAACCTCTCGCCGCAGTGTTTTGCAGCTGCCCCAATTATAACCTTCGTCTGATATACGTATTGGTATAGTATATAATAAGCTTTCTGCATGTCATCGGGAGCCTTAGATACGCGGGCGAATGTATCGGAGTAAGCGAGAATAAGTCAAAACCCAAATCCAGGCCCATTTGATGCCTTTCAATTTGACTTCTTTTGCGCCCCTCTTTCTGAGGTAAGCCTCAGTAGCCACTAGGCTTGTTATTATACGGTTGCCGGCGTGTGTCAGCCATGTCAACGGCGTGCCGCCCTCATAATCCAATGCATTAACGTTGGCTCCTTGCTCCAGTAGAATTCTCGCAACAGCCAATGAGCCGTACTCAGCAGCCCAGGAGAGTGGTGTCCGCCCCCACTGGTCACGAGAATCAACATTTGGCTTGCTTTGCAGGAGATATCGAAGGAGGTTTGTACAGTTCCCCATGGCAACGTAATGAAGGAGAGATCTCTTATAACAATCCCGTTGCTTGGAACGTCCTCGTGACTGAAGCGACGAATGAGCTTTTTCGACAAACGCCACAAGTTCAGCATTAAGGGAAATCTCCTTGATGGTTTTCAGACGGTCAAACTCGGGGCCAATATCTGAGCAGCTAGGGGTGGGTTTCATCCTCATCGAGGCAATCGGGCATAGAGGTATAGAGCTCGAGAAGATGTAAAAGAGACCTCGTACGGACCTAGTCAAGGGCCAATGGAAAGCTCGCAAAAGTTGAGAAAAATGGACTTTAATAAAGAGGAAGAAAATATCAAGTCGCCTAGAACGCAAGGCCTGCTCGATTATTGAGTGGTAGAAAACTATCATATGAAGCAAAGGCGTAGGGGGTCGAGATACTTATAGTCATCCTGGCTTATCCCGTCACTTGCGAGTCTGGTTAGTAGCAGAAACGAAGGAGACAGGTGCCTAAACTAATTGAGGCCTGTTGAAACCCATACCTTCGTTTTTATCACCACTGTTTGCGCTAAGGGCCAGGGCCGCATCTATTGCTGGGCAAGTTTTTATTTCCTGAAATTTTCAGTTGGCCAAGTCATGTACATGGTCCACCCTCGGCGATCGATCACCGCCCCTACCAAAGCTCTCCTCTATCGGCGTCTAGACTTCTCTTCGCAATATAGCGCCAAGACTCCCTCTCTCAAGTAACCCTTTTGTTTGCCTTGTCTGCCTTGTTTGCAGGACCAACATTCTAGAAGCTCGAAGCCATACAAGGTGAGTACGAAAGCAAATTTTGGGCTGCTATTTACATCTATACTAGAATACCGCCAAGAAAAGTATTTAGGGGTATAGTAATTGTAGTAGGCATGGCGTGTTTGCAAAGGGGGTTGGAGAAAGACTCTCTGTGTACAAGGTGTCGGGACATGACTCTGCGCCATATATTTGTTCTCCAACCCTATACAGTGTTAGAGGCCTTGCGTCGTAAATAATACTATTAACGCCAAATGACCTTCACAAGATTCCAAAAACGACAATGTAGATCCAACTTTATTTCCGCTGCACGTGGACAGACGGAGCATCTTCATACCGCCCAACATAGAGGCGAGTCCTACTGTGTGGAAACAGTGATGACAAGCACCTACAGCGCACACGTAGACTACTTAGATCTCTCACGCTTAATTTGTTCTAGGACTATTCCCATGTCCACTGTAATATTTGTGATGACGATACCTTTTAGCGTTACGATATGGGGTGTTCCATTTCAGATCCTACCATACACGAGGGGATACCGTAATTTCTCTACAACTCCATGCGTTAAAGTTTGCTAAACTGCCCCGGCAATCCTTTGCTCCGCAACCACCCAATCCCTGGGAAACACCAAATTGCGCGGGTGAAAGCAATGCTTGGACGGAATTTACGCTTGCCCGCCCGTAATTGGACAAAATATGTTAAACCGTACTGTTGTGATATAAGGCTAGTACAGATCAGGAGTCAAGCCGCACCACAGGAACTAATTCTCGCATGGTCTATACGAAGAACCAAGTTGATTTCCAATCATCTTGATCCTCTCGTTGTATTCGTAGCCTCAGTAATTCCCTCTAGTACAACGATCAATCTTTCTTTGAAGTCCAACACGGTATCGTTACTTACAGCTTTCGACTCAATCGTACACTTGACAATTAAGAGCTGTTAAAAATGCCTGCTATCAACAACTAAGCAAGATAGCACCAGCCAACTACAACGTCTGCCATATCGGCGTTTCATGCACCAATAAAATTTTGTAGTCAATGCAAGACGAGCGTTTGACTAGCTCTAATACGTCGATAGGTAGCCCACACAGTATAAGTGGTACAAAGGCCCACTCCACCAGCTAGCGGACTTATATCATATCCAGGAGAAAATTTAAAAAGATCAGAAGCAAGCCTTCAAATTGTCGTATTTGGAAATGGGATAGTTCAACTGATTCTCGCTCTTGTCCAGAGCGCCAGTGCCTCCAAGGGTATTCACAACCTGCAAAGTTCAAAGTAAGTAAGATAATCAAATGTGGAATATGAAACATACCGTAGTGATCAAACTGTCACCACCTTGCTTATCACCGCTAAGCTCCCACCACATACCACCGCCAAGCTCCCTGGACTTGATGTACTCACCTTTCTTACGCGCAATCTCAGGGGTATCATAGCTGATTAACAAACGGGACTCCGAGTTGTAGCAGTAGCTAGCAGCTTCATGGTCCAGATTTGTGACCGTACAGCCGGTCTGAGGCAGAGCCTTATAGTCCCACACACCATTCTCCCAGCTACCAACACCAACACCGTTATAAGGTTGGCCAGAACCGTTGGTTTCAGTAAAGGACCGGCCGTACAGAGGCATACCCAGGACAATATTTTAAGAGGCCACTCCGTGCGAGGTGTAGTATTCGATTGCTTGGTCCGTATTGAAGGGAGTGCTAGCTGGGTTGCTGTTAGATGCGTGAAGGTTGGCGTCGTGGCTGGCAACGTTGTCCCAGTTTCCGGCGTAATCATAGGCCATTAGGTTCCAAAAGTCCAGGTACTGATCCATCCGGGCAAGATGCTCTTTCAGGTAGTTGGCAGGGCCTATAATTTAGGTTAGCTTTGTTAAGAAGTTTGAACGAATGATACGGACCAACAGGGGATGCAGTGGTAAGCAAAAAATGATAGCCGCCTACGTTAGCCGAGCTGTACGAATCCAAGGCCTGAAAGGGATTAGTGTTGGCAGAGCTATCAATAAAAGAAGCATGAAAATACCTCACGAAGACGGCGTAGGGTATCAACAAATTGGTCCGCTTCGATGTAATTGCCAGGATACTATCTGATGTCAGCATCAAACACCGTGAAGGAGATAACAAACTCACTTCAAAATCAACATTAATACCGTCAAAGCCTAAGTTCTTCAGTAGCTCGACAGAACTGTCAGCAAACTTCTGGCGTCCCTCCTCAGTCTTAAAGGCCAGTCTGAGGTTAGAAGAATACGTCCAGCCCCCAATCGACAGAAGAACCTTAAGTTGGCGGTTTTTCTTTTTGAGTAGGAAAAGCTCCTTGATACAGCCATAGACATTGTTGCCGGTATCGGCCCAGGAATCAGTGGAGTAGTGCTTGTTAGTGTCCGACCAAGGGTCCGACAGGATCACCTCACCAGAGGCTTGGACATTGGCAAATGCGTAGAGAATATGGGTTAGTTTCTCGGCGGGGATATCCTAAGGTTGAAAGTTGCGAGCATAGATGCCCTGATGGACTTTGGTAAGCTACTTTGATTCAGTGGAGGAGTATATATGAATCAAACTCATACCCAGTTCACAAAGTATGCCACGGAACGATATCCGTCAACATCACGAGTGGCAATATTAGCCGCATTGGCCTTCGTCAAAGGGGGAATATAGGTAGCGTTGGCCAGCCACACCAGGCTCAACATAAAAGGGAGGAAAAAATGCATCGCCAGAGAGTGGCAAGGTTGTATCTGATGAGACTGTCCGGCCCAACGAGCTTTGAGAAGAGGAACTGTCAAGGAGGAAGGGAAATACATACTATCTATAGTCGGTGAACAATCCCACTGATTATTATGGCCCCCAATAGGGCAACCAACCCATCAATAAGATCTCAGGCGTGACCCTGATGAAACTACTATCGACCGCAGCTTTGCTTGGCTTCTCCGGTGGAGATTGCTGCGAGAAGTCAATTTCAATCATCTACACACATTAATTAGTACAGTACATTTGATACAGGATTCACTAAAACTTTTACGCCCACCCCTCACTGTTCGACATTGCCAGAACAATCCGGGTATGGTTTGAATGATGACCATTCCTAGATAATCTTATAAATGAGGTCAACCTCTTTTGGTTGCCCTCCGAATATCGACCAACTCATTCCCAGTGTTTGCTATGTCGGCAACAAATTCGGCGGTCGCTTGTTTGTCTGGTCAGGTTATATTTCTCGCTCTTACAGAACAGAATCTTATCCTTGGCCTTTAATCAAACTTTATTTTGCCTCAGATCCCTGTTCCTTTACTATACACGTCTCATATTAAATGACCTATACGCTCATGTCTAGAATTCCTTGAATGAAAGGACGTGGTTAGGCTATAGAAATCCCAAATCGGGACTACCTGCGTGATCCGATTAAACTGCTAGGGCAACCGGTGGTCAACCACGTAGGAGAGTCAGGCCGGCTTCGGAAAGAAATATGGTTTAGATAATATTAGAAACTTTTTGATTGATAATTGATTACCTGAACTTGATTAAGCACTCCACTTCAGTTCGAGCCTGCCATCATTTACGTGGTGGTTGGCTCTAGCTTTTTCCTGCTGGGATGGGAGCATTTACCCACCTATCAATTTCACACCCATCAATTACTCATGGTTAAAGTTATCACATTGTACTGATCGAACAACGTATTCATTCTCGTCAAAGCATTTTGTTCAATCGGACAATATACGAAGCCGGCCAAGGCCGCTGCTTTAGCCAGCCTCAATATCTAGGGCGCTGAGCACCCAAACAAACCAGCAACCGAGAGTTTTCGCTGTAGCCCTTAATTTTCAATCACACGAATGAAAGCGATCACCGGATGACTCTGGCGACCCAGAATACTTAACCGGCTCCAAGAGGGCATTACATGACGGGTTCTTCTTTGGCGATGTGAGAGGCCCACTCAGCATATAGTAACAACCCCCAAGGCGTCAGAGATGCAATTCCCTTCCACACGTTTCTATTCATGACCAAATTTGATCTAGCAGCCATGTTGCTCCTGGAATGTGCTTCAAATCAATTGGTGGCTCGGGCATCATGTGGATACGGTAACTAGATTGAAACATCCGTCATTCGGTCGTTAGTATACGTACCACTATGGAGGCAACATATTGGCATCTTTAGTCCTCCTAGGAGCCGATGCTGACAATGGTAGCCCGCAAAATATTGACTGTGGATATATCCCTCATGGTGGACATGACCGCTTCAGCCCCAAAGAATTAAAAGGTCCCGACTGTCCTCATGGTCGATGCTCTCGTTTGCTCCAACAACTTTCCAGTACAACACCATCACTAGCGAGGCCAAGCAATAATGGATCGCAAATTGTCACAGGTACCAAAGAGGTCCAATATCCCAGACACAGAAGGTCACAATGGACGTACATGGCAAACTGGTATCGTTATTTTAAATCCCCTTCTCCAGGAATCCACCGGCTAAGAAATCTATTTCATGAAGGCAATGAATCAGCTGTAAACTTCCCTCAGGTGGTTGGCCAATTCATCCACGGGAATCGCGGTCACACAAGCAAGGTTTTACAGCCGTCTGTTGACCTGTCCACTGGCTCTATAGCTACAGAGGTAGTTACTTCCGTCGCTACCTCTCTTGCTAGCTCAGGGGCCTCTACGTTGCCTCTAAGCGTCACAGAGGCTGAAAGCCAAGATCTGCCCCCTCTGAACGCGAAAAAGAGAGCAGCTGAATCCTCAACCCTCCCACGAAAGCGACACCGACATTCATACTCCACCTCTCAAATACCGGGCCGCTCACAACTGGTGCATCGAAAGAGACCCCCAAGCAATATGAAAATTAGTAGGAAAATGGTCAACGATACAATTCAATACCTACAAACGCTATCCTACCGCATCTTGATCTCCGACACCATTTCCCCCAGGGAGTGGGCCACTATGCGCAGTATAAGAAGCTGCAGGATAAATTGAAGGAAAGTATTTGTCTATGTAAAGATCATATAACCTATAATATCACGTGATCGAATCGGGCGTGCTCAATTTTACTGAGACCCAAAAGCGGCAAGATGTGAACACTAAAATGGAAAGGTAAAGGTTTCGAGCCAGACATTATCCGGCCATATTATCCACTCCACTGTTTTTTGTTGATGCGGGGGACAGCTAACCTTCTCAACACACCACATTCTCCAACACTGCTAATGGACTGAACCGGGAACTCTCTGACTCAAATCCTCTAAGAGACATCTCAAACCCCCAATTGCACCCAAAAGAAACCGCCATCATGACCTATTCAGCGCCCGCATTCAATCCTGCAACATCCGCGAAGCCCAAAGTGAAGAATATCTCCAACCCGCGCCGCCTCCTAATCCTCACACCAACCTCCCAATCCCTCACAATAATCCCCCCACTCCTGCACTCCCTAACCGGCGTGCCCGTCCTCGACCCGCCACAACAGCCCGCCCCTTCATCAACCACAGCCCCACCACAGCCATCCTCAAGCTCAACACCCCCGCCACCAACAAGCACCTTCGCCGGCTACACAACCCACAGCCCTCTCAGCCTCGAAACAAAATACTACACAACGGAAGTCCCCGTCTGGGTCGACGAGATCCCACTCGCGATCCACGACACCGATGCACAAACCACTCCCACACCAACACTAACAGCCGAGCAATGGAAAAACGACTTCCTAAGCACAGAAGCCGAGATCGTGCGCGAGGCTGTTGGGGCTCTGGTTGTTTGCGCGCATACTCCTAGCGATGCGACACCTTTACCGGGTTCTAGTGCAAATGCAGACCCCGCCGAGCGGCCCGACGTGCGCGCATTGTGTGACCTGATGCGCGGAGTTGGCGCTGTCAAGGAGCGCATTGACGAGGAGCGCGGCGGGCTCGGTGATGTTCCTGGCGTGTTTGTGTTAATTGGAGGGAGGAAAAGTGCTGCAGGTGTGGATGCGGGTCAGCAGGGATCCAAGGATCCCGATGCGGAGCTGGGGCTTGGTGTTGATGATGGGGATTTAGGTGGTGGGGAGACGGTGCCATTTTCGGTTGGGTGGTGGGAGGATCAGTTGTTTGATATGGGGTTGTTGGGGTGGGAGGTTGTTGAGTGGGATCCTAAGGAGGTTTCGGAGGTTGAGACGAGGAATCAGTATGGGGGTGAGTTTTCTGAAACTAGGTTTTGTTTATTGGGCTGTGTGACAAGGTTTTTAAGTTTAGCTGACTTCATACTATTACTAGAACGGGAGGGTATGCCTCGTATCAAAGAGGTCCTTGAGACTCATGACTGGTCTATGGTTGGAGGTGACGCTGGCTTTGACGAAGATAATGATCCTGACATGGATTCCGATGATGATCTTCAAGACCAACTATTAGGTATGGGTGGCTCTCGTGGGTTTGGTGATGAGGTTCATGAATTAGAGCGCGAAATGTTCGGTTTGCGTATGGCAATTGAGCGTGGAGGTGGTGATGGTGATGAGAGAGATGACTCCGATCATGATGATGGTGAGGATGAGATTGATGTCGAGAGCATGGAGGCATTGATGATGCGCATGCAGGCAATCAAAGGTAATGACTCTGTTGATCTCTCTATAGTAAACATTGCGGTGTACTGACTTGGCTATTAGATATGAGCTCCGAGCTGCCGGAGGGCGAACGGAAACGATTTGCTGCGAAGGCTGTGCAGGACATTATGCGCGAGCTCTGAGATTGCTGGTTATTATACATAGATCCTAATCTAAATATTGAATAATCATGTTCCATTCCGACCTTGGAATATACTACTTCGTATGTGGACAAGGATATAGATCCAGCACTGCCCAAACAGAGCCACACCGCCCCAAAGTGCCGAGACCAATTCGATCCGTGCACATCTCTGACGTCAGAGTATTCCAAGGCACGAAGCCAACTTGACAAAATGAGCTGTGTTTTGTGCATAGATCATCCTGGCTAGCTTATTGCTTGAGTGACTCTTGGCTACCTACATCATCTTCCCCATTATCCACACGTGTACTCCAAAACGCCGCTTCGTCATGCCTTGAGTCTCCGACGCGAACATAACCATATTCAATTCCTACAGTCTACAACATATTCTCTCTCATTTTATACGCGACGTGAACATACACAATAACCAATTGGAAGGACAAAAAGATCTTCTTTTTTCAAAATGCATTTCCCGGCACGGAATTGCGCGCCTATCGTGTCGGCGGCGACGGGGAGGATATCACAACGCGGTGCCCCGTACGGCTCGTTAGGGAAGATTGGCTCGGCGGGGCTAGATGGCTGCGTTGGGAATGGCTTTGTCATTTCATCTACACATATCCGCTCATTCTCAGGGAGGTGTCTCGGCAGGGGGATTGGTCTCAGAGCCTCTGGTGCATCCCCGGTAACGAATCCGGGATGTGCTGGGCTGGCTGCAGTTCCACGAGATCATCTTGCATGGATTCAGACCAGGAAATTCAGCAAAGCAGATCATACACAAGTCTCAAGCGATAAGCAGAAGACTGAAGAGCTTTTGGAGAAGTTCGAAGTTCAAGAGGGCAATCAAGAAGCTCGGCCTCAGCAGACAGTCCATAGGGAGGATAGCGAAAGCGGAAAGTCTCCAATGGAAGGAGAAAAGTGGCCTGAGAGGATGACCAAAGGTAAGAAGGTGCTGCTATGATTGTTTTAAGGATCAATGCTGACTTTTGGGAATAGGTAAAATGTTGACGACGCCATCGCGGCTTTTCAAATTGA